TATAAACGCAACAAACATTAATAAGAATATTTGTCAAATTTTTAAAAAAATCTTCATCTCGACTAAGAGCCAAACGCGATGTTATGCGACAAATTAATATTAGAAAGAAACATTTGAATCCTATGGTTGGGATCTCAGAAATTAAATCCCCTGTAAGAAAAAGACGAGAAAAATATTGGTCGAAAGTCGGCTGAATTACCTTCCGCTTGCCGGGCGACTGCTCTTCCAGCTGAGCTATTTACAAATCAATATTTCTTCAATGTTATCAAGGCGTCGTAATCTAAACGCAACAAACATTAATAAGAATATTTGTCAGTCAGCTCTCCTTTTTAAAAAAATCTTCATCTCGACTATGTTATGCGACAAATTAATATTTAGAAATTTTTGGAAACTGAGGAATTTGAATCCTATGGTTGGGATCTCAGAAATTATATGTATTATTATTTTAAATTATACTAATAATATATGTATATACTTATATACATATATTATTAATAAATATATATAAAATTCCGTACAGATTTAATAGAAAATGCTTAAAGAAAAAGATATTGGAAAAGCATTTACAGGTTTAAAATTACCAAAGTACGGTTGTTAGGGATGTCAAGAATACTGAACGATTACAATATTAGAGTAAAATTTATGACGTTTATTGAAGGAATCATGAATAATAAGACGTCGAGCAAAGTTATAGTTAATTTGTCCTGACATCAGCGTATGGTCTGTTATATAAATTTTGAATACTTCCGTGATATTCGTACTTCTGGAGTATAAAAAAGTGCAGAAAATGTCCCGTGTATCTTCTCGCGACAACAATTGGCAACGCTCGGACGGAAAGCACACTTTTATGAATTTCTGACCCGCTCATCACGCCTCTGTTCTTCGTTCCGGCCAAAAATTGCCGGAAGCGAAAGCACGTGAGCAAGAGAATGCAAATGCGCTACGGTGACTTTAATATCACGGATTATAAAACAGATCCGAACACCCAGATATACGCGGCCGCGTGTGCGTAGTGCCACGCTTGAAAATTTAAATTCGCTCTACGGATCCATATAATTCCATTATACCTGCATTTGTTGTGAGAGAGCAGAGCTTGTTTTCAACGTGTCCGGCCGCGTGTCTGCGCAAAATGCACAAAAGGGATAAGTTGCAAACTCTCGTTATGTGTACAAGATGATTTGAAATTGATATCAAATATTTTTATATAGATTCGAAAAATAAATCGTTCATTAATTTGTGTTGCTGAAATACTATTGCATGTACTATATATTCTTATTTTAACTAAATATATACGTACATCCAGAAAAAAAAAGATATGTAACCTAATATAAATTATAGATACATTTAATTAAAATGAAATATAAAATATGTCCTCATATATATATTTTTTCTTTTATATAATTTCTATCCGCGTGTGTATACAGGAAAAATAATAAAAAAAATATAATTAAGTTATAATTAAAAGAATGATATACGTAATTAAATGTAGGCAATTTTTTTATTTTTCCAAATTTTACTTTTTCTAAAAAAAACAACGTAGAAATTATTTTTTTAGATATTTTTCGATTATTTTTGCTATTAATTTTTCTTTTAGATACGAATAGATATTATATAAGAGAATGAAAACATATAAATCGTTTTAGACAGATATAGGGTGTCTTACAAACATTACCTATTTAATTATTAAGATTGATCTGAAATTATTTGATAGTTTAAAATTTTATATACTTATCTTCTATGTACATAATATACATATATAGTAAATAATATACATATAATACTTTTTTTTATAATTATGTGTTTGTGTGTTTTCTTCAATAGATTAAAAGATTTCTTTTCCATGCGTGGCCGCGTTTGGAAAACAGCCATGAAACTACTACACACATGCAATTGCATATAATATTGGCTACGTTTCGACTAATATAAATCAACTTGAAGAGAGAAATAAGCTTTAAAAGCAGTTAACATCAATTCCCCAACAGCAAATGTAGCTGAATAAAACGCCATGAACGCGCGCTATTAGCGCATTTTCCGTATAATGAAGCTCGTTTGTTGTCGACGAGAACATTTTACGTCTTTCTATACAGCAACGTAATTGTTCCCCCGAATCTATCTCTGTGTCCGCTATTATTCGCAACCGATAATTATCTGAACCCTTCAATTCGCAGCGAATGGTATTCTCGAGGAAGAAATATAGCGATAAAAATCGTCATCACCGCACAATGGTTTTTACTCTGGTTTTACCAATTTGATGCGGAAAACTAAACCGAACTCCAAGTAAAACTTGATTCCATCGATTCTGATCAACTTGATTAATTTAATCGATCGCAGCCGAATATGGCGCGAAGCAAATGGACAAGCAAGTGTACGCGATAAGTAATGAATTTTAAATACTATAATAATTACCGTGCACTTTGTAATTTCTTGATCGCGTATTTTTTTTAAATCTTGATTCGCACTAATACTATCGTAGTGGATAATGATAGTTCCAAAATGAAAAACAATGCGTGACAATGCCTAACGAAAATTTATTCTGCAGAAATTTCATCAAGAATATTTTTTTTTTTTTTTTAATCTATGAGTTACATATGTAAAGTTTGAAAAAAGCAATTTCAAGATCGATATTTCGACGACTTCAATTTTGAAATTACAATGGTAATTCCGAATAATTTTTGGAATAATATGTTGCATTTACATATCTTGCATTTTTTAACGAAGATCAATTTTCATGCTAGCATTAGCATACTGTTCCGATTTCAAGAAATCGCGCTTGTTCAAATTTGAAAATAATTTGCAAAAATTTAATTAAATTGATCTAACTCTTAAACAACGATTTATAACGATATATTATTTAAAAAAAAAATTTGATAATATTTAAATACATAGATATGCGAATTTTAGAAGACGTATTTTAGAAGTTAGAGAAGAATGGAGTAATTTAAATTTATTAGATTTAAATATATTTATTCTATATTTTTCTAGATTTTCGCGATATTATATGATTAAGTAATTATAAATCTTTCGAGTATATTTGTGGACATTTTGATGATAGTTTTTGCTATTACTACCATAAAGGAAAAAATGTTTTATTTTATTGTTCTAATTTTGTGTTTTTCCTTTGTGCATACACATACACACATATTGTGTAAAAGATATTGTGTGTGTGATGTGTGTGAGGTTTAAAAACTAATTGCTGTGCGTTGGGCGATCTATTGGCTGAATACTTCGCATAAAGCTTGGTTTACTGTATATGTTATACATATATGATGTTACATGTGTGTGTGTATGTGTGTGTTGCGTGTGTGTACAGAATGTTCTCTTTTAAATATCCTAGCAAATTGTTTGGAAAACTAAACGATATTAGAAAAAAATTTGAGGTAAAAGTTACAGAATTTCGAGGAGCGCACTTTGGAGTGTCAACACTAATTTGATTTTGTTGTCAAATAAAAATATTTCTGAGATCCAAAGAGTATCTTTATTTTTTAAGTAAAATTATATGATTTGTCTCACACAATATATATCTATTCTTTTAATAAATTCTTTTAAAAATAAATGTAATTATACAAATCATACAAGAATTAATAGCTTACAAGATTTTTCTCAATTCATTTTGACATAAGTATTGTGACACGAAATATATAATATATTGTATATTTACAATAAATAATATATGTATATGTATACATGTGTAGACATGCGTATGTCTGTATGTGTATGACACTATTATAATCTTCTACATGTCAATTGACACGGATGCATGATGCACAACCGCTTGTAATTCTCATTAGACGTATTCGTCGCGTCCGCTCGCGGTTCCTGCAAGGCAGCTTATAAGCGGCCGCCTGGTGCGATATTACAACATAGAGGGACATGGAATGCTGAGTGTTCAGCAGCCGTGTTCACTGACGTTAATGAGCGGGAAAGGCGGCGCGAAACAGCGCGAACAGTTTCCGCTTTTCTGACGTTACTTCGTCGATTCGAGTACATAACTGTGGCTGGTGGCAAGTAAGTGTATTTATACTGCGAGATCCTCTCTTATGCACGAGCTCATCTTACGGCTGTTCTTCAAATACTATACACTCGTATATTTGCAGCTATATTATTATTACATTACAGATACGTCACGTACGCTATTGCGCGAATTATTCGGAAAATTCTCATTAATTTTATAATCGTCAACGAGGTACATAAATGAGGGAACATTTTTTTTTTTTATACGAGAAGAAAGTCTTACTCTGAAAAAGTCAGATGCAATTAACATTAAATACACGTAATATTTAATTGAAGAGTAGGAGAATATCAAATCGAAAAATGTAAAAAGATGAAATATATATAATATGTGTATAGTAGTGTATACATATAATATTTTAGAATCATGAAAATAAATTTCAGGTTTTTGTTGAAACTATTGTAAAGCTAACAACTTATTTATTAATTACATTATTCTTATTTAACATTTTTGTTCCTAGGTGAATAGATTCTTAGAACGGAATTAGAATTATGTTCTCTCCCGATATTTTCATTCCCTCATCATACTTATTAATGCAAACATTTTCTTTAGCTGCCTGCAATACGATTACATGAATCATAATGAATGATTAATTCCATTCATATATGTATATCTATCTATATTCAGAATTATTCTAAAGAAGAGAGCCACAAAAGCTTTAGAAACTGAATATATGTTTCTTTAACATACACATATTAAAGAAGAAACACAAGCAAAAATATAATTAAAAAAATGACAAAGATATCTCAGTTTACAAATTGTTTCCAGATTAAATTATTTTAATAATTGTTGGATAATTTCAATCTAATGATTTTTCAATATAGAGTATTTCATTATTGAGAGATAAAGAAACAGGACATTTTTATACTTTAGCTCAAGATAGTCAATTTGCGTTGCAAAAATAAATGATGTCTGATAAAGATTATCATTGATATTTCAAGTCAATTTTGTCAATATTCCCGCATGTTAAATTCTTATTTAAAATTCAGACTTACATTAGGAAATAATCTATATTTCGGGATTTCTTATTGAAAATACAGTTTACCGCGTATACAAGAATTCTAAACCTTATCTGAAGAAACGTAGGCCGGATTGATCACCGCAGTGCTGACGCTGTCATTATCTAGTATATTTTTCTGTTCGGCTGCTTTCCACAAGGGCGAGGGTTGAAATAAGATCTGCAAACAGTTAAAAGGGTGCAAATTAAATTGTTGCAGAACCGATAATGGGCGAGATACGTGCCAAAATCATATCTTCTCGCGGAAAACCGCACAAGTACTTTCGAAGTGTGTGCGGAATGGCCAAAAACAACGCGAAGAAAGGGAGATAAGAGTAATGTTAAATTTATCGGCTAACAGAAAGCGGAAGCGGTCAAGGAATAGAGTTGTCTGCATCTCTCTCTCTCTCTCTCTCTCTCTCTTCCTCCCTTTCTCTCTCTGTAGAAATAGGTGCAATTCAGACAGGGCCGCTGTTAACACACCGCGTATGTAAAATTTTATTTAGTGCTTTCCTAAGAAAAAAAAAAACAAAAAAAAACAATTTTTAAAGAACGAAGATTTGGCAATCGGAGACTAGGAACGTGTGGAAAAAACTGTAATTCATGATGTACATACATATTTGTTTGTAGAGTATTTAAAATCATGCAAATATTATATTTGGTGAAAAACTTCAAAGATATATGTATAATGGAGTTTCAATTTAATCAAAAAATTCAATCTCGTAAAGCGTTTTCTTTTTTTGAAATATATGTCACAATTTTTGTACGGTTCCAATTTGATCAAAACTCGCAACATCGGCGACTCTCTTTGTGTACAGTACCTCCTTTGTACGGCGCACGATTTGCGCATCTCGCTCGCGGCGCGGCGGCCCTGTATCCGAGGCGATGGAAAGAGCGGCAGGCTCCCGGGGAAACTTTTCGTTTCAAAGTACGATTACCTACGTACCGTAGAAAAACTTGTATTAAGACGTTTCCCGAGTTCTCGAGATTTTACGGCACGGGCCAGGGCAACTTCTAAATCGGCCCGTAACCACAGCCGCGCTGACAGCGTGACGTAGCTATCGGAAGATTTTCGCTATAATCGAGAGATAGCGAAAATAACGTGATGCAATAACGCTACAATAGCGCTAAAATAATATCGTAGTTTTTCTTGCGCACAGGCGGAACATTTTTTTTTTTTTTTAACACGTCATACACAGCCCGCGGACGCATTGTGCGTGTAATGGCAAAAGTTTTCACTCGCGTTTGATTAATTGATCATATAAAGAATGAGACCGACTTGGTCAAAACTGTTAAGTGATTTCGTAATTGTTTCCACCTTCTCCATTAGAGACAGAAAATTAATGACCAGATCGCCGCGCGTTTCTATCTAATACAATAATCTCTCATTCTGAAAGAGTGCCAGCCGGTAAGTCATTAAACAACAAAGAATTCTGGCTCTTAAGAAATCTCAATTCAAACTTTTCTCCAAAAAGAAAGTTAACGGTTTTTTTTTTATATATATGTATATCTATTTTATACATTTTTCGCAGAAAAGTACATTTTTCGTAGAAAGTAAATTATTCTTGACCCATAAATGCACAACGTATTGTATTCAAACCGTTGGACAAAATGGTAAGCTTGACATTTTAAGAGACCCTCTACATTTTTCTTACTCTGAAGAATATAATACCTATATGCCTGCTTTCTTTTCATCTTAATGACAGTGGAATTTTATGAGAACCATTTACTGCGAGTTTAAGTTTTGAAAATTCGTTCAATGTGGAACGACCTAAGTATACGAATAAACTGCTGCATAAATATTTCGAAATGAGGATTAGATAAATAATTGGGTAGATAGATAAAAATAGTTAGGTAGGTAGGTTATTCTATTTTATTATTAATAGAATTAGAATTAATTTAGAATTTGATTGCTTCTTATAGGTATGCAGAAGTAATATAATATTATTCTGATAAATAAAGCATTGTGCATGTTAATGATATACTAAAGTAATTTAAATACAAATAATCTCTATATATTAAAGTTATAGTTATTAAAAGTGCATACTCATTAATATAACCTGTAAGATAAAGTATTTCACTAACAAGAAAATGTTAATATAGAGTACAGCTGAAAAATAGTGATATGTTGTAGCAGGTGAGCGAGAAATATTCATCAGGCGAGGAATTCCAAAATAAAAGCTGCGAAAGTAGATGATAAATTTCCGTACAACAAGTAAGCATGACAGATTTCAACAAAGAAAGAAAAATGGATTTCTACGATATAAATTATATTTAAAAAAATAATCGGAGTAATAAGAGGCGAGGTAATTGGTGTGACGTTTGAGTTATATATGTATCGAATTTTTTACAATAATGAATATAAATAATGAACGTTTCGGTTTCTCATTTTCTAGTTAAGTATCAGCAAAAAAAGTCATGCGGTAAAATACAATAATTATAAATGACAGATATATGCGCGAAGAATAAAATATATAAAAAGGGAGTCAGTTTGAATAATCTATATATCGATAGATAAAAAAAAATAATTCCATACTTCTTTCGGGAACGTGATATTAATAATATTTTGAAGATAATATAAGCATTGAAAATATATTTGAATACGTTAAATCTAGTTGAGTGAAAAATGGAGAACGAATAAACCCAGATAGTTTTAAGATTCCTTTGGGATATCATATTATTATATATTTTGAAGATTTCTTAAAGACGCCTTAAAGATTTCGTGATGGTCTCTTCTACACCAATTTTGGACATGGTGTTAGCTGGGAAAGGATGTAGGTTATAAAGCATTGACAGAATGGAATGCATTGTTATGAGCCAAGAAATGTTACCTGCGTTTAAAACTAATCCGCTTTATACCTAAAATCTTTGAAAATACACGACGCATAGCAAACTGGACTTGAAGCGTTTTGCACAATAGAACCTTTTTGTAAAAAACTGTCTTACCTTCAACTCCCAGACTTTCGCAAAGAAGAAGACTGGCAATGGCAGTAACGTTGCCAATCCGATTCCAATTCCAATTACGCCCGTCCAGGCGGGAAATATATACGAACCGTAACTCCCTTGAAAGTCGGTTTGTCCTAATTGATATCCAAAGACTCCCTGTGGAGAAAAAATGCGGCCGGTTGGTCAGTTGTTTCCTGCATAGTACAGCTTCGAAAAACAGCGCGTGTGCGTGACACAATTATCAATTAAGGGAGATTTCGAATTTTTAATCAAAACTAACTTTCGCAGGTCGCCAGTTCGGCGCCCGTCGAGGGAAATATTTTCAATCCCCGCGATGGCGTTGGTGAAATTCAGCCGATATAAATAAAAATTCGCTCGGCATGCGCGCAGGGGATGCGGTGGCAAGGGCGTGTCTCGCGACAGGTAGCCAGATTAATTAAGCAGTCTGGTCGTGGGAAATACGACGCTTTACCTCCTAGGGACGCGAATCTATAGCGAACCTATATACATATATGCGAATGTTAAATTTTGCGAGCCTCGAGTTTTCATCATTTTATTTTAAAGTTTCGATAGACTCAAATAAGAAGATCGATATAATTCCATCGTACTTTTGTATTGTATTTTTTCATATATTATATTATATTATCTCATATCAATATCAAATAATCTTTATTCTTATATCTCTGATATATTCGATAAATTCTCTATCCTCTCTTTTTTATTCCGCACTAATACACGAACAAGTTGTTTATCGACAGAAAACGATGATTTATACAGAGTTGATTTAAATCTCAGATTGTATTTTCAAATCAATAAGATTTACAATGTCGATTTTATCAGAAATAAAGTCTTGTGTTAACAAAATGTTATTCTACATTTTCAATTTACATTTGCATGAGAAGAATCATTTCTATTTTATTTAAATTACAATTTCTGATGTATTTTGTATATACTACATAAATTGAATCAGAAGACAATTAAATAAAAAAAATTTCTTGTATACAGTGGCGTAGCTACAATGTTGGGGGCCCCTGGGCAAAAAAAAAAAACGTATACGCAAATTCGGCTCATATAGAAAAGTTACTTAGCTTTTAGCTAATCAACTTGCAACTTTCTTTGTAAAAACTGAATTTATACATGCGTTTTTCTCGTGAATAAATTCAAGAATCGAGTCATTGGATATTTAGGAACCCTCCTTTAAGCTGGGATTCCCGAGACGTGTCCGGGCTTCCCGGGTGGTAGCTATGCTATTGCTTATGTACGAAAGTAAATTAAAAACATGGAATAAAACTTTTTTCTTACAAAACGTTGTTTTCGAGAAAATTAACTCAAAAAAACTCGAAAAAAATTAATAATATATAAACTTGAATATTATAGATTTGTTCGAAATATTCCCGATTCAGCCGACTTTCGGACCAATATTTTTCTCACCTATTTCTTTACAGGGGAAGTTAAGAGAAGGAACAAGGGGAATTTCTGAGATCCCAACCACAGGATTCAAATTCCTTAGTTTTCAAATTCCTTTATTGGCCGAGAGGAATGAAGTGTAGATCGTGTTTTTAAAATTAAGGAGCCGACTTAAAATATTCTTATTTATTATTGTTTCGAAATATTTGTTCTAAAAAAACATTCTATACACAAAATTTGTGTAGAAAATTTGAAGAACATTTCTCTCTCTCTCTCTCTCATTCCTTTTTCCCTGAAGTATACACATTATTCTATAAAGTTCTTTCGACAATCAATGACCCAAGCTTAAATTTCATTATTTTCCATATAAATTCGATTAATCGTTTCTATGTGATGGTCGAAACTAATTTACGGTATATTCTCTCGCTGTGTCGCCAAACTTTCTGCAAAGTTTACAGTCAATAAACGTGGGCTCCTTAGCTCGACGGGATTAAGCATCGAGATGCCGCGTCTTCCCCTCGTTACTACCGTCGATTGTACCGTTTAGCAATTATATACATTGGAGAGCTGTCATTAAAGTTTTGATTGTCGCGCAGTTTAGTCGCGAACGTGTAAAGGAGTAACTTATTTCAATAACAATGGCAAATTGAAACTACACAAAATGACTATTTATATTATCAGGAGAAATTTTTATTGCAATTTGTTAATTATTGCAATATTATACATATATTATATTATATTTATATGAAATGTTATTTATATTTAAATTGTAGTAAACAATTGTTCTCAACTATGTTCAATTATAATTTCAAATATGCACTTTTATATGCTTATCATAATCGTTTTATATTCGAGCTACTGCAGCATTAGCACAAATTAATGTTTACAAACTAATTTTAATGTATAGTTAATTTATGATAATTCGACGACAAAAACACACATCAAATTGAGAAAGCTATTTGAAATAAATATAAAATAAAAAGATGTTCTTCTATCCGATCGCTTTGGAACGCTTGGTATACCTGACAACGAAACTTTTAGCTGTAGCAGATATCCCGTAGCTATATGCGCATTTCTAGCAACAAAAGGGTCAAACTGGGACTGAAATGGTTGTAGTAAGAAAATAGGCACTTACCAAGCAAGTAAGAGGCGCAAGAACTACCCAGCATAACCACCAATAGCCGCGGAGAAAGCGACCAAATCTCATTTTCATTTCAGCAAGATTATTGAGGAATTTGTTGCATCCGTAGAACCAGGCGGGCACAACGATTTCGGCAAAGCCGATCAATAGAATAGCCCACGAGGCGGTATGCCAGTCCATTAGTTTGAACAAGTAGATACCGCCGTCGAACACCATCGGAATCGCTAGAAGCCAGCAGGCAACGCATATTCCCAATATCACAAGGCCTTCATGTTTTCGTAAATCCGGACGCTTGTCCAGTATGGCGGTGTTTATCGCTTGCACACCTGCAAACTGTAAAAAATACATGACTGAAATTTCTCTTCCTTCTTCTATTCGTTTCTGTTATTTTCCTTTTTTTCTACTATCTTCTATTTATCTATTCTGTTTGACAATTACAATTGTGTATTTCAATTGTTGGATTTTGAATCAATCTGTCAAGTTTTCAAAGTGTTCGGTTAAAAGAAAACTGCATGTCCTATAGATATTCGACTATTTTTCGACATAAATATTTAACTTTGGAATGATAGAGAGAATAGAATTTAAAACAATAATTGTGAAATATTTATCTTAGTCTTATTGCACATTGCAACTTTTGCAATTCCAATGGATGTTATTTCAAAGTTATATGTAAATAGTTAGTTCAGTCTGCGCGACTTCATATTGTTTTATTTTAATATTTTGCGGTGAAAAATAACTGTGATTATATGTGGATACTGTAGAGTTACATTGTACTTTCTACAATATTTTTCAAATTTTTATCCTTCAAAGGATGATTTATTTCAGCATATCATGGAAACATCAGAAACTCATAAATTCGAATGTATTCATTCGATTGTATGATATAAACAGAAACGCATATTTATACAGGTTTTTTCACTTTGCGGTTGTTTTTTTAGGATCACAGATGATTCTGAGAAAACGAAAAACGAAAGGGATCACAATTGATGAAAGAAAGAAAAGAAAATGCGCACTTTTTACTTAGGGACGGACGAGCCAGCTATAATTTTTTTGTGATGTACGACTTCCTGAACGACGGGAGTCGTTTGCTATGTAAAAGCAACACAAAACTATGCTCAGGCTAGCAAAGAGTGTATCCTTTTCGCCCGCGGTATCCTTTGACAAATATGCCAGTCATTTCTCAAGGCGTTTGAATAGTGCCTTCTTAGCACCAGTACGCTTTGCGAAATCTTTGCGAAATAACCTCGTCGATAAGTAACGGAAAAGTTATTACGGTGATCAATATTTTGTGCCAGTATTGCGCAACTTTTTAACATCTACATTATAACTGTCAAAGCTTATTTGAATAGCCACATGCATATAGAGAAGTCGATTTATTACATATCTAAAGATATCAATGCACACGATCAAAAAGCGTTTTTTATTTTTATAACTTTATCAAATTGTTTATTGTAGAATAAAAAAATATCGCGATATCTCTCATAGATATTATAACATAATAATATGTATGATATAATATGCGATAGTCACAATCAAGTTAAAATAATTTGGTTTCAGTTTACACAATTGTTAACTACGATGTTATATTGATACAATAGGATATCGTTACATCATTAAATCAGAGATATACATACATAACAAAAATATCAAATTAACATTTTATGTAGCGTAGAAATTGATACAATTCTATAATCTTTTGGTCTCTACTCTCTACTATAGCACAAATTCTTTATTCGTCAAAAACACAAGAAACACAAAATGCCTTTTTTATATGTGATAAATGTAATAAATAGCAAAAGAAGATTCACATTAATTGTTATATATTTTATTGCAAATCACAGTTATATATATATAGCATTAACGTAAGATAAAATATATTTTGTTTTTATGTAATTTATTATTTTATATATAATATATGTTCTAGTATTTTGATATTAACTTAAAATAAAAAAAAAGATAAAAATAATGTACATACAAATAGAAATATTTCTTTTCTAGCCGTAATTAAAATCTGCTTTGGTATTGATTGAGATGAATATTATTCAAATTCTAGATTGTCGCGAGAAATTCAAATCGTGTGATTACCCTGCATATCGCATGTATTTTGCTTCGTTTATTATATATACAGTTAAATTATTTCGAATAACCCGAGAAAACGAGTGTGTGTGTGTGTGTGTGTTTGTGTGTCGACCCATCTACGCGACTTGGAACAAACGCAGTAAGCGCAGCAAAGTTTCTCGTTACGCGAAGGAAAATTGAAATTTACATCGCTCGCGCTCCTAGCACTCCATTCCTTCCCTCGTCTTCGTTCGCGCTTCATCGCACTAATAATTATTTTTCTCATCATCGTAAGTGACGAGGAGTCGAAGTCGGGGGTATCTCTTGCCGGTTTTTCTTGTGAAAATGGAAATAATACTTTCTTATACAGCCTTCCTTAAACGTTTACGCGATAATATTTTCGCTTCCGTTTATCGCTACCGCAGCGCGCTCGTGTAAGATCGAATATCGTTGTACGTATGTATGTATGTGTAAAATCGCTCGCGTGCTTACCTGGCTACCGAGACCGAGTATGAAGAGCATGAAGAAGAACAGAATGGCCCAGAGATTCGGCAACGGCATCCGCACCACTGCCTCTGGGTAAGCGATAAAAGCCAATCCCTCCGCGCTCTGAACCACCTTGTCGATCGGCATTTGCATCTGCCGGGCTAGGAATCCGAGTATCGAGAATATTGCGAAGCCAGCGAAAATGGACGTAAATAGATTCGTGAAAGTGACGAAAATAGCATCCCTGACAATAGATAAGTCGACAATCAAATTATCATGCACTCGCGAACCGTATACACGAACGCGTACAGGATGTTAATAAAATACTTGGATAAACCTCAGGAACGAATTACATTAGTACATAGGAAAGCTCACACACAAACATCTTTGTTGCTTTGAAAAAAGCACTTTCATCTTTCTCCCTAAAATAAAAATAAAAGATCCTTCTAACCATTATACTGTATCCAATCTTTTTTCTGTTTCTCTGATCTCCAACAAATCCCAAGGTTTTATCCCTTGTTTCTTTTTTGTATTCTTTTGCACACACACATACATGCACACAGATATACATGTATATCAGAATGTGTATTGTTGTTTTGCTTTTTCTTCAATATATAATATACCATATACTATGGATTTTATTGCACGCAATTAAGCAATAACTTGCATTGTTGGAGAACATTACACGTCCAAAATGTGATATGTATGTAAAAGAGTATCTATTGTATTTTGCTCTCTTAATAATAGAATTATTATTTCTGATTATTATTTAGAACAATCGCCTTTAATTTATTATTATTTTTATACTCGAGCTGATATTAGAATTATATTGGTCGATCGTGACGAACGGTTGACTTAATTACTCTTTCTTTACCAAAACGTCACATATCATCGAGTCTTGAATTATTATAATAAAATAAAATGTGCAACAAACGTCATGTGTCGTAAAGAAATGTCATCGACATTTCTGAAATGTGTCACTAATTGTAAGATTAACAAATGCTCGCTATGCTTAATTAATGCAATGAATTAAATATATGTATTATACGATAAATTATTCATGTGAACGAATTCTTACATATGTACATATAATTTTTGAAACAAATATCTATATACGCGATACGGACTTTTATTCTACTGTAAAAAATAAAGAAGATATTCTATTGTAAGTATAATCGCACCTGTGACAATTGTTGCTGAAGTTGCTGTAGCTCGCGAGGGTGACCAAAGATCCGCAGCCGATACCGAGCGAATAAAAGACTTGAGAGGCGGCATCCGCCCACATCTTGGCGTCTTTCAGCATCGTAAAGTTGGGCATGATATACCACAGAACGCCTTCATCGGCGCCGTCTAACGTAGCACCTGTGCGAATATCTCCTTTAGTCACGCTCATGATAAAGTTATCCGCTCTCTTACGCTAGGATGCTATTGTCGCGCGATCCGTATACAGAAATCTCGCTCTATGAACGGATTCGAAAAAGCTTACGGAGAGAGAAGCGCTTGAAAAAGTTAAGATATTCGCGCAAAAATATCCTAGTCAATATGACGATAGTGTTAAATCTATTCGTCTCGAATCGTCCGAGCATGCAGTTTCACTCGGCAAAACTTGATAATTTATTATTACTAAAAACTTGGTAATTTATTAGAATTACTAGAAGAACTATTTATTAAAATGCTTATATGCAATTTTTCTTATTCTGCTTTAATTTACATTCTATAATAAAAAATAGCAGATCCTTAGCATATTCTTAATTTTAGAAAACTTTAAGATCGATGGACATTAATACATACATTGAACAAGTCGTAATTATAACATAGATAATTTTAAGTATATCAATTATTTTCAGATTATATTAAATTCACACTAAATAATTTATTTTTCTTGAAATCGTATCTAATTACGTTTTATTTTGAAAATTTTTAAGAGAGAAAATTATTCATATAAATATTAGTAAAAAATAATTTTATTCGTCAGTATTAAGACGTTGACCGTTAATAAGTTAAATTTCCATGAACCTGTACCGTTATCCAGGAAACCTCTCCTATTTTTGTTTCTTACCTCGTATTAGCAGAGCTGTGAGAATAACGTAGGGAAAGAGGGCGGTGAAGTAGACAACCTTGCCGATGGTCTGGATGCCGCGTGCTAGACAGAGGAAGCACACTAGCCAAGCTAAAGTGAGGCATCCGAACAATTCCCATCTTATGTCACCGAAGTTCTCCCATGTGGCACCGCGTATACCAAGAACGTAGTCTCTGAACGCAATCGACAATTACACGCTTTGCAAGCGCGAGCTTGAACAAATTTTGTCTCGTTCCTCAACGCTGAACAGCGACGTAAGGCTCGTTCCCGATCCTCTCGACACGATGCAGCGCTGATGACAATTTATATCGTACCTGAAGTATTCTTCGGATGACAATGTCCGATTGTAGATATCAATGAATGCTTTCGCCTCGCCGTTATTTTTGAAACAATGAGTGATATTGCCGCCACGGTTGTAACCAAAATGAGAACAGACAACATCGATGGCCATACAGCTTTTGTTGTAAAATATAGAGTGTGAGTCAATATCCTTTTGGCATAATGCATCCTCAAGGCCGCTATAACAATCTGTCGAGGTCAAATATTATGCGTTATAGATGTACCGTTCGAAAACGAACGGGCATAGATCTTCCTTAGATCTTCCTTTAGTCACCATCGATACTTATATCTTCTTTAAAAAATTTGTTTACGATTTTTATGATTTATCTCATTTAATTAAGCTTTATATTAAATTTTATACAAATTAATTAATAAAAAGAATAGTAAATATTTTTGTCATATTATTTTACACGAAATATCTTATTAACATCATTTATCATTAGTATTATACAATATTTTTATAAAGAAAATATTTTATTTCAAACATTTAATAAATTTATGCACACTAAAAGTAATGGAAGTATCTTGAATAAATAATGTTAAGGTAAATAGTAAATTTTTAGACACAGAGTTTCGACGATAAGTTTTTCTGTCTTTTATTAAGTTAAAACGCATTTCATAGCAACTTTAAATGAATGATGTAAATATCAAGGAAAATTAATAATATGTTTAATAATATTGTAAAATTTTATTTTTTCATTCCCTAATAGATCTAAAATCACAGGTAATAGTTAACTCGCTAAAATTTAGTTAAATGTTTTTGTTCGATTAAATAAAACGACAAAAATCTAAGTCCTCAATATAATAGTATACTCATTTATTTTTACTTACCGTTCGTGTTAAAATCATTATCGCAGTACGCCCACTTGAGTTTTGGAAAGAAAGAAGCGAAAATGTAGAATAAAGTCCATGCGACGATTATCATGTAGTACACCATCACTAGTAAAATGACGACCAACGTGCAATAGCCTAGACCATGAAACGCAGGCGCCATACGGCTGTAAGCTTTTATGGGTCCCAGTCCAGAATACTGACCCATACAAAGTTCGAGGAAGAATATAGGCAGACCCATTGTAAACAGCATGATAATGAAAGGTATCAAAAAGACACCTATAACAATATACAGAAGACATAAGAAAAGTTTAATGTATAGTAAATATAGATTAAAATATATACACGATGTGCACTATTATACATATATTAATGGATTATTTAATAAATTATAAATTCTTTACTGAATGAATTTTTAACATACTTTTATCAACACAATTATATACAAAAATATTTTCTTAGTTCTGACTATTAATTTATTTTAAATGGTATTATTTTGATAGTATTATTTTATATTAATTAAATTATATCATACATTCAATCACTTAACATTTTTTTTAGAGATTAGGATTTTTGTCACACACATGGGAGAAATTAGTTTACAGAGAATAGTTTAAAGAAAAGCAGAAAAAAAATTTAGTAGTTAATTAAAAAATAAGTAGTTAATTAAAAAATTCTCATCTTGAGTTCATCACTTGCAATTTCCAAAAAAAAAAAGTCTTCAGACCTTTGTTTATGTGGCAACTTTTCTTATTTTAAATCTTCAACGCAATCTTAAAGTTTGTGCATCAGCTTTTTAAAGTTTGTGCAAATAATTTTTCGATGCTCTATATAAGAACACAGATATTGCATCCCAGTGATGTACAGAGTATCTCAAGCTTTTAACGGCTAAACTGTACTAACGTGTTTCATAGTAAATAAAAACAAAAAAAAACATAATGTAAACATAAGATCATAAAAACTTTAGTGAATAAAGTCCAACTAAATATATTAGATACAAATATGATCAATACAATATATCTATGTAATATTGCTAGAAAAAGAAAAATATTTATAAGATAATATTCATTAATTAACTTTTTCAGACACAGTGACATTCTATTATATTTTCGTGATAACTTTGTTCAACTTAATAACATTTTTTTTTTTGTTATTCATAAAACATGTTAGCACAGATTGATAGTTATAATTTGAGATATGTAATTTGGTGATGTGTCTGACTTTACTCCGTCTTCTTCTCCTTCTTTGTTTTTTTCCCTCTGCCCTTCTCTCTCTTTATAGAGAGTACATATTTTCTACGTACATCATACATCTGAGACAGATGCATAGATGTAGATATGATTACATGTACGTATGTATGTACGTACCACCGCCATTGCGATATATGAAGAGAGGGAAACGCCAAACATTGCCGATGCCAACGGCATACCCGATGCAGGATAGAACAAATTCGATCTGGTTGGACCAACCACTTCGCTTCGGCTCATCTGGATGTTCCACCAAAGTGCCACCAAGTCCGAGCGAAACCCTCTTTGCCTATCAAAAACATATGGAAAAGCTACATTATATATTTACATTATATAGATTATCACCAAACCAACGAAGGAAATATCTAATGCTATATTGTAAATGCATATACAATCGAAAAAAATTGCAAAAGGGAGAGAGAGAGAGAGAGAGAGAGAAAGAGAGAAAACAGGTTCGAACACAAAATCAAATCTTTCAGTTTATTCACGTAATAAGATTAGAAACACGCTTGAATAAGTTCAAATTAACTTCTCAAAAATTTGGCAATGAAAATATTTAATCTGATTGCGAGATAATTATACAAATAAGATTATATATATGATTAACAAAGTATTGCGTATTATTAATTTTGAATTATTCAAGTGGATAGATTAAAATACGATTTAGCATGAGTATAAAGTTTAAGGTCATATTATTTTTTATTGCTAATTTTACCTATATCTTTTTAAAATGTAAGAAAATGAGATATTGACTGCGTTCGCTTTGACTGTAATTTCATATTTTGTACTGTAAAACTTTCTTTGTATATATATATAATCTTAAGAAAATAAAAAGAAATAAGAAAATATTAAATAAAAAAATTATCTTTATAATAATAACATATATTTATAATGTCATATTTATCGTCATTAATGTTTATATTTATGTCTCTCAAAGCTTAATTTAGATAAAATTATTAAACGCAAACTTGGACATATGTTTAAATCATTAATATTGAAAGCGATGATGTATCATCAAATAGAGAACGAAAGTTATAGACGACTTGCATATGCATTTCGAGAGATATGCAAGCAATTTTTGAGATATGATAAGAGACGCGACTAAACATATATATGTATACATATATTATACATATATCGATACGTTAGTCTTCTTTGAACTACGAAATTGTATAATGATCGTATAAGCACAACACCTTACTATAATTATGATGCATTTATTATTAGAGACACAAACCTGAGACGTTTTTTCGATTCCATCATTGTGATAATTGTGGTAAAATCCGACTCGAGTCGTGACTCGTCTTCGAGATTGCGTGAACGACTGGGCGTCGGCGTGATCAGGTGGCAATTTAATAATATATATGTATAAAGCAGGGTCCACATTATCGAATCAAACTTCGAGTCAAACTTTGGCGCGAATCATCGCGTGCACAGTCGTATGTCCACTCCAAGGAGTCACGAATATTTTGCTGACAACTAATTGTCAGTTCGATTCACAGCGTTTTACTAAAAGTCGTTGTACCAAAGAATTTTTTTATGATCAAATTACACGTTTTGATGTGTGTGATAACCGAGCATCGAGTTAGAACGATAACGAAACATGAAAGACCAACACAAACACATGAATAGTTGCCCTATCAATAATATTCGATTCAATTCATATGTGTTTACACATATACAAATTATCTTATGCTATTAGTTTTTGATAATGAAGCTGGAATAATCTAATCAAGAATGTGTAAGAGATTATTATTAAATCAGATGTTAAAAATTTTCAACGTTACGATAAATTGAAAAGAAGATTCTTGGGAAAAAATGAGTAACCAACTTGAATTAAATGATATGTGCAAAAAAAGATAACATTTTTGATGTCCCTAGAAAGCGAAAGCCTAAAATGACAAAAATTTGTAAGTAAACAAAAACAGACAAGATTCAAAACTGAATTTCGAACTATGTTCGTTACAAGCGCGTAAAAATTTGAATACGTGTTTGTTTTAAACAGGAATTTGATTTGAGAACCGTCTAAAGATTTGGCTCGGTAATGTGAATCCTCCTTAACGGTAGGCGATAATTTAAACGAGTGATTATATCAAAAGATAATTTCGATATAAGATATAGATTTATTCGATCAGCTTTCGCGAGCAAATAAGTTTGTTCGTGTATCAATCGCTCTGCACACAAACAGCAAGTTTTCATTGAAATGTGTGCTATGTACGCAACTATTCATGAATCTAATAATAATGAAGCAATAATGTCGATTAGATACGTAGATAATAAAATAAAAAAATATTTCCGCGAATGGACAACTCAACTTGATTTTCGTGTAATTGAAAGATCGAGTGCACATATTCGATAAGTTACATAATACCGATTTAACAGTCTTATCAGAAGCTTATAGATTAAAAACAAAAAAAATAAAATATTGATTCAAAAATGCAATTTGAAATTTGTTTCAGTCTTTTTGTCTTTCCAATCTATATTCTATCCGATATGTCAATAGATGATATAATTTTAAACAATTATGATGAATTAATGTATTCTCACTAAATTCTCATTAAATTCGTAAAGCAAAGCTCTGAAAAAGCTCGTTTAAGATTATCGTCTTATCAGATGTGAGATCATCAATCTTTCGTAAATGTCCAAAGTAACAGAATCCCGCAGCACAACGTATAACGTTATCTAGAGATAAGCCTGCAGGAAATCTGGTAGTCTCTTCTTTTTCTCTGACTACATTCTCTATTCTCTTCTTTTTTTATTCTACAATCTGCAGATATAGAGTAATTTTATCATTATTATCTACCGGAAATGTCTTAATTAATTTGAAAGAAATTCTTTCCAATCTTGAGACGCTATATTTGTATATGATATAAAAAATTAAAGATATAATAATTATTTTTTTTGTAAAAATTATTTTAGAACTTTATATATGTATGTATATTTTGTAATAACTAAAAAATTTAAAAAAAGATTGAAGATTAAGTTACATTTGTTACATCGTAATGTAACAAATGTAATATATATATATATATATATATCTATCTTTGGTTACTATTGGTTTTCTAGTTTATACGTTGCAAACTACGATAAAATTCAGAAATGAAAGAAAGCAGGATAAAAAAAACGGACATGCTACTTTATGGCGGAAGTGTTGACAACGGGGAAAAACTGTTTTATTCGAAAGGACTGGGAAAGGAATGATCTCACTGCCGTCCGATCGCGTATGCAGGAGCATCGTGATAAAGGGAGAACGATTCTCGAATGGGAAAGGCGAGCAAATCTGCTCCCACCGAGTGCCGGGATAAAAGAGACGATTTGCAAACTTGCTGTCGGAACGACACATACGGAGCTCCGCGATTCCGATCGGAAGGCAAACGCAAGCACGAAGTTATCGTTTATAAAGATCCTATCCGACACACAGAGTGAAAGAGAGAGAGAGAGAGAGAGAGAGAGAGAGGGAGTGACAAACTTTATGAATTATGAAACTATTCCGAATCGGAAAAATAATAGATGTCGCATCATTTCGATTCTATCGATTCACATATCACAACTGAGAACGTTTCTAATCTAAATTCTATTCCAATCGCATTATACACGATACAGTTGCATGTAAGACTTGAAAACAAAATTTGAGGGAATTTGAAGTCTGGCCGGTCAATGAAACTCTCACAATAGCAGTTTTTCAAACAGACGAGGTTTGTGACTTTATTTACAATGCGAGTTCGCAAATAGCCGAAAATGGAGAGTGACACGATGTAGTACATACGTACGTGTATGTACTATACATATACGTCATGTTTCATTGGGATGCACGTTATTGCGACGTAATTTCTCCAACTTGGTCAATTTAACAGTTTATCTTTGGTCGCTTTATTGCGTTCGTCCAGTGCGCTAATGCAAACGTTTTTTTCCAAACGCCAGGTAGAGACCTGCTTGCATTTTGACCACCCTTTCCCACCCTTTCCCCACTCTCTCCACATGCTTTCCTCCGCCAACTATGCTGAACAGATGCAATCGATATTACCAATGGGCCGACTGCTAAATCATAGCGTGTATATTGGTTGCTCGAAGTCATGGCACTAACATTATGGATAAAATTAATAGAAGCGACCACGCCGGAAAGAGCACTATTGGTAAACTTGCTAAGCTTGCGTCAGGGTCAATATAGTCATCCTCTCCTGCAAAAGTATATCTATAGTTATATGTGCGCGCCCGTGAATTGTCTGTATAGGTTTGTACATGCGTATCGTTTTAAGCTCCCAGATTTGAGCGTTGGGCTTGTTTGATTATATCGCATGTACAAATCCTGTGTATTTCCTCCAATTTATGGTATATCCATGATACATCTAGTACGTTGCTATCGGATCGTTCCACGGTGGGTTCGATAATTTTACGAAAATTATTAGAAAGTTTGACATCTAAATGAGTGAAATGCTATTTGTTTCAAAGGCCATTTTTTTAAATAATTAATTTTAATCTGTTTCTAAAATATACATAGGGTTCTCATTTCTCTCGAACTATAAGACACATTTTGTGATATTTGAGTGCGTGGTGAAAAGTTCTGATGATACAATAGTGTTTAGCTTAAATTTATACTACTTGAACACGCGGAGGTTCAAGGTTCTCTCGATATAAGACTCGATTTACTCTTCCGTCACCAAAGTACCTCTTGTGAGAGATAATCGACACCAGTCAAAGTTTCTCTAGAATCGCAGAAATTACTGGCTGCTACGGGCTGTAGTAATTGGTTATAACAGAATATCCCGTTTCGACCAAAGTCAGAGAACAGACGCGGAAGACGTCTGTAATTTACGCGCTTGCTCAGAGAGGATTCTCCCACTCTTTCGTGTTCCTTTCTGTTTGCCCGAAGCATCTCGTCAATACACACCTAATATTTATCATTTACATTCAATCTGAGTATTCTATAGTGTGATTCAATTTAGTCTTGCGTTTTATTTATTTCTTGAAATTCTTCGAGGCGTATATTTTTGTGCCAAGAGTAATGGCATGATCACGAATGCGAACGATCGGCAACGCGTTTCATTGTGGATCGCTCGATCTAGTGTTCCAGCAACATGCGAATGGACCATTAGCGATCGAAGATATATAGGTGAACGTAATAGTAATCCGAGGAATCCGGCACTTTTGGTGGTCGTTGGTAACGTCGATAAAAGCATCGGAAGCAATAATATCGCTCGCGCACGTGCAATATCTAGATTTAAAGAAGGGAAAGTAACGATTGGATGTCTTCCGATGGTTAGACTATAGCGCAATATCCCTTTGTCGGTTAAAACCCATCGCGACGATCAATAATTAAAAAATCCCGATAGCATCGATGTTGTTCCGCATCGCGTATCGCTCCATCCTACGATTCTCGTTGTAAATACATCGTACATCCGCTCGTATTGCACAACGATGCATACAGAACGTCCGGAGAATTGCATCGTAAAATACTACAGCGGAAAAGTTTGTGAAAAATTAAACAATAAAAGTATTCGCGCGACTTTTTACTCCAAGAAGTAATTTTTATATTTGTTGCTATGGTGTTCGTATCAATAACGATTAATCTCGAAAATTTCATGATATATAACAATTCCGCAATCATCATTTTTTTCATATTTTTTAATATTTTGTTAATTAGTTTATGTAACAAATTTTGAGAACAAATTTGCGTCCAATTATAGAATTATAGAATCATTGATCTATACACATGTACATATTCTCCAATATTCAAATATCTAAGAAATATGCCAAGATTTTTCGAGTGTTCGATATAATGTAAAATACATAATCATTTTGGATATTAATTGTGTGTATAATATGGGTATTTATTTTGATATATTTAAGTAATCAATTAAGAAATTGTATATGCATATACACATATACTGGGGATCACGGAGGCGGGTTGGGGTTAAACCTCTGTCTTCTAAATTAAAAGAAATTCTAGTCCGATTATTTTTAAAATATTTTATTTATAACGATAAATATTCGAAGCGGTGAACTTTCATTGAATACGAGCATTGTACTTACGGTTCCATTGACTGATACACTTTTTAGCGTCTCTAAAAAATATATTTAACAAAAATGGAAGAAATTTAAAATCAACCCTTATTTCAATAAATGCATGCAAAGAAAAAAAATAAAATTCACAATTTCCCTAATTACATTTAAAATCATAAATTGCAAAATAATTCTATATGATTCTATATATCATAATAATCTTTTTTTTTTAATTTTTAAAAACGCCCTTGCAAACTCGTATAATACGGTAGTTGTACGAAGACATACACAAGTGCTTCCTAGAAAGTTCAATGGTAAATAGACGAATATGGATATATGTATACCATGCTGAATAGCGATTTGCGTTGTTGTTGATCTTTGTTGTAACACACATTCGCTTGAGTCACTATACGCTTCAGTTTCATGTAAACGCGCATATGCGTACGTAGCTTAAGATTGCGTCCTTCTATCCTTGTAATACTAGTGGATTAAAACAACATGTATCGTGAAATGTGAGCACGGTACTAGCAGTATGAACAACAGTGTGTGATTTATCTCATCTTTCTCTCCTCTACGTAGTTAGATCCCGTATTTACCGGTTACCTACATGCTCCATTTGTACTAAAATTTAGCAGCATCGTTTCGCCATACAACATACAATGCTCATCATGCAAACAATGATTCGCAATTTTATGTGAACATGAATTAACGTAAATTAACTTAGCGTTGTTAAATTAACGGATATTAACCTAGTATGTTTTATTAATTATTCTAAACTTTTTAAAAAATTTAATAAGAAAATTATTTTGAAAATAGGCAAATTTTAAATAGCTGTAACTTTGTGTCAAGAAATGAGAATTTCAATTCTAAAGAAAGATTTTAAAAGTTGAAATATCTACTTTTGAAAAGTCACAGCTGTTTTTCATTTAATTCTTTCAATTCTAGTATTTTTTATATTTTACGTTTTACAGAAAACGACGTACCTAATGAAATGAAAAATTTTTTTCACTTTGTAGATGTGTCGCATACATAAGAAGATTTGAAAAAATTTTTCGACATTTTCACATTAAAGTCTGAAGTTTTCCCTGCAAAATCATTTTTTAAGATTTAAATTTCAATGTTTCCTTATGAAGTTATCGCAAATTGAAGAGAAAATGTCATTTTCACTTTTATCGTTCGTAACTCCGTTAAAAATCATCGTACAGCAGTTTTAAGAATGGATTTTTAAAGCTGAATCTTTGCTCTATAGTATGATATAGTGACTGAATTTTTTTGTAACTCGTTAACTTTTTACAAATAGGTGAAAGTAACGAAGAAATTCGCGACTTTTCACGTAACTTTTTTCAACGTTTAAACAAATAGCAGAAAGCAGAAAGCGAATTTCTTTGTTATTTTCACTTATTTATATAAAGTTCGTGAGTAAATTATAGTAATTATATATGTATATTTATATATAGTAAATTTATTAAACAGATTAAAAAAATTTAACAAATACAATATAAGCAAAAAATTTTTCACATAACACAAATTTTTTATTAAATTAACATGCAAAGAAAGAGATTAATTAATAAAGAATTGATAATCTGATTAAAGATGTGAAAAAGTGATGTAACTATATATATTTTAAATATATTTATGAATTTATTGAAAAAAATTATAATTTTTCTTTCCTGTGCAATTATATTATTTAGAAATTTTGTGATTTTTTGCAATCTGTAATATTAAAAATTATTATTGCTATTATGAAAATCATTATATTTTTTATCAATAGTATAATTTAAATATTTTGAAATTATTATATATTGTAATTAATATTTTAATAAGAGAAATACATTAAAAAATGTATATAAAAATTTGTAATTTTTGAAAAAAATATAGAAACAGGTTACTTATAAAATCAATAACAAATTACTGTACAAAAAAAGAATGATAAATTGCTTTAATAAATTTATTTTCCAAATCATGATTAGGAATTAACGAAATACAATATTAGGTACGGTATATATTTAAGAATTTTGTAATACAATATAATTTAGTGTAAATCATATGAAATAACAGTAATATTATAAGTATTATTATTAATTATATCCTTCAAAACAAAATCGTTTAAATCTTTCCTCGAAATATGTACATATGCCCGCAGGTATGATTCATTTCAAACTGATAATGTGAATTCCTGGAATAATTAAATGATTGAATTACTTATTATGTATTTCTATCTTGACAGCATTTCTAGACTAACACAATGATAACTAAAATAAACTAAAATTAAAATATATTGGATACAGATGCAAATACATATATGATTACAAATAAAACAAATTACTATTTGTTTATTCAAAGATACTGTAAACTAGTATTATTTTTTAAGATAATAAAAAATGACATGATATATTTTTCTCATGTCATACTGAATGATTCAATTTTAATATTTAAAAATAAATACAGAATGTTTGATACAATATTATTTATTTTAAAAATATTATTAGAAAAAATTGACTGAAACTAAACGACATTCCATATGTGTAAATAAAATTGATGAATGTCTTCTATTAAAAGTTTTTTTATTTTTTCTTCTTTCTATCTCTATATAAACATGATAGCTGATTATATAATTTCAACAACTTCCAATAGAACATTATATATACATATATATATATATGCTATGTTAAAATTGTCATAAAATAATTGCAACATCGTCGATATAATTAGAACTAATCAATTATTACATCAAATGCTTCATAATATATTATATAATATTAAATGCTTAATAATTATAACATCAAATGCATAAAGCTTGTTTTCAATAAAAGTTGTATAGCAAAATATATAAATGATAATTTGTTATATCTATATATATTCAATCAAAATGAATATATATGGATATAGAAATTCGCTATTATAAATTTTGCATTATGTTATGAATATTTCATCTCGATATTTATGCATACAATATGATTTAACTAAATAAATCTAAACGATATTAATAATTTACTAATATATAGTAAACACAGTATCAAAAAATTACGTAATTTTATATATATAATATTTTGCATGCTCTTCCTTTTTCTCTCTTTCTCTTCTTTTTTTTTCTTTTTTTCTTGTTTCTCATAAATAATACTGTAGAACAGCGAGAATATTTTACGTTAAGAGACATCTAACTTGTGAGAGCTGTTAAAGAATCTAGATTATATGCTTACTGGCGGCACACCGTGGCTATTTGCTGCAATTCGGAAGATTGGAAGTTTTCCAACAAGAAAACAGGTAAATACACTGTTATGCAATATTAGCTATTGGAGAATTTTTTTTAAGTTCTGTGATTTTTTTATTTGATAGCCAATTATGTGACATTGTGTTTATGAGTTCTTGCTGCGTGTTGCTATTATATATACTGCTTTACATAAAATTTACCTAAAAAATTATATATTTTAAATTATATAATTTTATAATTTTAAATATATACATATATGGTATTTTATTGACATATATGAATACATAGTGGAACTTTAATAATATTATTTTATATAATATGATATAAAATAGTATATAAATATGGTATTACATATTATTAATGTTAGATCATTAAAATTTTTTTAAGTGAAATTGTGTACTCTCTTAAATTTTTAAATTAAACTATATTTAATTAAGTGTTTTACTTATCTAAAATATCTTTTTTATATTGAAATTGAGACAAAATAAATATGTTTTCTTTTTATTCTTACGAGAAGTGGCAGATATAAAAAATTATTGCAAGACTTATTATTAACATCTAAAAATTATATTTTTCAATTTATAAAAAGTTTTATATCATTTTTGTAACAGTTTTATTCCCTTGTACAAATCTCTCTCTTTCTCTAATATATATTAATTTCAGGAAAATATATATGCTACTGATTAAAGTCTGAATCGCATTTATTGTTAATTGTTAGACTTCTTTGTCTTACTGCGCTTGCGTAGAGAAGAAAATCCTACAGTTCAAGAACAATAGGGTACAGGCAGGACCGATCCTAGCGAAGGTCAAATGCGTGCCCTACTTTCGCATTTTTTTTTTTTAAGACAGGATATGACCGCACTGTACTGCGACCGGCTCCTCAGGGAGAGTCAGCCTGCGGGCTTTGAGGGACTTGGTCCTGATTCGAAGGCCAGGACTGCATACCAAACGCTAAAACCTGTCTATAGTTCTTGACCGTTTACGGGATATTGTTCACACGCAACTTTTCTCGCATTACATCCGTAGCCTGAATCGTTTCCAGTCTCATTCCTCGAGGAGCGAACCTCTGTCCAACACCCGCGCTTCAAAGAGAGAGCCGGGTTATTAGTTCACCTCTCTTCATCCCTGAGGTGACGTGCAAAGGGATCGGAGCACCCGCACCTTTCCCTACCATCTCGACCTTTGCGGTCTTAGGCCGTGCACAAGATCTCTCTCTCTCTCCCTCTTCGGTTTAATATTTAATATTTTTCCTATTGTGCACAGGGCCTTAAAGTTTTACAAAAATTGAAAAACAAAATCCCAATTTGCAAAATAATAATATGTAAAAATAATGAAGAGAAAGTGTAAAATTGTTAGAATTGAATTTGAACGCAACAACGGGACCAAATGTGGATTTAGGGCATGGGCGACGAGCGACGAGGTATCCAGCACTGCGCGCATGCGCAGCGCTCGGAGCGTACGGTATAAATGTGTGTTGGAGGTAACCGCGTCAGATACGTGCGGGCTGTGCGTTGGTGCGCGTGGATTCTCTGGATGAGTCTTCGCAAACGTGGTTATCACGTGTACTCTCGCCGGTTGCGATTCACATGTGTGTGCAAAGTAATTGGAGGAAAAGAGATAGTGTTCTCGCTATTATTTACGAAATATTGGTGCTAGCGCGTCGCGTTACGCGAACGAACGTTATTTATATCGCAGTGCCCGTGCTAAATTATACGTGGGAAGCCGAGGGCTGCCGGTTATCCGTTCGACAGGCTTGCTCCTCTCGGCCGCATTATACACGCTGCTAAACGACGTTAAGCGACGTTAAGCGACGTGCCGAGTGAAACGGTAAACGATGATCCATTTGTACCATTCCGCGACATCGAATCGCTGCTCTAATTTTGGTGAAATACCGCCGTTGATTTCTGGAGGCGTGGCATTTGGACGCGCGACGTGGATAAACGCCGGCTTTTCTTTCTCTCCCCCTTTCACTTGCTATATGCATATACATATATACACGACGCAAGCGCGCGTGCACGCAGAGCATACACATACGTTCTCCTTGCATGTGGAGTCCTCGCGTTCGTTACTTACATATCGCGCGTGTACATATATATGTATATATGTCGAAATTATGTAGCGAGTTTTTGACATGAAATTTTGTAAGGGCCGCAAGTGTGTGTCGTGTGTCATTCGGCATTGATATGTATCGCCGGGGATATAACGGTATCGCCGCTCTTGTTCCCACAGCTGGTTCGCTCTGGCACGAAACGGTGACCCGTTGGCGCGACGAGTTTAGCGCAACGTGCACGCGTTTATATTGTAAAATACGCAACATCGACGCGTACTTTGGCCATCCCTGTACGCGTGTCCGTTGCCAAAGTGCGTCCGACGTTCACTGTCGATAGTGTCGATCGGTTTAAGCCGAACACGTGTGTTCTCTCGCGTCACGCTTACATCCTACGTTGCACATAACCTAAAACGAACGCGTGATTCGAAACGTGCCCGAATCTCTTTCACCGTATACCGACCAGATTGTTAACGAATGTTTCTCTTTTAGTGTGTTATTTGTATCGCGGATACATCGCTCAGTGACGAAGCTCCAATCTGAATATTGTGTGTGTGCCATGGAAACGGAATTACAATTCTTAAACGACTACGATTATAACTACAATTCATTCGAGCACGAGGTAAGATTTTCAAGCCGTTGATTCATTTTTTACCGTCTACTTCTCAATTCGAGATGATATTTCATCTATTTCAATATTTTATTTTTAAAGCGATGACGAACAAATCATTTTAACATTATGATAGTTCGTTTTATCCTATTATCAAGAACTACGAATAGCTTTTCTTAACTAGCATTACGATTTTACAAAGGACGCTATGGCATATATCTTTTAGAAGAAGTATTAAATTATTTTACTTTATTTGTCTCTATATATGTTTTAAATAACATCATCTCAAAAAGAAAAGGGATTTATTTATTTCATTCATTTCATATGTTGAATAAAAATTGGATTTATATGAAAACACACACACACACACACATATTGTAATATAATTTTAATAAAAAATATTTATGTTTTTTTATTGTATTGAAAAAGTAGTTCTTATGTATGATAGAAAATTAACAAAATTACATTTACACTCGCGATTATAGAGATAAAGAATGCACATGGATAGAATAATATGCGTTTATAAAATTACGCGGTAATAAAAATCAAAAATAAAAAAAATAAATAAAAAGAAGATAAAAAGAATAAAAAGAAATATTCCGGTTATATTTACAATTCACATTCTTTAGATATATATTGTATCATGCTGTGAGGGAAAAAAGCAAAACTATAATAGAAAAGAGAAAAGTTTCACTGTTTGAAGATTAAGATTGAGAAAATTTACTTTGTCTAATAAAGATAAAAAGAACACAGAAAAATTTTATCTTTGTTTGACAAAGATAATAAAATCCATCCGTTCACAAAATTGTACAAAAATATATTATTTTAATATATTCATTTGTTAAATATATTTTCTTTCTACAAAAATAATATCAAACAATTGAACCAACAATAAAAATAAATCATGTATGTATTCTATAAAATTTAGTTCTTTCATATTATATTTCAATTTCAGATTAAATTTTTTTAATTTAAAATTAAATGTTTTATTCATGAAATGCAATATAATTGTTTATTTTGCTTATATATTTGCATCTTAAATATAATTATAGAATATACAAGATATATTTCCTAATAAAAATTTATTTGAAACACACTTAATATATAATATATCAATAAAGATGATACAATTGAGAAGTAACATCGATTGATATTTTATATTATGGAAGCAATATAACGCGTGCTCTCTCCAAAGGCATGTAGATGCATTCAGAGAATCATCACTCATTTACGTTTTAGTCATACAATTTTTCTCGAAACTTTCTAAAAATGGTAAAAAATACAACTTCTAACAGAAGACAAAGAAATTCGGGGGAGGGCTAAGCTAACATATTTATTGCACAGTTGGATACTTCTTACAATTAGAAGTCGTTTTTTAAAAGAAAACATTTTGCCTGTCGTACTTTGCATTCGGTTATCCATCATTTGTTTATTCTAGATAGACATCCATTGTTCCATTTGAAATGAATGACTTTTGGTTCAAAAAGGATCCCATTCATATATACATAGACACTAAGGCAGGTCCTTTGTGAAATGGTCATAGGTTTAGAAATAGACGTTTGATGGATATCTGAACGTGTACCATGTGCTGGACATATGTATATAGATTAGATTGTACTAATCATATGTACAATATATATATATATATATATATATATATATATATATTTAAGTACTTTTGATCTTCTCCTGTACATTACTCTAATTATATTATATTCAAATTCTTTACATATTGTATATTGTATCAAGGATGTATATCTGTAGAATATACAATATATTATATATAAATGTATATACATAATTGTATATACACAAGTATATTTTAATGTTTTATGGAATATCTCCGTGTTCACATAATACGTGTAAAGCTATAATAATAAAGATAATAGTTTTTTAAATTGAGAATCAAGTTATTGATTAAGCTTATTAAAAACTAAATCAATCTCCAATTGTTACTAAAATTCAGTAATCTAAAGTACTTGTATAATAGCTTTGCAACTTGCGTATAGATGCATGCTCTACTTTGTTGTGATACGCGTGATTTGACGCAAGTCATAACACTACGGTGTCTTTTAATTTTTTATTGCTAGTTAGATTTTAGTGTGTATTAAAGTTATTGCGAGTGATTGAAAATAAAAAGTATATAAATATATATAAGTTTCTCTGCTTTTAATTAATTATATATTTTTTATTATTTACAATAATTTTATTTAGTAATAATTATTTACTCGAAAAACTTAATTGATTTTGATATAAAGTAATAAATGTTTTAATTATAACATAAAATAGGATATTTATGAGATAATTTGAAACATAGTATTGCCAAAAATTAGACAATTTTGCTAAAAATGTGTTTCAAAATAGAATTAAAAAATTCTTGCAGATGTATTCAGCAAAAAAACTTTATAAACATTTATCTAATACATAATTTATATAAATATCCCGTTACGTTTTATACATAAATTTGTCATAAAAAATATAAAAGATGCGACATGCTGCGTTTCTTGTATAGACAAGAGTAATTTAGAATAAAATAAAAAAGAAAGCATTTTTCTTTATGCACAGTCATATATATAAATTCGGATAGATATCAATAGTTGTAAACTTATTCTTTCTATTGAATGCACAATCAATGATTGCAGTTAAGAAAAAGAAACAAAATAAATTTTATATACAGTTTAATTTAAATAAAAATAAAGTATAACTAAACAAATGCTAGCATTATTACTTTAATAAAATAAAAATTGTTAAATTAAGTAATAAGGCTGATATTCATTTTGAAAATATATAGTAAAAATAAAATCACAAATAGTAAAATACAATAGTAAATACTTTTTATACTATACAAAATTTATTTACAGACTTTTATGGAAAGATTTGATAATGAAGACTTTAAAAATATTATTGAAAATGATTATGATGTAGACACATCTCAGCCTATTACTTTGAATTCCATTTGGAACGACAATGAACAAAAGTAAGTACACTATTCTTATTTAAAAATATATAATGTATAATGTTATGTAACGGATCAATTTATTTTAACTATTAATTGTTTAATAAACGAGACATTTTTCATAAAAAAGATAAATCTTATAAAAATAAAACGTATTTTGCTCGAAAAAATCAGCTTTTTTAACTGGAATTATATGATTTTTGTTATATATATATATATTAATATTTTCGTAATAATTTTGTACATAAAAGTATTAATTTAATAACATTGAGTATTAATATGAAAAATAACACTTTACAAAATGAATAGTTTATGATATATAATTACTTAATTACATTAAATAAAGGTTGCATTTGTGTAAGAATAAAATTCTCACTTCGTTGTATTAATTAGTTTGTAAAAATTTCTTCCAATATTTTAATGAAACAGAATGAATATTTTACAAAATATTTCAAAATATTTCAAAATGAGAAAAAACTGATATATGTTAAAAAAGTTGTATAATTCCATTTAAAACGCAAGATATCGTAATTTTAATAGAAAACAAGATATAATAAAAGTAATTAAAACTACATATATTGCTCTCGAAATAAAGTGATTTTTATTTAAAATTTTATTTAGAAAAATGTCTTTAGTGAGATAATTGGATTTGATTTAAAATAAATTAGTATTTTTTATTTAAAAAATAAAACAATGTACATATTTTATACTGTGATGGATATGTAATATAAATGTATTTAATTATTTACAGTACGGATATAGATGTATCTGCCACAAATAGTGCAGTTCCACAGCAGACTGAAAATTGTGCAATGCTTCTCACAGAAGATCACAATTATAAGGTATGCAAATTTTTTTCTTTACAATCAATATATTTTAAATTATATTTAAAATTATGCAATTTTTTTCTTATTTTTAGACAGCAAATTTAGAATACAGAAATGTTAGAAATATGAATTTACAATATGATCTATTACAATATGGAGAGACTGAAAATTTCTTACAAGAAGTAAAAAATCTAGAACCTGAATTAAAATTAGAAGAAGACAGACAAAGAATCGGTTTGTTATCAGTAATTGTTGTATATTTCTTTTCTTATTTTTTTTTTTTATGTAAAATGCATCTTTTACAGTTAATTTTGAAGAAGAAAGTACCTTTAACATGAATACATATAGACATGGGATTAAAACTGAAAAGAAAGAAATAATTAATGATCTTTTTCTTGGATTATATCAAGAAACACATGAGCTTGAAAAAGAGAGTGCAAATAAGAGTGCAAGGAAAAGAGAAAAGAAAACAAACGAAAATATAAAAGATAAGCAAGAGGACCAAGAGAATTGTATAGATGTCGAAACTATATCAGATGAAAAACCAGGTATGAGAATTATAATAATTCATACAGATACATAAAATTTACTGAAAACGAATAATTTATTAAGAATTATTTTTTACTAGTATTACAAGCTCGTAATATAAAGAGTTTGTTAGAAAAATTTGAAGCCTCTGAAAATCCGCGTAAGAAGCCGCGTAATAAGTCGACCATCAAAAATGATTTTCTACCCGCCATGAAGCCGAACACAATGCAACAGATGACTCAGAAATACCAAAATCAAGTATTAGAGAAGCTTCCTTCCCAAATTTCTAATCAACATAAGCGTACGTCAGATTATGTCTCAAAAGAAGTAATTGATAGGATAAAGGTCATTATTTACTTTATAAATATAAATAGTAAATAGTCTATTGTGATAATATGCAAACAAGTTTAACAATTTTTTTATTCTGATTGTTAAATTTTAGGCCTCAGGACGTAAAAGAGCTATTGCAATAATACCCGCTATGCCAAATGTACAGAATAAAAGCCGTAATAGTAATAATACACAAGAGGTTGGAGCCACGTTTTCTCATAATAAAGTTTTAAAGCAAGTAAGTTTTACAATTAATATTATTACACTGTGGTGCAATATTATACATTTAGCATGTAATTTGGATAACAATTGTTTGTTGCAACTTTTTTAATGAATAAACAATCCATTAATTATAATGCTTTTTTAGGTAACAAGTGATGCTAAGATAGATGATAATTTAGTACAATTGGATCATGATTATTGTATTGGCTCTGCTACTAAAAGCTGTGATAGCAGTAGTAAGTACAATGATGGATAGACAATAGTAATAGTGAAGAGAGAGACTATTTTAATGAATAAAAACAATACATTTATTTAATTTTTGCAGAATTTACGAAAGATACATCTGTATTAAAATTAAACCAGAATAAAAAAATGCTAAAATGTAATGACAAAATTGTAAAATGTCATAACAATAGCAATTTGAAGAAAGACAGTGTGGAAGTAACTGATATATATGATACAAGTAAACTAGCAGTTTGTACTTCATTACAAACTGATAAAGAAACGGATAAAATCAACGAAAATAGATTCGAAAAAGGTCACAAGGACTATCAACAGAAGATTTGTGTAGAACAATCTCATCTCTTAAAGGATTCATTAGCTATTAAATTACCTAAGAATAATGTAATAATTCCAAACAAATCTTCTAATACAGATTCTTCTGTATATATAATTCACTCAGCTTTAGCTAAAAGTATCTTACGAAATGATTCTAAGAATACTTTACAAGCGAATTCTAAAACGCAGATGATTTCTGTATTGAAGAAACCACCACCAAACGCATCACAATCACTAAACAAATCACAATCATCGTTTTTAAAAAGTAACTCTGACGAAACTACAGTGACTACTGCTACAAACAGTTTGAATAATAAGGTGGAGAATATAATTTTACAAGATATTAAAGATTTACCTTCAGACGAACAAATGAAGAAACCACCGTTCCGTAAAAAATTGAATTTGGCAGAATATCGAAATAGAAGGGATCAAAATCGTAGTGACAATAGCAGAACAAATTCTCCGATACAGCCTAAAATGTTAGAGTATGTTCATCATGCTTCGACTACGACAGAACCAATTAAAAATGATCCTGAGAACCCAATTTGGTGTGAGAGGGAAATTGTTCTTAAATCAATCTTCAAACCCAAGTCAGATATAGACGAAGAAAAAAACAAATTAAAACCACTTATGTGCGATGTAGGAATACAGACATATGAAACTGTATTTGAATTTTCTGGAAGATCATTGGTAGATACTGCAAAGAAAAATGATACGAGGTAATATATTAAAATCTATTACACAATTTTTAATAAAAAAGAGGATTTGTCATTTCCTGTAGTTTTTTAATGCTGAATGTCGGCTTTCAAATTGAAAGTCACGATATAATTTTGAGACCAGATTAGAAATTAGAAATTGTTGACAAATCAATTTAAAAAGATTACGAGAAGTGACTAATTTTGTTTGTGTTAAAAAATTATTTTATGTTAAAGCTGTGATATTAATATATTTATCATTATTATTGTTAGAAAATTTATTAGAAGCTATTTATTAGAATTTATTTATGACAAGAAATGTTTGAAATATCTGTTAAAATTTAGATTAAAGATCTGATTAAAAATCAATTGTCTTAATTAAACTATAAAACAAATTTTTGTATTAGATGTATGCAACAATAAACTGCATGTGCATTTTGGAAAAGACTAGAAAATTGGTTAATTTTATGTATATTTCTTTTTTTCTGGCATCTAAAAAAAATTTGTGAAACTTACAAACTTCTACTTACTCTGCTTATCATAATTTATGTAATATCACATTACAGAGAGGAAAATATGAAAGACATAAAACAAAGATCCTACAAAAAGGATAGATTCTATAGGAGATCAAGTCGGTCCAGATCAAAAAGTAAAAGCAAAAAGAGAAACAACAGTGAAATTAGTAGGAGCAGCAGGAGCAGAAGCAGGAATGGAGACAGAAGCAGAAGTCGGAATAGCAACAGTAGTAGTAGAAGCAGAAGCAAGAGTTGTAGTAGAAATAGAAGTCGAAGTATAAGCAAAAGGAAAAATCACTGTAGAAGCAGAAGCAGAAGTAGATCTTGCAGATGCAGCCGTCGACGAAGAATCCGATCCCGTCGACGCAGTTCTGTCAGCTCGACCAGTAGTTGCTCGTCTCATTCACGTTCATATACGACATCTACAAGATCAAGATACTCTAGCTCGCGTTCTAGATCATCTAGATCCAGATCGGAATATTCTAGCTGTTCAAGGTAAAGAGAAAAGAAATTAATATTACAGATTAATTTATGTAATTGATTATAGAATGAAAACTGTCTAAAAACTGTACTACATACTTCGATCAGTTTACACAATTTTCCACATATACGTTTTAATTTTAATGACAAATACTCTAACGAATATGATTAATATTGCTTTTAAAGTGAAAATAATTAAAAAAAATTTAAGTAACATTTCTTTTAAAATAGTTTTTCCGTGAAAAATTAGCTAAAAAATTAAATTTATTATTTATTTGCTTTTCTAAAGTTTAATAAAATTATAATTATATTAATAATTAATTAACAAAAAAATTTGTTTTTTACTTTTAAAAAGTATTATTGCTTTTATATTTAATTAAGAGAAGATTCTTCGATATCTGATTTATCAAATTCGGCAATTTCTTATTAAAATTAAAGTAAGGGAAATCTTTATAAGTTAAATTTCAGATCAGAAGTTTTAGTAATAATACATAAAATTCTCAAATGAATGTTATTATAGGTCTTCCTCCTATTCGAATTACGGAAGAAGTAGATGGTCTAATCATCAGAGGAAAAGCAGCAGCGATCGCGAAAAAAGTTATGATAGATATAAAAGGCATTCCTACGGTAGTCATCGTTACAAAAATTGGAGGTAAAAAATATATTTTTCGAGATGATTTTTATAGATTTACAAACAAAGATTTAGAATAGTTGGGGCAATGGGACAATTGTCAGCAGTAATTTGGATATTATTCAGAACTTATAAAGTCTTGCTATATATAATCTGGCATACTCGGCAACACGTCAAAGAAGCAGAAATTCTGAAGAATAAGTACTCGTACGAATCGCAAATAATGATGAGATTTTTTTCCAAATTTAAATCCACATTCAAATTACGCATTTACTCAGTTTGTTATTTACGAGTACTTTTATCATTGAAAAATAATCATACTTGATTAGAAACATTACTAAATAATTAAAAAGTTTATTTTTAAATTTATTTGAAAAATACGATTTATTTTTGAAAAAGGTTCTTTAATTTTCCTTTGTTAGTATCTCTCTCTGAATTAGACTATTGAAAATGTAAACGTACAAATAGAATGTAATTTTTAAAAATTTTATTTAACTAGTAATTGTTTCGATTTAAATGTATGATTCAGTGAAAATAATATGGGATATTAATGAATAATCAAAATGAAATATTACTGTAGCCTAGCACTAGCAATAACTAAGAAAATGATTAAAGACATCTTTTATCTTTGACTAAAGACTCTTGTAATTTGTTGTTAGATCACCTGTACGCTCTTATTATAAATCCTACAATTGGTGCAATAGAGAAAAACAAAGGCAAGTGGAAGAACGAAGAGTGATATATGTGGGACGTTTAGATGAAAATACTACCAATGCAGATTTGCAGAAAAGATTTGAGAAATTTGGACCTGTTGTAAATGTCAGTATACATTTACGTGAGCATGGGTATGTATTTATTAATTGCTTTATTATTTTTTTAAGATAATATCTTCCTTGAATTTATAATGTGTTTTCTATTTTATTATATATTAAATATTTATTTCAGCGATAATTACGGTTTCGTTACTTTTAAATATAAAGACGATGCATATGCAGCTATAGAGCATGGCAATGATAATCCCTCTTTACCTACCTATGATTTAAGCTTTGGTGGCCGTAGAGCATTTTGCAAAAACAAATATTCAGATCTTGGTAAGAAGAAAAAAATGCATATATACATATATAATGCACACTTTATTATATGTTTTATCATCTTCAATTTAGAAATTGTATGATAAATTATATAACGAATATACTTTTTTTTATAGATGATACGGTGAGTAGGTCACCCATTAGCAAATCGTCTCCAATAAATGAAGAAAATACTTTCGATTTTCTTTTGGAGGAAGCAAAAGCTAAATTGCGTAAAAGAAAAGTTTGACGTATGTACTATCTAATAGTTATAAATTATAACTTAAATGATAGTATATAAATGTTATTATTGAAATATATCGAAAGAAAAGAGGCATTTTTATTTATACAAATGCATACATGATACAGAGACATACAGAAAACAGTGCATTTTGTTGCTGTTCCTTTACCATAAGAAATAGCAAGTGTTACAAGTATGCAAGTATTTAAAATTTTTGTGCCGGTTAAGAGATAATTGAAAATAAAAACTATTGATCTATGAACTATTGAAGAGATAATTGATTCGGATCTTTTAATACACGAATAACACACGAATAGTTTAATATTCGTGGAATCTTTGTTGCATCGACTTTTCTCCGAATCTTATTCAATTTTCCGAAAGCAATATAAATCAGTTTCCTTTGATTATATCGACTTGAACTAGTGTCCGCACGTTCCTAGCAAATATAATGATATGGTAAAAGGCAATATTTGCCTTGATGTAGTGATATATTATATTTTTCAGACTCACAAAAGTATCGAGAAATAATGAATTTCTTTCAAGAAAAAACATATTTAATTTGAGCTCGCAGCAATGCTAATATCCTTATAAGAATATTTACAACATTTTAATCGGTTTTTATTAATTTTTTGACTTTTGTGGAAACATTATTTATTGTTTATTTCACAGTTATATATTTTGTGATTATTTTAAGTGAGATATCGCATTGCCGTATATTTAAATATCTATTTTTTCATCTCTTTTATTTCCTTTTTGTAATTTAAAATTAATCGAAATATCAGTGTGTATATTAGAGCTCAAATTTATCATTTGTCCAATCGTGATAGGATTTTTTATTCAATTAAATGGTAATAAAGAGGAGAATTAGACAATGGATTTAATTGTATGCATCTAAGTTTGTAATAGATTTGGCGACAGAATTCTTATACTATAAAATGTAGGTTTATATATTTAGAACTTAATTATTTTAAAATATTGATTAATATATTGATTAATATATTGATTAAAGACAGATTTTTTCGATAAAAATGAAGTTTATTTACAAAGAAAGGATAAGAAATGTGAATTAATCAGTTATAATTGTACATATATACATATAATATACATGATTTTTAATATTTATCTTTAATTATCTTTTAATATCTATCTATTATATATTGACAATAATTGTATATAAATTAATTAAAAGGTAGTTATTAATAAAAAATTCTGTTTATCTCAAAATTCAAATTTTTTTAAGAGCATATTATTAAATTGTTTAATTTTTATCGAAAAAAATCTGTTTTAAATTAATTTTTAATATGGCATAAAATCGTATTTAATTAATCAATACCAGCGCGCGCGCGCACGCGCACACACACACACACACACACACATTTATTTATATAAAATTATCCAATTTATATTATAATGAACACATACAAATTTATGCTTTGATTAATTAAATAGAATTATGCCATATTTAAAACTTTATTAAACTTCTTATTTTTTTTTATTTTTATAAAGCGATTCAATAAATAAAGTAATCTTTATCTTAAAAAAGAAAACAAAAATCTTTACTGCTATAAAGATAAATAGAATTGAGAAAGAAACAATGCTTTATGTACAAAATACAAAATAAAGAGTTATGATGGCAAGCAAGAGAGCGTGCGCGCAAAAAATAGTTGCGCAAAATTTACACACAAACAAAAGTAAAGCAAAAAATAAACGTGTTCATCAAGAAAAGTCTTAAAATAAAAACCAGTTACACTTTTTTCATAGACTTAAAAAGAGAGGCAGTGTATAATGCAGTTAGGCATTAATTGATGTAATCATAAGTGATTGGTAAATCATCTAATGATTCCCATCGATAGAGTGGAATTAATAAAAGATTATATACGCGCGCGTATATACTTTTTTCAAATGTCATAAACTACATCTTTCCACGTTTTGTTTTGCCATTATAACTTCTTGTTTTGTATAAACAGAGTTTTTGTTACAATTATTTTTTAATAAACTTGAATATGTATATGTACAATTATTATCGTCAATTTAGATATATTAAAAATCATGTATATTATATAATTATGTTTATTATTAATTAATTCACATCATATCTTATCCTTTCCTCGGACACAATTCTAAACATTAAAGCAAAGAATGAATCATAAATTACGATAATAAATAAATCATTCTTACATTAATTCATATATACATAAATAAAAAAAACGGATTAATAAGTTAATGAAAGTCAAAGTTTACAGAAAGCCCATTTTTCTTACTTGCTTTTTTATATTAATCCATATATGTGTATATATATATATATATATATATATATGCAATTATTTATTATAATATTAACTTACCTTTATGATCGCAAGCAATTAATAATATACATCCGAAATTCTTTGCCATCCAGAGATGTGAAAGTAATAGTAGTTTCGTATAATGGAGGAGTCGTTGGTAGGACATGTATGCTCATCGGAACTTGTTGGTAGGACGGTCTTACATCTATAGATTTATATATGTAAATATAAATTAGAAAGGCATCCAAAAGTTTTTTCTACTTATAATATTATATGTATATATTAAGCTTTAGAATTCTGTAAATATTTTCTGATGCAGATAAATGATTTTTTCTGAACACACTTAAAATGATTCAATTCTATTTATACATTTCTTTACTTTTAGGATTGTATTATATTAATTTTTAGCAGAAGAACTTAGTTATTTAAGATAATATATAGAAACAATTTAGGAAAAAATTGTCTATAATTTATATATAAAATTTATTTTGATAATTCTGAAAAGAAATATTGTGCACGCATTGTTATCGTTGATAGATTGCAATAAAAAATAATGAGAAGAATTACTGTATCTATATTATATTTTTCAGAAAAAATATAATTAGATGATGTGAAATATATAAATTATACATTGTCCGGAATCACATATATAATTATATTTGGGATATTATATACAAGAAAAATATCGTTAGGTTTTTGACAATGGTTTTAATTGTTAAGAAGCTTTGAAAATTTATTTGACAAAATATTTGGATTTGACGTAATATTTTGGATACTGATAGCGTTTTGATTTGATTGTGCAGTGATTCTTATTTTTTTATTACATTTGTATTTGTGTAACGCTATCGCGTCATTTGATTTTTGTAATCTTAAAAACAATTGATATAATTAAGTGCAGATTTTTAAGTGTATCCTTGTAGATGTATAAATCCTATGCACAATGTAAAAAACATATTTTAAATCTTACCTTGTATAGTGAAACATTCTGGTACAACAAGAGGACTCGATTTGTTTGAAATCGTAACTTTATATGTAACTGTGGTATTAAAGATATGAACAAATTCCAAAGCCGTGGAATCGATATCATTTCCCATTAACCACCGTATTAAACGTAGTTCGATATATGTACCTAAAATTAACAAAAAAGAGAAAAACTGTAGTAAACTGTTACATGCTTGACGTAATGACGGCTAAAAAAACATATTATAAAATGTATATATAGGTTTTTATTTCTTGACCAAACTAACAATAATTATTTATTTTTTTAAAAATACGACTTTTTTACCATGTGGTTGTGGACCTTTTCAAGTAAAATAATACTAAAAATCATACATATAACAATAATTATCTAAAATCTACATAATTTTCTACTAACGACTTATATAAAATATCTAAAGCCATATTATAAAATGTCTAAAAAACGATAAAATGTCTTGTAAGTCATTTTTTTATGTCATCCTTTATAGGAATATGCGTTGTCTGATGGAGAAAAAAATTATATGTATATATATATATATATATCTTCCTTATACATATATTTCTTAATATATATATATATATATTTAGAAGATCCACTCAATATAAGATCTTTGAATGTTACGTGCTGATTCATATTAGTATACCTAAGTATTTAGACCAGAACTGACGTTCTTTTGAGTTAAGAGTTTTTTGAAACATTTCAGACACACATTTCCAGAGCTGAGCGTTTCGTGATGGTATAAGTATATTAATATTAAACGGACAAGTATCTTTTATTCGATTTTGTTGACCTGAGCAAATACATTCTCCTTGAATCATCCACTCGACAACGATGTGATCGTTGATTGATGTTTGCCAAACGGAATTTATCTGTAATAATTATAATAATTTGCGGATAATTTCATAATTTTAAACTTTATTTTAATCGAATTTTTAACTCACTCTAATTGTAAAATACTATAAATACATTTTGATTTAATCTATATTAGTTCACATTTCGTGCTGCTTATAGATGATTTACAGATGACTTTCGTTTTCATAATAAAACTTGAACTCACACGACTTACAATCAGTCATATTTATTAAGTATTTACTTGAATAATAAAGTCACCAGTTTTTGCTTGAAAGATCAACCAAAATTTTCGTTGCTCGGGTGCAATGCACGCTATACTGATCGATAAATACGCTTTTGATACGCCTTCATCGACGACTATCGAGTTCTGATTCAGGAAAAGCCTTCTCGGTATTTTTCTAACACGCAACTCACACCATCGTGTCATTTTCAGATTTGCTAAGAATATTCAATTTACAACTACATTGAATAACTGCATATATATCATAAAATAAAGAATATAATAAATTAATGTGGAATATGAAATCACTAAAAGATTATGAAATTGTAATATATATTTTGTAAATGGCAAAATAAAGCTTCGCTGACTAATTCAAGTTAGAGAACTTTTAATTTTTATTATGATTAAGAGTCAAATATCTTAATAAAATGATTAAACATGTATATAATCTATTTTTTTATATGTAGCTTTCAAATTTTTAAGTTAAATATTATAGATTATAATAGTTTAAATATTATAATTTTGTTATTATGGTAAAATATGTATAAATAGTTGAAATTAACTAATTAAAAAATTAAGGAATAAAATTTTATTTGTTTGCACTATTTAAAGATTAATTTGTGATAAGCCTTATTTTTAATTGTTCAAAGCAATTGATGTCTTAAAACATATTCAAATAAACACATTTCATATTATTTTAGAGTATTGAACATTGTAAGAATTCTGAATAAGTTTGTAAAAATAAAAGAAAATAATATTTGACAAAAATAATTATTATAATCTTTCGAACTATGAAAATTGTGATAATTTCACCGTGTAATGCAATAATTGCAAGGTAAATTTTGAAGATCTTTGCGATGGCAATACTCATAGATTCTAATTATATTCTTACAAGGATGGCTCGGTTGCTCTTCTGTCATCCATATATCGTATTCTGCCGCATTTCGATAGGGTATATTGATTTGCAAACTTGTGTCAACAATTTCATATAGTTTGCTTTGTATAGTGTATTTGTTAGAAATTTCTAAATTATCGATATGACTTTCCAAAACGATCGTTTGGTTTCTTCCAAAATGTGATCCAACAGCATATCCACAAAGTAATAAATATGCTAAATTCAATAAATTCGATATTAAGTATATGTAAGAATTTAAACTTGCTCTAAATCGATTTTAAATAATTTACAAGATATTTCGCCTAAGTTGACTAAATATCAAAAATTTTTTTAAATATTTCAAATGTTCAAATTAAATGAAACGTTTTCTATAATCTGCAAAAGAGTCGAATACAAAAAAAAATGTTTTAAAAAAAAAGCTTGTTTTACCTCTACTTTTCTTTATTTTTCTGGCATGAAATTGTATTTGTATTTGATCACTACTGCGAGCGTTTAATCGTAAAATCGATACAGGCTTCAAGACTGTAAAAAAATAATTGGTATTGTTTATGAACGAAAGTAAATAATTTACAGTGTTGTCCGTCGGATTCGAAATGCTCAATTGCTTTGTTATAGTATGGGAGAGCGGGCAATTAAATTTAATCTGCAATGATAATAATACAAGTTAGATGCGTTGAAACTATACATTTCTCTATAACACTACCTCAAAATTTAAAGATCTCTGTATATTTTAGTAATGTTAAATATAAAAACTAATATATTAATCTTCACAATTAATTGTTGATATATAAAATATATTAAATTATGAATTTTGTACAAACCTTCGCGCGAGGTACATATGTTGGCAATGTTTGAAAAAGATAAACGACCAACATTAACATTTGCACTTGATTCGGATTAATTAGTTGCATTGGCGTAATCATAAACCCAAGGCGAATCTTTCTCCAAGCAGTGATCAAACAAATAGCATTGTGCAATGCCTGTACATATGAAATTTTAAATATGGAAATTACATAATATGCAAAGTATATATACATAAAATTATATCGTAATTAAAGGTTAATTAAAGACTGAAAATTCTCAGTATCGCTCTAGAGATTCAAACTATTTTTTGTCTTTTGATAAATATTTTTATCAAAATAACTTAATTTTTTGCATTATCTCTCTCATTTCCGAAACTGACTTGTATTTACTCATACATAACTAGATCGTTGCTGGTCATTATAATTGAAAATAAGAAAATTAATTGCGCTCTATTTCAATTTATAAACTTAACTTTTGCTTGTCCTCGTGAGATAAATTACAATTTAAAACAGTTTTTTAAATCATTTAATACGCTGTTAAAAATAATCAAGCTCAAAACTTTGATCATTATTTGATGCTGAATTACCTCTTGCTCGTTCCTTGTACAAATATATAAATTGCCAAAATATTCATTGATCAGGAAGGGACAATAGGCTGCTGTAACCGTGATTAATACTAAGCTATCCGACAAATCACGATGAAAATTTTGGATCGCACGATGTTCGGCCACATCCTTCTTCTCTCGTGGATTCAAAATTACACGGCGATCAGTCATCCAATTTCGTACACGTTGTTGCTCGTAATGATACTGCAACCAACACAATAGAAATCTTTCTTCCAGGCAACAGTTATCTGAAGTGAGTTTGTCATTCGACAAATTTACAATATTCCATATAGCTTTCTCATGGAGTTCGTCCTGTCTTGGCATGCTGTAAGATATAATTCAGAAATAATTGTACATTACATGTACAGATGTAACGTGAAATAATTAACCTGGATGTAGATACAATTGATCCCCACTTTAGTGTGGATTTTCTCGAAGAACGCGCTGCAAAGAATGATATTGTGTCGAATTTATGTTTATGTATTCCGCGGAGTACAAAACACTTATACGTTTGCAAAATTATGTCCAACCAACATTGTTTGCTTCGTGACTCAAATAATTGTGGAGATAATCGTTCGCATTGCATTTCGATATGGCTATTATCCAAAAATTTCCTTTTATATGTCTGTAATATTATTGTTAACAGATTTTTGTAGAAACAATTTTATTTAATTAAAATTTTTATATAAAATATAAATCTTTATCTAAAATATATAATATAATATGATATAGTTTTTATAATTCTGTAGTTAAAAACTCACATTATTTTGTATGATGTCAATGCTAATTAAATAATCGTCGTAACTTAAGAGATATTGCGTCGAAACATGAATTAAATACGCTCCATGATGTAAGAGAAAATCGAGCATTTTATCATATAACTGGATGACATGATTTATTCTTTCGATGTCATTTTCCGGTAACGGTTGTTTTAATCTTGAATAAGCAAGTACAATAATATATCTAAGAAAACACATACATTGAATAAACGTATATATTGTCAATATTACAATTCTCCCAAATAATTATGAATTTCTGATCCTGCGAGTGATTCGAGTACGTCGATAAATGACGGCATAGTAGTTTTAATTTTCTTTTTAGAATTTCTCACACATGACTTTTTGTTTACACAGAAGTTTGAAAAAGCTGTCGTTATTCCATGAGAAATGTTTAGATAAAAATGAAATTTTAACGGGTTCGAATATATCCATTCTTCCACAATCGTCATTACTCTCTGCATATATTTCTCACAAGAGCTGGTAAATACATATAAATAAACATAAATATAAATTATTAAAGTATATTTAAGAATCGCCAGAAAGAAGAGAATTAAAAAGCAATATTCTTCTTTCGACCGTATTGAACAAATAATTTATTTAATCCACATCACAACGTTTCGACCATAGTTTTGGTCCTTATCATTATTATCCTTATTATTATAAATATAAATTTTTTATAACAAGAAATATTGGTAAAGCAAGTCGTTTGAAATTTTATATGATATGTTATATTTGTAGATTGTAGACGAATGAACTGAATTTATTTCATAAGAATTCTAATCAGGAATGTTAAATTAATGTCTTTTAATAATTTTTTAAGTTGTAACGTATTAAAATTAACCAGAAATATAATTATCTTAGTTTTTGATCAGAGTAAATAGGTCTCATTTATATTAAGCTTGAAAAAAAAAACAAAATTTAAAAAGCTTCGAAATAAATTATAATTTATCCTGATTATAACTTGTCAGCTTGTTTTAAATTCTTATAACATATGTGTAAATATAATCTTTCTAGTTTCTATTTTCTATTTTCTAAAATTTACCTATTTTGATCGTCGGTGGGATAATGAGGATGCAGCAATCTTTCGGACTGCCTGTGATTACTCGCTCTGACATCGATAGGAAGTATGGAATGTTTTTACGAATCAATACGTCGTTATATTCTTCATCATCATCATCCGCTGCCCATTTTCCATTTATGTTTTTATTTATTTTATACTTATTAGAGTTTATCTCTTCATTTTTATGCAAACTGTATCTATTATTTTTTTGAATGAAACTTCTGCTCCGATTATCAAAATGAGAGATAATACTGAATAATTTACTCTGAAATTAAACAAATATAACAGAGCAAGTAATTTTGTTTTTACTTACATAATACTGTAAAATAATGTATAAATCGTATAAAGTCATTTTTATCAATTTTAAAAAGCAAAAAATAGAATAAAATCAATGCAATTTTTGAGAATTCAAAGATGTTGTTTCTGATGTTAAAGTATATAAAAAAAGAATATTAATTGCTGAAAGAGAGGACCGTTTATTCTACAATGTAAGTATAGAGATTATTTTTCAAATATAAATCTGAATTCATCGTAATTGTATTGATTTTAGTTTAAGATTTTACTGTGAAATATTCGTTGTGTAAAAAATAAAAACGCACGCGTCTACGTGTTTGAAGTATTTCTTCATCGGTTTCGGCTATTGTGCTATCCAATGGATATGAAATATGCTCTTCCAAATATTTATCCGTCGTATATGTCTCACCAAAGATGGATGATTTTATGGGATATATATATGTCGTTAACAAATTATTGTCCGCTGTTGCATATACCGTTAAAAAACACATAGCAAGTTCATGATCGTCCCAAAATTTAATCGTCGAACAAAACGATATCGGTTGATCACTTTTGAATATTATTTTTGCTTCAAATTCCACGTATCTTTTTGTGTAATAAAAAACATTATATATATATATATATATATATATATATATATATATATATATATGAAATGTTTAGTTGACCGAAAAATTTTTATGAAATGATAGATTTACAATATAAATATAAATATGAATATGAATATATGTATATACCTACATACAAATATATATATGTATTGTATGTATGTATTATATATTTAATACATTGTATCATATAATTTTTCACTTTATACAATATAACATTGTTAAATTATAATTAGTAAATTAGTTTTTGACATTTCTTTGGAGGTAAATGCTTTGAATGTTTGAAAGCAGAGAATCTACACACAACTTACGGTTGAGGCGAGATGATATTGCCGTTTGGGAATTCGATGCGTAATAACTCATCTTTATAATCACCATTGCATCCTGGTGTCATCGAGAAGTTCGACCGTATAAACGTCATGTTATCAAAGTGTCTTGCTTGGATTTTGAACTTTTCTTCTATCACCGTACCGAGAGGAACAGGCGTGAAATATATCTTCGTCGGCTCGACGTCGATCGAACTGGCGGGAAATTCGCCGTTGAGATGTAATTTATTGAATACGCCGTCGTTGAGTTCACCGTGAACGTATATCGGTGCCTCGACACTAAAGCTGCCACGTTTCCTCGGTTTAAACTTGAGAACGAAGAAGACACTGCTGCCAGGACATAAGATACAATCGATCGAATCGAATGTTTGTTTGATTTCTGCACCATGAGACCACTCAATGGTAAATGGGCAATTCGCTTCGTTAAATTTTTCGATTTTTATTGATATCACTATGTTTCTCGATGTTATCCGATTCTCTATAAAAATTCTTCGGACATCTAGCAATGAAAATGAAACAATATGTTACTGTGTAATCAACCAAATAATGGTTTTAAATTTTAAATTATGTATTATCTGATAAGTCAACAATTGCAGTATCTTTTATTTATTTTTAATTATCTTTAGTAGAAATCTCATCAATATATATGGTCTTAATAATTTTAATATGATAAAAATGATAATTATTCGATAAAAAATAATTTTATTTAAGTTGTAAAAATTTATTTACTTTTTTCGAAAAATTTTCTATATTCGATCTTTCTCATGTTTTATCAATATATGTATGCATATATATGTATATTGTATATACATATAATCTTACTTTGTTAATTGCAGAGTTGAATTGAAACATAAGCTTATTGAAGAAAACGATACGACCAGCAGTAGTACAATCAATAAATATTGTAGGTAGAGAGAGCTTATCGAGCAATGGTGTTAAAGTAAAACCCGATAAATGTTCGTAATGAGTTTGGCGTGATTTTAGAAACTCCGAAGGTCTCATGCTCTTTGAATTCAACATCGATACCGGACCAAGCAGCTGATTTATCATTATCGGCAAATAAAAAGCGTAGCTGGCCAAATCAATCGGTAGAAAGTGTAAATAGAGATTTTGACTTGCACCTGGGGCGATGGTTATCCCTTCCATACCTTTTTATTCATAAAATACTTAAAAAATTGGAATAAAATAATATTTTATTTATGTAAAATTTTTAAATTTTTATTAAATTGTCTATGCTGTCTATTTATCAAGTCTATGCTGTGTTAAAAGTACTAAAGTAGTTATAAATTGTAAAAGTATTAGGAAAAAAAAAAGAAAAAACATTTCATACGATAGATGTCATAAGATATTGTTCTATATTATTACTTTAAAATATTATAGAGATTGTTTACCTATCTCCGAGTTTTTATCGTTTGCCATCAAGAAGACGCGAAATTCAGGATATTCTTCTAGCAAAATTTGCAGTTTTAATATTGTTGTCCCAATATTTATGGCTGTTATTGGATGAATTTGAAAAGCATCGATGTTGACGCGTTTTATATCTATACGTTGCGGCAGAATTTTCAATCGTGGAAATGATACAGTGCCGTTTATTCTGTACAATAACCGTAGACATCCTTGAATTGTGACAGGGATTGCAATAGAAAAACGACAACAAACGTCGAGCGTAAGACAAACCTAAATATTTATTGTTTATTATTAATGTCATGATATGTCTATTTGAATTTGCTAGTATAGTAAAGAACATACTTCAAGAACTACAATACCCCGCGGCGATATCTTCCCTCGTAATGGATTAACATCGCAGCCACATATCAACGATGCATTATCTATTTCATACGCCATCTCATTAAATTCAAAATTTTGGAGAACGGCGATTACTTTGGTCGGTAAATTGAGAGGTATTTCACCAAGATTTGTACTATCATTTACGAATTCAACCCTCGGTCGAACAAATCGAGGAACATTGAGCTTCAGAGGTACGCAACTTCCGCTTTCGCATATCATTATCGCTTGAGCACTATTAGTTTTAGCGTTATTAGATTCGTAATACACATAAGCGCATAAAGTTGCGTTTCCGCGTACGGAGCCTGATCTCGGTTTTATGTAGAAGCCAGAAGCAGTCGGTATTTCCCATCTGTAATAAATTTTGTAATTTGCATTATATCTTGAACTAATTTTTATTTAGCAACGCTTATCAAAATCGAAAGTAAAACAGAATCTTTCCCTCTATTGATGTGTCACTCTTTAACTTACGTGAATTCTTTAATTAATTTTCAATAAATACTTCTTTTAGAGAAGTGATTTATTATGATTTATCATAGGTAGAAAAGAGAATACATTTTACCTAAAATATATCTTTGCGTCTAAGTTATTTGTAATTCGAATAACAGAGGCCATTGGTCGATAAACGTCCTCGGCTGACCATTCCTTTTCAAGTTCAATCTCTCTTTTGTCGATGTACAGCTGTTTGCGAACGACATTGGCAGTAATACTAAGTTCGAAGGAGTGATTATCGTTAATCATGTAATTGATGTATCCGTTAAACTTGCCAAGAGCATCTGCTAGATACTCGACGAGTCTCGTTGCCATCGAATTTGGTTGCAAGATCATCAAATTACCTTCCGGGAAACGGATGTACTTGGACGAGGCACTCATTAATCGTATCATTACTGGAATATTGTTTATATTTTTTACAACCAAGCGTTGATAGTTGGAGCTATTCGGTGCTACCTATCAATTACTTAGTGTTCGTCATCAAGATATATTTAATGAACATTTTGTTGGAATCGTCACTCTTGTTCGATTACCATGCTTACCATGCCAAAAGCGAAGGTAGTCGGAAAAATGTGGATGTTATATATTTGTAAGGGCGATAAAGGTATTAATATAATTGCATTTGTTGTAAAAATTGATTTCTCGAGAGAACATCTTTTGAAACAATCCGTAAATTTATCAATTATTTTCGAATAATTTTTATAGAGTGGTTTCCACTTGGGTGGAAGAAGAAGGCGTTTCATGATTTCTTCATCGTCATTTGCTTTTGTGTCTGTGCCTGTTGACGAACTTCTTTCGTCTTTATCAAAAAGAATTTTAAAATATTAGACTTGAAATATTTTAACTTAAAAACTTGCGTATCGATCAAATAATTAAACATGGACTTACACAGAAATTTATTTTTGGATTTGATAATAATATTCACTGTACATTTAACGGAGTAACTTCCAACTTTCATTTTTTCAAGACATCTTCTCGCTCCAGTCAAATTGTAAGAATCCGCTATGACATTGAATAACAGGTTAAACGAAGATTGACCTATAAGAAATATTTTATTCAATTTTGTTAATTTTTTATTTAATACTACAAATTTTAAATATTAACAAAATTAAATTATATAAGCTAGAACAAAATAAAAACATTTGAAATAATACTTTTGCATATAAATATATATAGATTGTATATAAAAAAATATAAGAATATATATATTTTCTTATAAAGTTACACGTTTGAAATAGCAAAAATTTTCTGCAAAGTGTAACTTCCTTGAAAATTCCACTAACTTTATTGCATTACGCACCGGGACTTGAATATCTGTTAATTGCTAATATTTAAAATTAAATTTATATAAGAGAAATAATTACTACTTTCTTTGCCGCGAACTTTAATAAGAATTTCGATGGACGTGTTCGACTTAAGTTTTACCCGATTCGGGCAACAGTGTGCAGTTGCGCTTGGTACACATTCCACATATATCGATGCAATTGTAGAAGGATTTGTTAAACGAAGTACGCGTTGTGATAGCTGGCCGACTATTAAGTCGCCAAAATAGAGGCTATCAGGTTCAAGATGCAATTGTACCGTTTCCACTTCACCGTAAAGACAAAGCCTTATTATATCGCCGTTTCCTGAATCAATATTTGATGCGCAGGATGGTGACAAAGAAGAAATTTCCATCATTGATTCTTCTGTTAAAGTATGTTAAAATAAATAGTTGAATATTACATGATTATGTAAGAGATTATGTATGAGATTACATGATTATGTCTAGAGATGTTTAAACAAAAATATTTTACAGAAAATATACGAGTTATATTAATATATTTCTTTTAACGCATAAATCATTAGATATCATCACTCACGTATATAAATTCTCTGTGACAAGGTATCTGTGCCCGAGTTCCTTACAACATCAATCCCTGTGAAACATTATTTAAATGGAATTTTATATTATACACACATAAATATTAATGTATAAATATAAGTTTTCATAATGTGCGCATGTATATAATTCTTCATAATCTTAAATATATATTATGGTTATAAATAAAAAAATCAGATGAATATGTAGAACATTCTTTATAACTAGGAGATATCAAAAACTATGAATATAAATTAATAATACAAAATAAACGCACTCATGTTATCATCCAAATCTCTTTCTATACAGTCTACTTTAACTATTTTAATAAATGCCATAAAATCTCTATTCTCTCGGTTTTTGTATACATTTTCAGATTCTTTTTGCTGTTTTTGTCTCCATTGCGATAACATGGTTATTGGTGAAAATCTATAATTTAATATATTAAATATTATTTTCTTATTAAACGGTATATACTGTTTCTTTTCATAACAATAAAGACTTTATATCTATGACAATGCGATAATCATACTTACTTTACTTCGAAAATGACACCTTGAAACGGATTCATGCGCCCTTCAAGCGGACAAATTTCAAAGGCACTGTAAATCGGATTGTGTTTGCGATCGATATCCTGTAAAAATAATACAAATCTATTAAAAACATAATGTAAGCGCGTATCTGTTACGCATGCGACAATCAATTTAAAATATCAAATAATAGAGTATATATCAGATAATATTTTATCTACCATTTAATTTTTAATTTATAAGATCTGTATAAATCTAAAAAATCTAAACTTTTTATTTTTATATTTTTAAAAGTTTTCATCCCAAATTTTTTTAAACAAATGTGTTTCTACATTTTTGTTATTACATTATAATACAGATGACTAGATTGTAAATCCTTCATCCGTATTTGTTTTCCTAATAAATTACTAAGTTCTATGCTAATTTTTAATCATTTTTACTCGATATATTTTTTTATTATTTACATGTTCATATTGCAAAACATAGTAACAAGTAATTTCAAAAAAACAATATTTGAATAGATATTGAAATAACTTTATAACATATTTATTCAAGTTAATTGAGCGAAGAAATTCTTCATTTCTATTTAGACGGTTCTTTCTCTCATAAGTTCTAGATATAAATTTTAAGAATTTTAAATAAGAAGATTGATAACTAGTTTATATCTAAGAGTCTTTATCATATTAATTTTAAAAATTTATCACTAACTGGAATTTCTAATTTATTTAACAAAAAAACATTTATTTCATACTCGAATGCATTTCATTTCGTTATCGAGCTCGCCGAGAACAACATAACTGGAGATTCGAGACGAAAGATTTCGTAGGACGAAAGTATCGTATCTGCTGGTATTTTCTATCGTGGGTGAAAAATCGATAAGGGTGATGTCTCCGGTCGTATTCGGATGATAAACTACTAATCTCGGTATGATGACATGTACTTGTATAGGAACGCGTATATTTGGAGTAGATTTAATCCTATAGGAAAATTCATTTTTAAATATTTCTTACAATAACAAACATTAAGTGATGAGTTCAGAGAATATCTTACCAAAATTCGCTATAAAAAACGCCCTCGTTTCCGCCCATTAATTCGATTTGAAGTTTCACTTCTTTTTGTGGTTTGATTCTTCCATGAAGAGGCTTTACTGTTATGTCCAAATCATTTTGCCCGAGATCGATCAAGAAGCTATTAATTTATTTTCAAATTTATAGAAAACTTGCTTAAAACTTTACTTAAAATAAGTTTATTTGAGTCTCATTATTTTTAAAAGTTTTTAATTTTACTTTGAAGGATTAAGTAAGTTCACAATCAGATAAGAGAAGAATATGCCTATACATAGAATAAATCAATAGTATAACTTGATTCTAAATAAATAATATAATTTTTTGACTCAAAAGAGTTTTATCAAGTATCTTTTAAAAATGTATTCTTATATACTATAGATAATAAAAATTATAAAAAGATTTTGACGTTGTTCTCTTAAAGAGAACTAATTTGCATTTATAAATAATATAAATTGTTACCATAATCTGCATTTTATAGCTTAATTTAATTTAAAATTTCATGTTTATAAAGTGTATATATATTTATATGTTTATCAAAATTTGTATGTTATATGGACTGCAATATTACATTATATGTCTCAATAAAGAAATTTAGTTAAAACAAAAAGTTATTAAATTACTATTTTGCGCGAAATTTAATTTTATTTCTAGTCTCTAAAAACATTTTCGATATACATATATTGTATAATACGTATACCTGGTACTTTTATTTCCTTCATTATGAATTGTTAATATTTTTAAACCGGACGAATAACCAATGTCAATGGTACCAAAATCTATCGATTTTGGCTCTATGCTGATATGTCCAGTGGCGAGTGTACATATTGCGTGATAATCAAAAATCTTTCCATTGATCTCGATTGGAATTATTGCGTGCAATACAGATGGTCTTTTGAAGGTATAAGTCACGCATGTTGTTATGCTTAGTCCAGGACTTATCCGCATGCCACTAGTTAAAGTTTTTACTTGAAAAGCCTGTTAATAAATTCTAGTTTGATAATAAGTTCTTATTTTGACAAGAATAAATTATAATTTATTTAAATTATTAGTTATTTATTTAAATTTTTAATTATTTATTTAAATTAGATATTTACTAAAGAGCTAGGTTGACGAATTCTGATAAGCGCGGATCTATTTCCAACGTTTTTTATAGTAATACGCTGCCGATATGTCACTCCTTCAAAAGCTTCGTCAAATTTTAAATAACTTGGTGTGATATACACATTATCGTACTTTATACCAATTGCTGATTTATTCATAGCGGATGCTATCTGTATTTCTTCTCCTTCTTGCATAAGAATTGGTTTTGTATTCTAAATGTAATCGCACACATATTTAAATGTAAAACGTGTAAAAATATTTCTATTAGCGTAAAATTGTTACGTTTTTTTATTAAAATATTGTTTAAGATTTGTAAAACATATCAAGTAATAATCAAAGTAATAATCTGTATATCTGAATTTTATTTGTAAATTCTTATACATAATGGTAAGATTTATTTTCACATTTATCGTTATATGTACATATGTTTCGTATAAATATAGAATATTTTAATTATTAATTTTATCGAATGAAATATATTATATATAATGTAATATAATATATATATAAATAATGTATATAGAATTTGTGTTTATTAAATAATATACTCAATAATATAACTCTATAAAAAGTAATTTTTATTACAAATGTAAAAAAAATTTATTTTTTTATTTGTTACATAAATTCCTTGAAAAATGATATTAAATATAAATGTAATGTACAAATGTTAACTATTTTAAATATATAAAAATTTTAAATACCTAAAAAAATTTGTTGTACCATTTTTGAAAAATTAATTTAAAAACATTTACGAGATATATTTATATCTGTACTTGTCGTATATAAATTAAAATACGATTTCTTTGATTTTATTTTTATTGTGATATTTAGATTCTATCTAGCTTGTGAAAATATTATGTTTTAATGTTTTTATTAGTACTTACGGCTATTAGTGAAAGATTTTTCATGCTGATGTCTAAATGCATGAAATTATAATATCATATATAAGTCCGTATATAATATATAAGTATGTATATATTCACGATCAGATAAATTATACACTATAATGTTTCTAATTGTGAAACTTATTTTTGTTTTGACATATTATCGATATTAATATTATTTATAGTTATATTTATCTAGGGAAATATTCTTTTGTTTCCCAGAAAAACAAATAAAAAGGATATAGACATAGGGAATATCATGGTGTAAGTATTATTACACCATGGAAAATATATTCAACTAAATAACACAAGCGCGCGCTTTGCGCGCGAAAATGTGGATCCTTTCCATCAGATTAATACATCCCACACATCTAACACACTGCGCGGCTCACGCGAGACTAATTTTCGTGCGGGGTATCGCGAGCGCGGGACCGATGGTCACATGACCAGTGGTCACATGATCAGTGGTCACGTGACCATCGGGCCCGCGCTCGCGATACCCCGCACGAGAATCAGTTTCGCGCAAGCCGCGCAGCGTGATGGGTATATGGAGTGTAGAGTCTCGCGCGAGTCTAATGAAAGTGTAGATATTTATTTAATTACAAAAGATTCTTGTAGAAAATTTTATTACTTTGTTTATATTTTCTGTAAAAGATTAAATATTGAATTTTTATGCATTGTATAATTAATTGTTATATTTTTTATGCATTGCTTGCAATAATAATTTTTGCATGCATGCGTCGCAATTTTTGAAATTTTATATTATTATCAAAGAATAATATAACTTCACTTTGCGTGCATAATTATATTCGGTTAGATTGAATGAAATGAGATATATATATAAATTTATAATATAAATATATATAATAATATAAATTTATGTAGCATATATATATATATATATATATATATATATATATGCTACATAAATTTAGTATTTAATAAAAGTATTTATAAGCAGATTTGTTAATATAATAGAAAGTTACAAATAAAAGTAATTAAACGTATGGAGACGTGCGAGTCTAATGAAAACGTGGGTATTTTGATCGAAAAATTTTTGTCGAACATTTTATTTTTTTGTTCGCATTTTCTGTTAGATATAAATATTGAATTTTTATGTGCATTGCATAATTAATTAATGTATTTTTAAAGAATAAAAATGTTATTTAATTAATCGATATACATATGTATGTGATTGTATCGATGTATAATATTTTTGTTTTATTTAATTAGTCGATATATATATATAATATATGTGGTTGTATCGATATATATTTTGTTTGTAGTAGTCAAATTTAATTTATAAACATGTTTTATTTATTATATGGTGATAAATTAATTGTTATAAGAAATAATTACATTTAATGTTAATTTATCACTGTTTTTAAATAATAATATCGTCTGTGTTTGGTTGTCGATCTTGGTCAGGTGGACCAATTATTGGTATACTCTCGACGATCTTGTTGATCCAATCGATGTACATTGAGACCTATATTGTTAAATAAAGAGAATGATTTACTATACTAAATGCAAATAATATTATCCGAATGGAATCACATTAATACATATATATATATATATATATATATATATATATATATATATATATATAGTCATATTAATTAATAATATATACATAATATAGGTTTACAAAAATTAGCAGATATCAGACTAAGAAATACAGATTTACGGATAATTTAACATACATGTACAGATGTATTTACATATGTATAAAATCTTGATATAATTTAATATGTTCGATACTAATGTTTGCAATTCTACATTTAGTATACCTTTGTGAAAACAGTGTAGAAATTGGGGTTGCACATACTAGTGCCTAATCTTCGTGGGCTTACAGAGACGACTCCATGAATTTCCCAGATGCTAGAATTCAATTGCTCAAGTACCAATCCTCCACCGCTATCTCCATTGCATACTCCGGTGCCATTTGCCCATCCAGCACAAAAGGATGTATAAGTTAAATATTTCCAAAAATCTCTATTTTGATTTTGGTGACATTTATCATCAGAAATAATTTTCATCGTAGTTACCCTCAAGACTGGACTAAATGTATCGTTTTCCGTTAATCCCATTCCTAGAAAACTTTCAAGATTGAAATGACAGTAATTGTCAGGTAAAAGCTATACATGTAAATAAATATCAGTTCTCAATTAGTAATTTTTATAATTGTATGCAATTTTTTCAAATACTAATAGAAATATTGTATCTTTTTACAAGACTAATGCGTCACAATTGATTCTTAATCAAACAATTGTATATTTTCTTAAAATAGTTAAAATAAATTTATTTAATATAATTAACGATATATAATAATAATTGATTGAAATGATACATGACAATAACTTTTTCAAATGATTTACCTATTAGTTGTGCTTTATTTATAATTTTTTTACTAAAAATTAAGAAAACATTTAAAAATTAAATATATAAAAATGCTAAACTTAACATGATGATACCAATATGATCAGTAAAAATGAAAAAAGATAATCAATTTTCTTTTTCTTATTCATCAAAGGATACATACTTACTTTTGATATGCAAAAATTAGACGGTTTTATTCATTGTGCTTTGATATTTGCGAACAAAAAATAAGAGTGTATATATCAATAATTTTATTTTAATATTTGATTTTATTTTTAATTGATTTTTTCTAATTAACATCTATCACATTTTTAAATTAAAATAAACTTACCTGCCACCAATCCAAATTTGCCGCTTTGCTGATATTCCATCAATGTCGTGTCGATGTATGAAGGAACGCAAACGGGTCTAACAACCGAGTTAATGATCACAGCTTCTTTTAAGATTAGCAATGCAATGTCTGAGCCGTAATTACTCTCGTGATCTTGATATGCACTTTGCAATTTGATACTTTTTACATCTATCACCTGTGCATTTTCTCCTGCTTGATTTAAATCACTCGAAAGGATTCCGAAAGCAACGCGCACTGTATCCGCCGAGGTCTTCCAAATACAGTGACCAGCAGTTAACACAACACGTTCTGCTATTAACGTGCCACCGCAAAAGAACCTCCACTGACCATTATCGTGTGAAAAGAGGGTGGCTTGCCATGGTAGTGTCTCTTCTTTCTCGACGCGCCATCCCTTAACAATTAGTGCTGCCGCTAAATATTTTTTCATAGATATAAAAATTAAACAAGCCTGAAATATTATATATTTTTATACAAAGATAACATTTTTTCTTTCATATTAAAATTAAAATTAAAAAGTTAAAACTGAAAAGTTAAAATTAAAAAGTTTAGAAAAAAATGTATTCTATTTAGATACTAAATATCAAATGTGTCAAAAATAAATAAATACATGTAAATATTAAGATTAACAAGATATACAATTTTTATGTATAATCCTAATTGCAGAACTATTTAATAAAAGAAAATCTGATTAATTTTGACCTTTTTTACAACGAATTCTTTCAAAAAAAGTTTAAGGGTATATTTTGAATACAATTAAACTTTTTCAATACGTCACATGCTGTAATTAACTTTAAATAATCTTTTTTATAATTTTAATTTTAAATTTCTCAAAATTGTAACTTGATAAAGCACACACATTTTAAAGGTCAAAATTATATTCAACATCAAAGAAACTACAAAGAATGGTTTTGTTTTTTAAATTGAATAATATTTCTGGTAAAGTTTTCTAATATATCGATTGCTGAACCTGTAGAATCCCTTATTCCACAAATAGGAATGCAATTCAAAAATGGTTGACTCCAGGTACCATCGTGAAGGCACATAACACTAGCGGACCCTTTGCTACGCTTATAGAATGTCGGACATTCAAAGAAAACCCGTGTGCCGACTGGGAGAGCTCGATCGCAAGGCAACCATCCTTTATGAGAACCCCACATCGCCTTACATCGTTTAATCGCACCGTATGCTTCAGAAGGTGCCGGACATGTCATTTCTTCTATTTCGTTTTCTGAAATATAGTATGTACATATATTTTTAGTTGTGTCATAATTTCATACTATAATGCTATATGTAGAAATAAATCCTTAAATATGAATTATATATTAAATAAAAAGTAATTCAACTATTTTTTGATTAATAAAAAATATGATATTACTAGAAATACAATTTGGGACACTGGGAAACCAGCGGTTATCCTGGCAATAAATCCTATCGGCACCTTGCAAAGAACCTTCAATGTCACAAGTATAATCGAGCCATGTGAATTCGGGAACAATCTCGCCCGGCCGACATCTTAAACATCCGCTCACATTATAATGCGTTCCTGCTTTTGCAGCAGGCAATCGACAGGCACCTTCGGGCAGCGTTATCCCGCATAAAGACTCATCCTCGTCACTCCAGTCATAACAATTTAACCGAGAATTACATATAAATTCTGGTCGAATACATCCACCGTAAGTGCAGCGAAACCAATTTTCAGGACATCTATATAAAGAATTTTAATAAAACTATTTTATAACATATAGAGGGTTTGTCCGGAAAGTAATGCGTCGCATTTTTTTAAAAAAGAATTTATTGATCGCATAGGTAAAACAACTTAAAATTGTTCGAAGTATGACCCTTCTGCGTCAATACATTTTTGCCAACGCGATTTCCATGCGTCATAAGATTTCTGGAACTCCTTGACTGGGATGCTGTTCAGGGAGGCCGTCGAAGTAGCTTGTACGTTGTCAACCGACTCGAGCTGTTGTCCTTTGAGCTCCCTTTTCAGCCGAGGAAATAAAAAAAAGAAATTGGGATTATCTGCACAGAGTTGCTTGAGTTCTTCACAAACTTCCACTCGGTGTTGCTTTTGCGCATCGGTCAACACTCTGGGCACAAGTTTTGCGCAAATCTTCCGCATGGCCAAGTCTTCCGATACAATCTCGTGAACAATCGTTTTCGGCAAGTTCAATAATTCCGACATTAAGCGAACATTCATTCGACGGTCTGAATTCAATAATTGGCGCACACGAGTCACATTGTCGTCCGTTCGCGATGTTGACGGGCGTCCTGCGCGGGCCTCGTCGGCGACCTCCTTCCGACCTTCTCTAAACATCTTGTGCCATCTGTTTGACTGCGATTTGGAAAGGCAATCGTCCCCGAAAACTTTCTTGAGCATTTCAAAAGTTTCCAGCGGCGTCTTGTCCAGCTTCACGCAAAACTTTATCGCATAGCGTTGCTCTATCGTTCTCTCCATCACAAGTTCGACGCGACCACTAAGCAGAGGTTCACAGAATAAGCCGTCCTAACCCTCCAAGCGCATGGAAACAATTGAGCGACCTACCGTTGGAAAGCTAAGGGTACCCCCCTTCCTCCCCAACCGGTCCCATCGCTCTGCGATGTATAGTCGCGTCACAAAAAAATGCGACGCATTACTTTCCGGACAAACCCTGTATGGTACATTCTAAAGGTTGGATGTTTTGCTATAAGCTCTTTTATTTCTATACAACAATGGATATTGTATATGAATATTTTATCTTTGATATAACATAATTGATTCTAAAAATTGATTCTAAGAATTTGTGAACGGGATATTGAAATTATTCTACTGGATTTAAATCAAATATTTAAAATACGTACTCACGTATTTTACACATTTCCGGATTTTCATCAGATGCATCTATACAGTGTCGAATACCGTCACATATTTTATCTGTTGATAGACATTGCTGTCTATTCTCACATGTAAATTCTTCGTCTCTATGCAAACAGAAAAAAAAATAATCTGAATTTTTATATATGTATGTGTGTGCTAATATAATTATTAAATTAAAAAAAAATTAATCAATTAATCAACTAACCGGCATTTATATTGTGAACATTTATCACCTTCGCAATTGATAGCCGCGCACATATTTGAATCTTCATCGGTGCTATCGATGCAATCTTTGACACCGTCACAAATCACTTCTTGTTCAATACAACCTCCATATAAACATCGAAATGTATATTCGGGACATGGATACTCGTGACAAGTTATTGCATTTTCATCGCTTTCATCCGAGCAATCTTTATATCCTGATAGAAAGCGGAACATATAGGTTTGTCTTTGCCAAATATAAAATAAATTTTCTCAAAATAGACTTATTTCCAATTTTTATAATTTATTAATACTCGCACGCAAGTCAGAGGACTTGAAGACATCGATTTTATATTTGGTCAATTAAATCAATAAAAATCTAATAACGAATTTAACTAATGCGTATATAGTATTTCTCATGCGCATTGTTATATAATCAGTAAAGATGTTAGAATAAAGATTTTGGAATATTTTTTTTTCGGCTGAAATCGAATAGTTACAATATTATTAAAATTAATGTGACAAATACAGACCGTTGCACACATCATCGAGAGATATGCACTCTCGATGAATAGAAGAACATTGAAATTCTTTATCGGAACAAATGTCGTTAGAATCTCGATCACAACCGACCTCATCACTAGCATCTATGCAATCTATTAAACCATTGCATCGCGCCGTACGATTCACGCATGCGCCATAGCTGCATCTGTACATATACATGGGACAGCTGCAAAAAAGAATTTTTCATAATAACATGTGGAATATTTCTAAAATTTATTATCTAAATATTTACAATCAATACATTTCATTAATTGTATTAATGAGAAAATATGATATATAAATATGAATTTCACATTTTCTTCGATATTAAAAATTTATTAAAAATATACTTATATATGTATATCTTTACAGACTTACAAATATAAAGATACTTTAGTGGAAAGATTTCGATATAAACCGTTAAATACGAAGAAAAGTTGATAAAGATTATTTTTGAGATATATGTATGATATCAGAACATAACTAATCATAAAATTAAATATTGAATGATGTATATATAGATATGATTTACGTACAACTTTAAAAAACTATAGAGAAAACATTTGCAATCTTTATCTCTTTTATCTCCAGTTAAAGGAATATGACACTTTACGATATTCTTTATTTAATGGCAATGAAAATTAATAATATCTTCTTACACAATATGACGGCACAGTGTTCCAACTTCATCTGAAGAATCAGGGCAATGTGGAATTCCATCGCAAGCATTCACTAATGATATTACATTGGCGTCCACGCAAACAAATGTCAATGATGAATACATTTGGTCACTTTCTTCCGTAGTAACATATATTCTGCTAAATCCTATTTGCAAATGTTAACAATTGTCGTAATTACATTAACATACTTTAACAATACCATTAATAGTATCGTTTATAATTATACGTACAATTAGTACTATACATTTTATTATGTACAATCATACCGAGAATCGCTATAATCAGCATCATTAATGCGATCATTTTTAAAGAATTTGTATTTCTGAAGATCAAGATTATTCTTTTCGTAGACTTACGCGAAAATGAGTAAGCGTTCCTATATGTACGCGTAATTACACCTAGCAATTATTCTGACACTCGTCTGTGCATAATTTTTATAGTATTATGGAAAATTGATTTTTTGTTTTTAGTAATGGAATATTTTATGAATGTTATCTTGTTATTATCAAGAACAAAAAGGTCTAGGGTTACAAAATATACGTATTTGTAATTCATAAAGATATTTGCATTTTTTTCATCATTTTTTAATCAACTTTGTTAGAATATAATTGAAGATTCAGAATTAAATGGATTAAATTTATAAAATAATATATATGATCGAATTTTTTTGTAAGTGTAATTTCATACTTGTAAAATAAATTTTATATTATAAATTATAACTTTAGTGTATATATATATATATATATATATATATATATATATATATTGCTTCAATTGTCAAAACTTTATCTTTTATATTTTATTATGTATGTACATACATACATACCTATAGTTTCGTAAGAGTTTACTCAACTATCATGTATTTAATCAAAAAAATTACACGCATACCTATATTTGTAATTATTGAAAAATTGTTTATATTGCCGATACTCTTATTAGCCAAAATGTTGTAGATTAGACCTGTATAAATGTAAATACATCTTAAAAATATATTAGAAATATATAGTACATTGTTTATCTTGTTTAGATTACTAATCTAGAAGTCTTGTACAGATTTAAATTCAATTAATGAATGTTTCTTTCTCAAAGAAGCTCATCTAGTCATCAACGTGTATACTAACTTTCGCGGAAAGTTATCGTCATTTGATAAGTGGATAATACGTTGTTCAGTATCTGAGAATATAGTATCACGTCACATTATGAATCAGCGTCTTTCGTCATAAAATAATTAAAGCTAATGTGTACACGGGAAATTCTAAAAATGTTTATTGATAATTCTAAGAGAGGAAAATACAATAATAAATCTAAAAATAAAAAATCGATAAAAAACCGATTTAATTATACATTTTATGTCTGGAATTATATATAAATAAAATTATAACTTTGTGATTATATAAGAGTTTTCTCTTTTATATACATATATATATATATATATATATATATATATATATATATATATTCACAATTTATAATTCGACATAAAGTTATATGAATAACATATTAGAAGAAACTAATATATATGCATATATATAAGATTTGTTTTTATATATATATGATATAAAAGTATAAAATTCTATACATCGGAAATTCTACATTGAGAGAGCTACAGGCTATAGAATTATAAATTATAAAATATTTGAAATAGAGATTTATGAGATAAAAGCCACATTGTTTTCACGATTATTGCTTCACACTTTGCGTCAACGATTCGATTGTCGAAGGATAGGGCAATGCGATTGCAGAAGTGATCATATAACAGTATATCTATATACAGGGCGTGTGCGTTCGTTATCGCAGGTTTCTTATCATTTGGTTCGTGTGAAGAACCAAACGACACACCTAGTTCCGCTCTTGCTATTCGCGATAGAAAGAAGATTCGATTGCTGCGGCAGTTTGTATCAAACTGTTGCTGAATTGTCTTCAAATCGGAGATGAGAAATATCGTTTGGATTATTCTGCTTTTTGGGGTTGCATGTGCGCAACAGGATTGTAAGTAACCTAATTTATTGTATACTAACTAATATATTATGTAATATAAAATATTTTTATTTTATATTTTATAGCTCAATTTTATGACGATAATATATAGAATTCTATGTCAATTCTAAAAATATAAAAACTAAACTACACTAATTAAAATTAAATAATAAATGTCGTATGTTTTGTGCGCGTCATGATTTCTACCAACGAAATTAACTTTTAGAGAAGTATTTATAATAATTATTTGCTTATACATATCATATTATAAATATATTTATGTACATTTAATCTTTATCATGTTTCTCCCAAAATATTCTAAAAATAAAAAATTGCTTTGCGTTTTATAAACTATTATATTGAGAGAGAGAGAGAAAGAGAGAGAGAGAGAGAGAGAGAGAGAGAGAGAGAGAAAGAGAGAGAAAATAGCAAAGTTGATAAGAAATTCGCGATTATATTGCTTGTAGCATATAATAGAATCATACAGCAAAATATGGTTCACATTTTAAATAATTTATGCTAAAAATACATTATTTAATAGAATTCTTTAAATATTCTACAAAGGAATTCTTAATTATTTTCCTCCAAAAATAAAAGTCAGAATTAAATATATATATACATATATATTTTTCTATATAAAAAATATATTTTTATAGCATTATATTAAAAGTTATTAATATATTAATGTACGATTAAACTCCAAGAAGTTTTAATCAACTTGTGATAACGTTTATGGCATATTTTTTTGCATTATTAGACACTATCAAGTATCAGATAAATAAATATCTTGATAGTGATTGAATGATTTCATTAAAATTGAAGTACAGAGTCTCATCAATGTACGATTATATTAGATTCAGTTATTATTTTATGGATATATTATAGATATGCTTTTAATAACTATATAATATATTTTACATTTCGATGCTTTTATCACACATACACACATACACGTATACACAATATTACGCAAAATCTCTAGGTAATGTATGTATATGTGTAAAAGATTTGATATATCAGTATCACTGCAATAAAGTTAATCTGTATTTTTTTGCTAGCTCTATCGATTTTTTATATAATATATAGATTACAGAAAATTCTTGAATTTTTATAACTTTCATAATGTACGTTTATTACAATATATTATATTATAAACAGACACAAAATTAGACAACTTAAATTTATACGGTAAATACGTAAAATTAAATTGTAAAGATAAAGATAACGAAAAAGACTTTAATAAAAGAAAGAATACGAAGTAAATTATGAATCATACATTTTTTCCATACATTAGAAGAGGAAAATGTCGAACTCGCGATCTTAAACCACGTTCACGTAAACGTCTTCTAATTGTTTGATCACTGATTCTGTGAGAGAGATCTTCATTAGCAATTTGTCGCGCAATCATCGTTGGTGTGCGTTGAATATCGCGCTAATGCTGATGATACTTGCAAAAAAATGCATAGATAACTTTGATATGACGTAACTCTGCCAAAACAAAAATTGTACGAACTTTGCTTTTTTTTAAATTTGTATAGGAAAAAATCTATATTCTATGAAAATTTGGATAAGATTTACGAAAAAAATTTATTTCACCCCGTAGAGTTCGTCAAATTTTGTAATTTTTTGAAAAAAACACATTGCACCTTCCTTTTTAAAGGAACAGTGGAGAGAGGGGGAGAAGATGAAATCAAAATCGAATAAAAGTTTCTTAAAGTATAGAGACTTTACCTTTTAAAACAAAAAAAATTTGTTCAAATACGATAATTTTTCGCGAAGATACGCTTATTTGAATTTACGCGAAATTTTGATATTTATTGCGTGTTGTGATAATTTTTTTGACCAATGTATGTATATTACATTATAAAATTAAAATGTAATTTTGCTTAAGTAATTGTTTAAAAATTTATTATATCATTATTGTTATATGTTAAAAATTTAAATTTATTTTCTATATACTATTTTTACAATTGATATATATATAAATAAATATATTTAATGAAATACTGATATACTGATTGTAAATAAAAATCAAATATTTCTATTCTCGACATAAAAATTTTCCACAACATAGATAAATAAAGAATTATTTGTTTTTACGTGTTTATAAGTTCAGAAAATTAGACAACTTTTATTTTACTTTTATGTATTCTCATAATTTTTCATAAATATTAAATAGCTTTATATATTAACCAAAAAATTTGAATTGTTATTATGTGTTAATTAATTAAATTTTTATTCTTTTTATATTGTCTTCTTTAATTAAACATTTTTTTTAAACTTTCATAGCACTTTATTAATTTATATTGAAAGTACATGCGCGTTTTTATGAGCTTTAAGAATATAAAAGAATTATTTGAATTGAATTTATATATTAATTAAATTTTAATTTTTTCAGATAAATTATGCGCACCTGTAGATACAGTAAGTGATGACGCGTGTTATGCTTTGCAACGAGGGGAAAGTAAAGTATCGTGTTTGCGCGTAGCGGATAGTGCCGAATGTGCTATTCGCTTAGCACAAGGAACGGTCGATTTTGGCGTTTTCAATGCGGAAGAACTCTTGTTGGCATTTCAATTTTATCCGTCAGACATTCTACCTATTCTTCAGTTGAGACACAAGGATAAGCTGGAAGGTAATAAAAAAACTTAAAAAAATGTGACAAAAAATTATTTTTAATTGTTTTTAAGTGCAGTACTATAATAGATCCCCTTAACCTTGCAAATACATCTTTTGAAGATTATAATGGCATAAGAACTATTAAAAAAATTTAAACTATTGTAATTTTAATACCATTTATAATGCTATCAAATTAGAAATATATAGTATTATTTAAAAAGTATTGAGCTACCTTAAAATTATCTTGATGATGATTACATTAAAAAAATTGTTTATATCACGCATTTATCTTTTCGAACAGTGCAACTTTTTTTAGATATTTTTTTTTTAAATTAACAGAAACATCTTGTATAATCTTTTTTTTCTTATTACAGATTAAATAAGCAAATAAAGTATTACGTCTTTAAATAAAAAATAAACCGTAACATGCTGAATCGTATTTTTTAATAATAATGATATTGAACGATGTTGATATGTATGTCGGCATTAGAAATAATTGCAAAATGTATTTCTAGCAGAAGAAATTCTTATTAAAGGCAAAGTTAGAATTTAATTATATGTCATTACACATTGTAATGATAAAATATATGTATACATATGAGTAAAATGTATTATTTAATTTTTACAGATGAGTTTGAATTCCAAACTGTGGCAGTGGTTCCTGCAGATTTAACGCAAAAGGTCGTTAGCCCTGGAGAACGTCTTAAACTTTTAAAAGATGGTGGCTTTTGTCATCCTGGTTTTAGTAAATCTCAATGGTGGAATGATTATATTCTCAAGTATTTTGAAAAAACGGTAAATCGTCCACATTGCCAAGAAAATGTAACTGTCATCGAAAATGAAATTAGAAGTCTTAGAGATTTTTTTGGAAAAGCTTGTAGGCCGGGTGAATGGTCCGCTGACAATTCTATCGATGAAGAATTAAGTAAGTTAAGAAATTAATATTAAAAAAAAGTTTAATTATAAATTGACATTAAAATATTTACACATTAAAAAGATTATTACAGTTTTTACATATATTAGAGATTGAGATTCTGACAACGAATCGTACTTATTCTTTTAATTGTGGATTGTTTTGTTACGATTTTATATTATTTTCAACAGCCACTGATGATATATGTATAAAGATATAATGTTACATATTTATATTCGATTTAAAGTAATTCAAATTACTGAAGAAAAAGTCAAGCTATCCATGTACAAAGTATTAAGATAAATTGTATTTTAAAAAATATTACGTAAACAAAATACACTCGCGTGTGCAGTAGAAGCAGAATTTTCAACACGTGTATATAAACTTTAACTAACTCTTTAATAAATAAGTGATGATTAAAATCTTTACTCAGAATCATAATTTTGACAATATATGTATATCAAAATAAAGATGATTTGGGCTCATTCCCATTAATATACATATATTATCCTTGTTAACAATTTCAAAAAAATTAAAGTTATTAATATATACATATAAATGTTATATATATATATATATATAATAATAATATTTATTTTTTATATTCTTTTACAGAAAATAAGTATCCAGAGTTATGCGCTCTTTGTGATAATCAAGCAGCTTGCAGTTACAATAATAAGGAAAAACACGGACATTTCGGAGCACTGGAATGTCTAGCTCGTCGTAATGGTAAAGTCGCATACGTAGCGCTTAGCTATGTTCGTGAATACCTCAAAGTAAGCGAACATTTCGTTTTTAGAATACAGATATTATCTTTAGATTTAATCTTAGTTTTCAGAATCACTATATAAGAATCGCACTACATTGATATATATATATATATATATATATATATATATAATTAATATATATAAAAGAATATACATATACATATATGTATATGTATATTCTTTTTACATATATATATATATATATATATATAATATATTCTTTTACGATATGTATCTGTATTCCTTATAATTATATTGATTATATTTTATTACTTTACATCCACATTATTCTATGTTTCAGACAAATGCGACATTCCAGTTTTTATGTCCAAATGGTAACCTTCTTCCTTTAAGCAGCGAAACTCCTTGTGCATGGCTCAAACAACCATGGAGCGTAATCGCAGCTAGAAAGTAAGTGAATAATGATATTTATAGTTTGCAGCAATTTATACAAAAAGAATCAGAAGAGAAAAGAATCTTTATTCAAAATTTAGATACTTGAAAGTTATGTTGCTATTTTACATTTAATATTTATCTATATATTTTTAATCTATATGTGTATGCATGTACTTATATATATATATATATATATATATATATAAGAATAAGAGAAAAAGATTTATATCGATGATTAAATTCATAGAAATAACCTTTTTTTCAATTTATATTTTAATATATTTATTTTTTACATAATGTAATGGTATTTATATTCTTTTGAAAAATATCTAAAAATATTTATATTTATATCGCAAAAAAAATTAATATGATATAGCTTTTACTGACAATTATTTTACATACTAAAATTTTTTTTTCAAAATAATTTGTTTGATTGTACTTTTAATTTTTTTAGGGAAATTGCAAAACTTCTTAAGAATGATTTGTTGAAATGGCTGAAATCGCCGTTTAAAGAAAATGATTGGGAAATTGTTCTGAGTAAAATTATACAAGAGGATAGCTTGGCTGTCGATCTTACGGAAATGTCTCTGTCTACGTACTTAAGCAAAGGAAGAGAAACCGATATCTCAAACATTGAAACCTGCGGTACAACCATTCGTTGGTGCACGATTGGTGATTTGGAGACCAATAAATGCACATGGGTAGCGAAAGCAGCGAAAGCCCTTGGTGTGGAACCGAACATTTCCTGCATTAAATCAAATTCCACATTTGAATGTTTTCGCAATATAGCTGAAAATCGAGCGGATATAATAACCATTGATTCCAACTATGGTTATCTAGCGCGAACGTAAGCGAAAATAGAATATATCTAGTAAAAAAGAAGAAGAGAAAAACTTTGTTGAAGAATACATATATAAAATTTATTTTAATATTATTTTTGACATTCTCTTTTATTTATGCAGAGTTCATGGTCTATCAACGGTTTTGTATAGCGAAACTGAAATGGACAAGAATAGTGTGATAATTGCGGTAGTGCGCGAGCCTAAGGATGACAATTATCCAGTAAAAAGTTTTCATGATTTAAAAGATCGAAAAGCATGTTTCCCGGAATATAGCGGAATTAGTTGGTTAAGTTTCATCAATATTGCAAGGACGAATAACATTATTTCATCTAAGTCTTGCAATTATCCATTATTGGTGTCCAAACTCTTGTCTGGCGCTTGTACTCCCGGGATAGAAGACGCCGATCACTCGCGCATTACTGTTCCCGCAGATATATCGTCCAAGCTCTGTTCGGCATGTCGGTATCAAAATAATACTTCTTGTGCAGTAAACGAAACTAACCGCTATTATGGTGATAAAGGAGCCATGCAATGTCTCAGCGAAGGAGCCGGCGATGTGGCGTTCGTCGAGGCGGCAAATATCGGTATAAAACAATGTATTTTTATAGATATATAAAAAATGTTATTTATTTTGATAGATATGTTTATAGATATACGATAAAAACGATTGAAAACGTTTATATATTTATTTAAAGTTTTAATTCATTAAAATATTTATAACTCTCATCTTTTTAATTCAAGATCACAGAATTTTACTTATTTTTTAACTTTTAACTTCATTTTTTTGAACAATATTCCTTTGGATTCATTTTTGTAATGTTGTTTAAAAGGCTTATTGCTGTAATTTTTATTTACTGTTAGGAAAAGTATATACATTTACTTTGAAAAATTCATAACTTTTTTCTATGTGATAATTAATATTTGATTGTTATTATTTTATAGAGAGAAACATCGATTCGAATAGATATCGTATCTTGTGCAAAAATGGAAGTTTGGCTGAAACTCCAGGATTCAAATTTGACGAATTTTGTGCATTATCAGTAACAATTGATAGCGAAGTAAGTCTAATTTTTCAAGAATTATATTAATATATACATATGTATATATGTGCATGTCTGTGTGCGTGCTGTTATACTGTAAAAATAAATAAATTGCAATATTCTTTTAGCTTGTTGGTCGCAAAACTGATATGCAGATTTTTAAGACGGATACTTTCGAGGCTTTGTTGAAGATAGAAGATTGGCTAGGATATCGCGTGAGCGCTCGGAGACCAATTTACATTTATGGTCCATTCAATGGCACGTTAAATCTTCTCTTCAAAGATTCTACATCCGGTTTAGTTTCTACATCATCGACAAAGAAATCAGTGCTTGCCTATAAAGAACTTTTTAGTCACGTAGAACAATGTTCGATTGGTTCTTTTGCGACCGCTAATTTCGTCTTTGTTGCTCTAGTTGTTCTTTATCACTTTCTTTTCAATCACGTACATTATTAATTCGAATTGTATTATTTGAATATGTACGAAATAGATATAATTATTATATATTTTTAATTAATAATTATTATACATTTATCAATTTTTATACCATTTCTAAAAGATAACAACATCAACCACTATTTCTTTACATTACAAAATAGAAAATAAAGACAATTATTACTTTTCTATTCATTAAAATTTCCATTTATTTTTTATACCTTACACCTAATCTTTTCAATGTACATATATGTATATAGTATTTTTTAACTGAATTGCTTCTTCAACTAATTTTATACATATACATGTATATCATTTTGATTATACATGTAAAATTTTGCTTGCTACGATAAATCCATCGTTAAAAAAATATGGTAAAAGGATTTATACAATATAACATAATATATCAAATATGTGTGTGTGTATACGTTAATACAAATGTTTTAAATAAATAATTAATATATAAATTAATTGTACATGATTTTATAGTTTTTTACAGTTTTGAAATATGTTATATGTATAAAATTTATATACTTGTTATACTATTATGCGCATTTTTATAGATAAATTGACGTTTTTCATAAATATAAAATAATTTAGAGATAGATTTCTTAGTGAATTAATTTCTTTTAAATATGAAAACAAAACAATGTTTTGTTAGTTTTTGAAGTTTTAAGGCATATTTAGCTTTGTGTAAACTTAACTCATAATAATATTATTAATAATATAAGAATATAATAATATTAAGTTTCACTATACCAAGCGTATATATAAAATGAATGACGAATAAGAGTTACTGTATAAATGTTAGAACAATGTGAACTTCTTACTTTCAATTATTGTGAACATACTTTTAATCATAAGAGATATCTTAGCAAGCCATAAAAAATTGATGGCACTTTTATGCAAACTTTCGATGCAAACTTAATTCTTAATTAAACTTTATTTAATTGCATGTATCTTATATATATATATATATATATATATATATATATATATATATATATATTAGTATCTTATACATATTTTAAATAAAAAATATAAGCTTATTTATTATATAATTATTGTTTAAACACAAATAATATACACAACACAAATACACACAAAAACACACACATATCGAACTATTTTATCACTATTAGTTTGATAAATCAATCAAGATCAATTGCATATTTTAATAAATAAAAATTATATTGTATCTTCTTTAATTTTTTTTGATAATTAAAAGTATAGTTAAGTTTGAGTAGAAAATTAATGATAGATTATGTATCTTCGTGTTAAAGTATTTTACTCTTAAGCTGTTCGTATTTTCATTTCTAGTTCGCATTTTTGAAAATTTATTTTATCGAAATTATTTGATCACTCTTTGTCTACTTTTTATTTGCTAATGAGTTCTTCTTTTCACATTAAAGGAATGATTAAAACAATCGATATGTTCAGCGTCAAGAGCTTGGATTATCCTCTGAAATGTGGTAGCATCGAGACCAGCGAAAGATCTGTCAGGAGCTGCGAGTTCGCACGAAAGTGAACGACGTCTTCTTCGTCGTCGTCGCCGGCGAAATATATCATCAAAATAATCATCCGTGGTTGGTGGATTTACCTTGGCATAGTAGAGAGCTGCGAAGCCGCTGTAAATTAGCAAAGCCGCAGTCGCGAGCTGATGCAAGCGAGAACACGTTTAATCAAAATTATATTATTATAAAATTGAAAAATTAAAGAGGAAAAATTTTGAATCATATATATACTTGAAAAACAGCCCAGAATTTATAGCTGCCTTCGTTTATTAGAAAGTCATAATAGCCGGCCCAATAATCCACAACTTTCGGTTGACTTATTGCTTTCATGTCACTGTGATCATTCTCGTCATCGTGATTCATGGTGTCATCGCTATAATGGTCTTGATAGTCAGTGTTATCTCCTCTAGTACTGTAATCTTTTGATCTATAAGCCTTGCTTTGTCTGTTAACAAAATGTAACTTATTATTAGTAATAATATAGACTAATAAATCGTTAGTTATCAACTATTATTTACGTGTATGCTTTTATTTTTATTTTTTTTACATTAAAAATTTAACAATTACGCTCGATTAAGAATCAAAGTAAAATGACAAAAACAATAAAGTTTCATATATATATATATATATATATTTATATATAATATATTATATATTTCATATATTTATATATTTACCTTATAGGCTCCGCAATTGTACCTAGCTCCAGATTTTCTTTAGATATTCCTGTTTTTGAAATCAATTCTTTCATATCCTTAATCTCACTCGATACGATAGAGATGTAACAGATGCAAATTAATAACAAAATAAATTTACAGATTAATCCGTTGCTTACCGAATCTGAGAAATTAATATATATTATCCATATAGTGAAAATATGTATAATTTATAATAAATATATAAAAAATAGATTCTCTTACTCTTACTGTAAATAAAATACTGACCCATGTTAATCTTTAAAGTATATGTATCGTATGTTTTCTTTTTAAATACGCGCGATGGGCATCATTTTACTTTAACAATTGTTACAATGCACTCTGTCACACACAGTAAAAGCTTTCACTAATTAAAAGTAAAACAATGCAAAGCTTTGAAGTGGAAAACCTTTAGCTATCAAGTCTGTCGACAAACTAAACGATTTCTGAACCTAGTTTCAGTACCAGTTTTGTTCAGTATTTGCGAACCGATAACTGTATCGACGGTAACGTTAAGTAAATCCCTAAGCGCTAATAGCTCTAATTGTTACAGATCTTATGCATCGCTTAGAGGTAGAATCTGTCAAAATATTTAGCATCGAGCTTGATTGATAGAAGCTAGAATAATGCTGAAGGTATTATTCATAAGGCGCAAAATTCTTAAAATCATACACATACACACATTATCCAATTATTATAGTTATACGCTGCTATATGTGTTATTTAAAATTCGTTACATACTTTTATGACTGTCAATTTCAATTTAAAAAAATCAATGATATACCAAGGAATAAGTCGGATCGAAATATATTTATTATAATCATTCAGATCTTTCTTATTAGCATATTTTTAAATTTTAATTCCGTTGTAATGAAATATTCTAGATCGATGATAAATCTTGTTCTTATTAATAATTAATTGTTTATTCAATCTGTATATATATGTATATATACATACATATATATATACATGTCCTATAATTCGCGAATCACCTTTCATGGGCAGATAGAGCGTGTTAAACTGAATAGAAAAGTTCTGTATCATTTTGCGATATTCGCAATAATTATTGAGTTATTAACTAAAATATCTAAACGAATGAGCGGGTAGATAGCGGTAGGCCGGACTCTGTGTGCATGTCGGATGACTTATTTGTTATATGCCGCTTAGTATCAAAAGTATCATCTTACTTTTCGGCGCTACTACATTGGTCGCCGTTCTTTGCATGACACCGCCTCTCGATCAAATAATGCTTTCTACCTGCTTATTCGTTTAAATATTTTAATAAATAACTCAATAATTATTGCGAATATCGCAAAATGATACATGAATTTTCTATTCAGTTTAACACGCTCTATCTGCCCATGAAAGGTGATTCGCGAATTATGGGACACCCTGTATATATATGTATATACATATATATATTATATATATATATATATATATATATATATATATATTGTTTACATAAATTATTTTAACAACATGTTTATATTTGATGTAGTAGGTATTATAATGCGCGCATTATATGAAAGCTTAAAGAACCGAAAATTTGAATGATTATAAGAATTTAAGAAATCAGAAATTTGATAAATCTAAGAGAATAATATAATTTCACAATTTAAATTGATTATTTAACCATTTCTTTTCATAATAATCTAAGTGAAAAATAGATTTACATATCTGAAAAGCATCGTTTATATTTCAATTATCAAATGCAAAGTTATTATATAGCACCTTGTTTATTTTGTTATATTTGTTTTATTTGTGAATAAATAATTAAACGAATAAAGAACAAAAATCAATTATAATAAAAAAAAAATAATAAATATGGAAGTAATAAAAATAGCTGTATCGTAGCTAATAAGTACAATTTTCTTTTCTTTAGCTCTCTCTTTTTCCGCAATTCATCTCAAAATATAAATATTAACTTAAAATTAAACAATATAAACTTATTTTTAGATACTTAACCATTACTCGATACATCATTAATTAGCATATAGTCTAAAAATGTCATAAGTTATATATGTATATACATTATGCATAAATATACATATATAATAAACAATAATTACATATTTATTACAAACATTATCTCAACGATACATTTTACGTTTTATAAACTAATTTAATTATATCAATTATTGTTCTGTTAGTTTTATTCAAAAGTTTTCAAATATATTTTTACTTTATTCTTTTTAGGAAGAGAAAATAACAAATATTTACACATACAATGGCTTTTTCGGTATTTTTTCACTGGTAATTTATTAGTCTTTGGAATTTTTATGTTTTGGCGAATCGTTCTATTCCTTCAAGTATTTTTCAGTAAAAGACCATCATCCTTCATTCGAATCGCTTCACTTATGTGTTGCAGCTTCTGCTAAATTAGCCGGAAAGTTGATCTTATGTCTGGCGATGCTTTTCAATACAAGCGCAGCTATGTATATGATAAAATAAATGCTAAAGTATAGAGGTATATACCAAAGTTTTTTGCCTATAAAGTAATACGAATATGGTCTTTTATCGAGTCGCTGATCATTCATTTCCGGTTCTTCTGTCGTTGTGGATTCGTGATGATGATATTCAGGTACGTTTTCATATATTAAATCGTGTTCATATGGATCTTTCTCCGTGAATGATGGTGAATGTTCATAATAGTTGACGAATTTCACGGGTTTTGATCCAAGTTCGTCATTTTCATACGAAGAAGCACTGTCGTAATTAAGATAGTCACTTTCCTGCTCGGTGTGATACTTATTCGGTGGTGATTTATAGGAATCTAGAATCTATTCGATAAAATTCAAGTTATATATAAAAAAATATTTAATGAGTATATTAAAATAACCGTAGTTGTGAGTATATACATTACAGAATCTCAATATTCCATATTCTTAATATATTTATTCTTAACATTTATATTCTCAATCTTCTGTAATTCTTAATGTTCATATTAACATTTTCTTTCTGCTTTGCTTTCAATTTTACATTTGTCACTCAATTACACATGCTTAGAATGAAAATACCATGCATAAAGTGACATTTTTATTACGTGATGCATATATTATTATTAGAATAATATATGCATCACGTAATAAGAAAAGTAAAAACTAACAATAAGAGAAAAAATCGAGATTGTTCTTGAGAATTGAGAGATTATTTGGCTCCATTATATTAAGGATATTATAATGTTAACGTTATACATATATTATATATATTATAGTTAATATAATAATATTAACTATAATAAAAAAACAGTAAAAAGAATAAGCTAACTTATTGATTTATCTATTAAGAATAATTATAAATAATAATGATAAATATTTTTGATGTAAAATATTATATTTAGAATAATTATAAATAATAATGATAAATATTTTTGATGTAAAATATTATATTTACATACCTTTTTATCATCCGTAGATGGATATTTGCTAATCATTGGTTTAGATGATTCATCATCGAAAAATTCTGATGGACTGTATTCGTACATACCAGAGAAGATTGGACCGAGAAAGGTAGATGAATTTGCATTTAAGGAATTTTTTGTATCTGATATTTCTTTCTGTGGTTTTCTATTTGCATGTGCAACGTTATGCTCAAAAATTGCAGGTGGATGAAATCGATGTTGAATCAATTTTTTGCTTGTAACGTCTAGCTTGGCTATCATGTCATTATCCAGCGTAGAATATCTGCACATAAATATATTAATAATCAATAAATTATTGATACAAGTTTTTATATTACTGTTATATTCGCTGTTATATTTCAATACTTGAATTTTTACTTTGGAGTGATTGAATAATTAATTGCTTCTCCTTTCTGTAATTTTGGAGCCTTGATTGGCATATAAACAGGTGATACTGTGATAACAACATCGGTTATACTTCTCTCTTTATTTTCGTTTTCCACGCTCCTATTGCTTTTCATTGATAGCCTAAGTGCACAAATGTTGTTTGAGATATTCAATCCTTATAAAAATATTTTTAAAAAATATCTGATTACATTTGATTATTAGTAGTAGAATTGAAATTAGTATTGATGTGTGTGTGTGTATACACACACATATATAATATGTACCTAGTAATCCACGGAGAAGTATCATGAGAGCTTCTTGCTAATTGTCCGTTCTTCGATACTCTTGCGTATGACATTATTTCTGATGACATAACAGAAGACAAGTATAGAAAGAGAACCAAAGTTAAAATACGTAACATTATACTTGCTGATCGTTGAAAATGAATGACTATGGTCCTGAAGCGAATGTCCTCTATATAGACTTATAACTGTAACTACTATTTGAGCAGTCGGAAATATATTGTCTATATACATTTAGCATTGTTAAAGACAACTATCGGATCCTTTTGTTATTGTATAAGTTTATACATATATTGTAGATAATATCTTTGTCATATGATACATTATTCATTCTCAGCAAAACGATGCCAAATTAAACAATGTTAATGCTTATCATAAATTATTATTTTATGATTACATGCGCGCGCGCGCGCACACAACGTTATATCTCTGAGACTATATATATATATATATATATATATATATATATATATATATATATATGCACATATGCATATACATACTATGTACATATATATATGTATATGCATATATTTCAACAGTTTCACAGACAAAACATATTCAGTCAGTGCAGTCGTGCTAAACAGCATACATGTCGCTTGACGAAATCGTTCTAATTTAATTTACAAATCGTAACACTCCGGTATGAAAATATTTGTATTTGTACGTAACAATACACAAATTGTTTCTCATTATCAATGTCAGGAAAGAGAATATATTATATCGATATATGATGATAAAATTCCCCTAAATGATATGATAAAATTCTATAGAAATATATTGTATGTATACCTTATGTACAGTATATGTGATGTGATTGTTTTATGTATTTTTATTTTCTTAAATTATATTAAGGTTATAGAAGCAAAGAATATATAACTTATTTTTATTTTAATGCAAGAAATACATTACATTTCGTATAATATTTATATTACATATAACAATATATAAAGCAATATATATTACACACATTATATATTATATTGTATAACATTATATTACATTATATTATATACATTATATAACATTTGTGAAAAAATATATTGATAAATATGCTTAAAAAGGAGTTTGAATTATCTACACTTAATTTATATTATGTATTATTTGTCTGCTTTATTTAAAATTTAGTTTAATAAAATAATTATTGTTCATATTTTGCTTTTTTTTGTTTTTATTTGAATCGTATGCTAAAATTGCTGTTTATTATCAATTTATGTTTTTAATTTAATTTTATTTTATATTACTATAGCTAATACTCTGTAAACTTTGTTTATTTGTTTTTATTGACAACTTATTATATTATCTTACAATTCTTTCGAAAATTCCTTATTATTTAAACCATATCATTTTCCATCGAAATATTTTTGTTCTCCTTTATTCATTCGTTTTGTGGTTTTTCATCGAGATGGATATCATTTTCATGCATATCAAAATTATTCTGTGCATCGATATTTTTTGATTCCTTCATTTCCACGACATCGTCATTTTCGGGTTGAGATCGTTTTTTTATATAAGTCATATTAAATATTAAGAGACACGGTAGTGTCTTGTCTAAGTCCAAAAAAGAAAAAAAAGACATGCCGTGTCTTTTTACGCGAGTCGAATAGTTGAGAGTACTCGATATTTTCAGTTCACATATAACCACTGAATGGATTGAGTTATTTCTAGGCTTAATCGATAGCTTGAGTATGAATTATAATATGCCGTTATTATTTCCGGTAAATCTTGTAGTTCTTGAAATATATATATATATATATATATATATATATTTATATATATATAGTAGGCACACGTATAGCGACAATAGCATGCTAGTCGATACGGAATTATTGTGCTTGATAAATTTAACACTTTGATAAAACAAATGGTTATACTGATTGTCAAACAATTTACAATTACAACATTACAAAAACGGGGAATAAATAATTATATTGTATTGTGCATATGATTGTACAAAATAAGCTAACTTTCAAAGAAATATATTAAACCGTTACATTATTATTCCTGTTTTAGCACTTTTTTATATTAGTATCATTTTATAATTATTTATATAAGATTTGTTAAAAATATATATTATCTTTGTGTGTAATCATATATATTATTATTATATGTTATTATTATTGCATGTTCATATTATTATTATCATATATATGTTATTTATAATAATTTATATTAGATATAGCTATTGTATGTATTTTCTTAAATCTTTTTTAGGGCCGGCTTAGGACATTTAAAAACAAAAATAAAACAATGTATATAGCAGCTATTTGCAGGATCTAAGAGATCGACTGCTGAAATCGAATCTGTTTGTGTGTATTGTTATACCTATATCATTATCATATACATATATACATATATAGTAAAATTTATATCCAAAGGAAACCGAATAATATTTCATTTCGATGCTTTTATATCTATCTCTAAATTTTTCCTTGCTCATACTGACAGCTAATTCATATATTTTATATTCAGTTTACGATGTTTCTTTTATTACCATAGTTACTGGCAGATGCTAATACACAACTAGTAAAAAAAACTATCAAAAATTTCCTTTGTTCTGATTGGTCAATCATATGCTATTCTACTTTGACGGTAGATTTTCGAACAAGCTCAATTACATGGTGCATCGAAGCGCCAATCAAAAATCGTTATATCCTGTGTGATGTCTAGAGTCTTAATTCCTATTTAAGGAATTGTAAAAAATGTGTAAATAATAATATTTTATACAATAATTATATTGTTAGAAATTTTGTAATTAGTTATTCTTTAGGTTGATTAATAACTAAATTAATTGAAGTTTGTCAAAGTAATCATAGAAATCGAGTTGTGTAACTTGTATTATTTGAAGTAATGTATTAATGTGTCATATATTAACAATATTATTGGTATGTCATTTCATTATATTATACGCTTATCTTTATTTTTCTACTATTCCTACAGATTTCTATAATTCTATACTATAGATTGCTGCTAAGCAGCGCTTGCGGAATAAAGTTAAGAAGGTTGTGGTAGGGGACGACGGCCATGTTCCAGTTGAAATGTAACAGCGTGTATATGTGTTAATAAAATACTAAGAAATCTGTCGATGTGTTGTTCATAAATGCATTCCCCACTACTATCGCTTTTAGATTTCATATTTGCTATAGTAAATGCTGGAAATCTAGCCTTAGACCATATAGTACATTGACTGCGTATTGCCCTATCTTTCCATTGTTCAGTTATTGCCAAGTTAGGAGAAAGAGACAGAGATAGTTTGATCATATGTGTGACAAGAAAGTTAACCCTTCGAGGGACCAACGTAGCCAATCGCATACTGTCCTTAGGCTTTGTCCCTGAATTCGGCAATAGCCCCCTACCACTAACGCAGTCCAAAGTCCAGGTACTATATGTGAGGTCTGTTCTTTTCAGCTGAACTGGCTACACTAGTTCAGAGGTTGTCTTTTTGTTCGACATTAGAAGGAAAAAGACAACCTCTGAACTAGTGTAGCCAGTTTAGCTGAAAAGAACAGACTATGGTCTAAGGAGCCTAGCCGTCTAGTTATACTATAGAAGTCTTTGTGATTATTTCAGACATTCTCTTGAACACAATATCATTATATATATGAAATAAATAAAATTGTATTGTTTCAATCAAGTTGATCTTATAATGTAAGTTTAATCCATTTGTGATTTCTATGAAATGTTTTTAAGATTTTTGACATATTAATAACAATATATCATCAATATACAAAAGTCGTTTCAAGATGTCTACAGATTACAGCGACAGATATGTATTTGAAGCTGAATGGTACGACAACGTTGCTTGCATACTGAAAAAATTTTATCTATATTATTATCCGTCTAACAATACTATCGAATTGGTATGTATTAAATTAATACAAATTAATTTGCAGAAAAAATTATTTATATAATCTATGTATGTTTTAGTTTGATTTAAAAACGAGAAAAATCTTCCTAAAAAGGACAATATGTGAAGGCATTAAAGTTAAAGATTTTTATATTGGTGCTGTAATAACAATATTTTCAAGATGTATAAAAATTATGGGTTATGCAGATAATTATACTAAAATCAAATTAGAAACACAACTGCAAAAGTAATGGATAAAGGATTTATTTTATATTTTTTATAATTTTATGATTTATCAATTATAAATTTTTATTTTATTGAGACAATTTTATTTTTCTAGATTTTTTATACTTTTGAAACCAGATATTATTAATAAAATGGGTGAAGTAATAAAAGATATTACAAATCATGATTTTCAAATTACAAATATAAAAATGATGCTGTTGACTGCAATTGAAGTTACAGATTGTAATTTTATAAAAGATGCAACTGATAAGATGTAAGTATAATGAAATATATAATCCAACTAAATAAATTGTGATGGATGTACTGGAGGATGTTTAGATATAATCGAAAGTCTAGACATTCAAGTCAGGCACAATCCAAAAATTTTTTTCCTCCAAGTCCCCTTAAAGATGGGTGGAAAAATCGAAAAATGTATTGTAACTTTCGGAGACTTTTTTACATATCGAGAAAAAGATTTTTTCAACGATCTGTGAAAAAATCGAGAATTACAATACATTTTTCGAATTTTTCCCCCAACTTTAGGGAGCATTTTTGGACCCATGTTTATACAAATTTCTCTTATTTTGACCTCTAGAATACGCTCTTAAAATCTCTGACATAGTTTTAGAAACACCCTGTATATATATTATAATGACTAATTTTTTAGGTCTATGATAAAATATCTTACCTCTGGCCCTGTTGTTGGTTTGGAGCTATTAGGGGAAAATGGTATAATGAGATGGCAAGAATTAGCAGACCCAGAAAATTGTAAACAAGCTTATTCAACAACGACATCTTTATCAAGAATTTGTGGAAAAAATGAATTATATAACTCTGTGTATGGATCTAAGAACATTGAAATGGCAATACAAGTATGAAGTTTAATATACAGTTTATAATCTAAGAATATTTTGATTTTGTCATCTGGTATATTTTTAGGAGTTAGGATATTTCTTTCCCAATTTAAAAAATAAAAATAAAGGACCAAAAACTTCTGCAGTTCTTCAAAATTGTACCTGTTGTATTATCAAGCCACATGCTGTACAAGCAAAGCTTCTTGGTAAATTGAACATTTTATTAATATATATTAATTGTGTAGTAATGTAAGTAACATGGGCGTCCGCAGAGAAAGAGCATTTGCACCCCTTTGGAATCAGTTAAAAAATTAAGTATTCATTCTCCTTCAATAAACACTGGAAGTTATTGGCATATATTTAATACACTTCTGTATGTAAAAAATATCAGAATTAAAGAAAATAAAAAAAGCTATGACCTTTCGGAAATAGAGATTTCAAGCTTTAAAATCTTTTTTTAAAATTTTATATATCATTTTTCGTACCAAAGTTACGGCTATTTAAAATTTGTCTATTTTTTGGACAATTTTTTTATCCTTTAATTATTTTGAGGAGTGTATTTAAAAAAATTAAAATAACAAAAAAATTAAATTTAAAATAGTTAAGAAAGAATAAAAAAAAAGAAAAAAATTTTAAACATGTCCCCTCCTGGAAAAAATCTTGTGGACGCCCATGGTAAGTAATGAATCTAAGTAATAAAATTTTCATATTAATCTTTGTAGCACTATATCTGACACACATGATACATATTCTTATAAGTTTAATAATTAGTATTTATAGCCAGATATGGTTGACGAAATTATTACTATATTCTTATAAATTAATCTTACAATATAGGTCCCATTATTGATGATATTCAAAAAGCAGGCTATATCATTACTGCAGTACAACAATTTCGTATTAATTTAATTAATTCTGAAGAATTTCTAGAAATTTATAAAGGCGTGCTTTCTGAGTATACTGTATGTTTTCGCATGCATTTTACATTTTATTATACAGATAATTTTTGAAAAAGAAAGTATTCGTAAATATTTTTATAGGCAATGGTAGTTGAATTACAGTCTGGTCCATGTATTGTTATCGAAGTAAGTCATAAGAATGAGGATTTCAACATTGTTGCTGATTTTAGGAATTTCTGTGGTCCAATCGATCCGGTATGTTATATTACTTTGCTTGTTATTCCTTTGATTATTTTCTTTTGATTATCTTAATTATTTTGTTTAATATTATAAATATTTGATAGGACATTGCGCGACAAATCAAACCGAATACACTTAGAGCCAAGTATGGGAAAACAAAAGTACAAAACGCTGTACATTGTTCTGACTTGCCGGAAGATGGTGTATTGGAGGTAATTAAAGCTTTAATCATTTTTGTCACATATCTTATATAATTTATTCATATTAGATTTTTTCAGGTTGAATATTTCTTTAAGATATTAGAGAAATAGTTTAAGCGATCAAATACTTGAATATACCACATTTTGTATGATATGAAAAAAATAGTCAATTTCAGAGTTCAATTATTATTAAATTTATATTTAATTTAAAAAAAATATTTTTATACTCTTTTGTATATGTGACGAAATAAATGTATTTCTTTTCACAAAAAAATGTACATAATTTTTTGTTAAAAAAAGTTATTTTTTAAAAATAAATAAAAAAGGCGCATGTTTACAAAATTATACAAAAAATATTATTTTAATATATTTATCTACAAAAAGTTATTGTAAAAAAAGTAACACTTGATATTTCTCATGTATTTTCAACATAAACTGAACTCGTCAATATCACATTTATTTGAATTTTGTAAGTACATCCTGAAGTACATATCTGATAACTATTTCGTATTTAAATTTCTTTTACGTACGCATATAAAGCCTACAAAAAACGACTCATAAGATCAAGTGTTTAGAAGCACGTGCGTAATTTATATCGCATAGGCAGGATAAAAAATGACGCGATAGCCAATCAATTTACTGCTTTCCATAAAAGTAAAAGATTGCAAATGTTCAATATGCAGTTTGAATTTCAAAGGGATCTAGAATATATAATAAATATAAGGTTCTGCCAAGAGAGTAACGAGCAATTAATTTTGGAGACCTCGCACAAAGGGCTGCAAAGTTACAAATGCTGACAATGCGAAACAAATTTTCAATGTTTATATATAGGAGTACATCGATCTATATTACAATTAAACACGGTTTTCTTAAACGGAAAAACTATTTTTTTACGTAAATCGATTTCTCATAATATTCGGCATAAGAAGTTATAAGAGTAAGTTGGCCACAACAAAAAGTGAACAGTTTACGAGATATATTATACTTTACTTTTGACATACCTATATATAATCTTACATGAACTATGAAATATCTCGTAAAATATTTCATTTTTCAACAATCTTATCTTAATACTTGTACAAAATAATGACAGAAATCAGTAAAAAAAACATATAGTTGTTTTTAAGAAAAAAAAAATGCAGTTACTAATTTTAATTCACATTTTATGCAAAAATAATAAAAATAAATTCTTAATATTTAAAAAAATTCTAAATTTGACCTTTAGAAAATTACACAAAATTAAAATATTATTATTCGAAGCATCGCTTTAAAGTGTATGTATTGATTATGTTGTACTTATATATTACAAGTACAGAAAATCTATCATATATGTAAGGTGACTATATAGTATATATAAATTTTACGGACAGTATATATCGAAACACAGCTTAACAATCGAAGGCATAATAATTATTAAACCTATTTTTATTATATAATTTACTATAGATTTTAATAAATTGTGTTTGAAATTGATCAAGCAAACCTTGACAACCAATCTCTCGTGCTAGGCAACGCACGATCATTTGTATTTGTACAAGACAACGTGTTTGACTGGCATGCACGCACGTACGCACGCATGAACGAAATGCGGTTTTGACAGCTCTGACTGATCCAGAGTTGATGCAGAGAAAACGCGCTTTCGTGATAGCTCGTAATTTTTGACACGTGATCACATTTTATAATTGAATTTAATAATTGAGAGTGCCTCCCTTATCAGATAGTATATAGTAATCCACAATCCTGTTTGAAACACTGAACGCGTTTTAATTAATGTTTCTACATGAGGTTGCAAAAATTCTTGCTTCGTTATTTTCCACCAGGTAAGTAGACGACAATATTGTCGAGTGTGTTAATGAGATGATTTGTTTCTTGTCAAAGTTCAAATTTATTAGAGTTTATATCGCTAATTGCGATAATTAATTTTTCATTATTTTCAGGTCCCAATTTAGATATTGTAACGTTAAGTCATGTGTTTTTCCAATATTTTTTATTATCGAAGGGAGAGCTATTCTGTTAATATTTTTTTATACTTTTAACCAGGCTCTTTCATTTTTTAAAGAGTTTAGATCGCTAATTGCGATAATTAATTTTTACGTTATTTTAGGGTCATTATTTATATATCTTAACTTGACGTTAGATCACGTGTTTTCCTAATATTTTTTTTTATCGAACGGAGGGCTATTAATCTGTTAATATTTATTAATATTATTAACCATACTCTTTCATTTTTTAAAGAACCAGCCAATTAGCATCGCGGAAAAGCGACAACAATAAACTTCAAAACATGCGATTATCGTCATTACATGCCTCTTCTAGAAATGGACAAATTAAAAATGTTACTAGAACCGATCTTGTAAATGTTTCATTAGTTCATGCATGAAAGGATATTGTGCGCAATTTTTACTTTTTAATAGTTTATTAGATATAGTTAATAAAAATTTCTCAATTATTAATTTCACATATCGAAAAAAGCAAAACACAGACATTGTATTTTAAAATATTATCATTAAAATTAAATTAATTAACTTAATAAAATTTTGTAAACTATATAAATTCATTTTATAAAATTTTATTAATTACAAATTTATTTCAGGTCTCGCATTGGAGTATACACAAGGCGGTGATGTCAAAACAAAAATGATCGATTTGTTAGATTTATGTGCTGGGTAATAAAATATTAGTCTTTCATTATTACTGACAAATGTTTTTAAGTAAAATACGATGAGAAATGAGAAATTGGAATTTTATTTAGTATTATTATTTTATTTACTATTACTATTGCTGTTTTATTTTTATTTTTGCTTTTGCTTTTATTTAAATATCGAATTATATCTATGTATATTTGATGTATGTTTTTGGAGTAAAGTGAGAAAATTACACAATTTACTTTACAGAACGGACATAAGAGCATTAGCGGAGAGTATAAAAGCGGCTGAACCTGTAATAACCGAAAGTGTAATGGACCAGTTAGTCGAGACTCTGCAGAAACTACAGTCTAAAGTTTGCAATACAAATTCCAAACGTTATTATAAATACAAAACCTTACAGACCCATCTTTTGCCAGTTACTAATATAGCATTCGATAAACTAGGTAAAAGGTACTCTATATTAAAGTTGCTTAACTGATGAAATATATAAAATTGATAAAATTACAAAATATATGAGGTTTTAATATTATTTATATATTCCAATACATATAATATTTGATAAATCGATTAAAAATCATTAAGAAAGTATAAGAGCTATTTGATATTAAGAGTAAATATATGTGCAAGAATATATAAATAATAAATATAATGCATCAGCTAATTTATTTGAAAGGACAATTACGTAATTGATACATCCGTTTAATCGACAGATGCTTGACAGGCAGCTATGACCGAACTTGTAAAGTTTGGGACATTGACAGTGGAACGGAGCTTTTTACTCTCGAAGGCCATAAGAACGTGGTCTACGCCATCTCCTTTAACAATCCAACTTCGTAAGTTAGTCACGATAATCAAAGTTAGTTTGCGACAATATCGGTTCGAGTTGATAGTAAGATGGCACTTGTATAACTTATAGCAGACTTATTCTTTTTATATGCGCTTTATATCACACGTTCGTTGTAATGCGATAATAATTAAATTAAATCTATTATCAATATTGTTTTAGAGACAAAATTGTGACTGGATCTTTTGATAAAACGGCAAAAGTCTGGTGTTCGCGGACAGGTCACTGCCTCGCGACTATGTGGGGTCACGATGCAGAAGTAGTGGTGGCTAAATTTTCACCGACGGAATGCAAGCTCGCGACTGGTTCTATCGATGCGACGTCAAAAATATTCCATATAGAAACTGGTATTGAAAATATTGCAGTGTTATTTCACATAATAAACACGCGCCGATACATATGGCTTGCAATCGATTGAATGCGACACAGACTACTGTCGAATCTATTTCTCGATATGAGAACAACATGGAAGCAGTTAACGTATCCTCTCGCGCGCGTTTTTATTGCATTTGATTATTACTGACAATGAGTTATTATCTCAATGGCAATCGATTCGATATACTAATCAAGCTAAAATTAAGAGCGACTGAATTGTTGCAAAAAATTTCCGAATTTTTAATTGTTTTTGAAAAGCAATTTGTAGTTTAAAGTTTAGAGTTTAGAGCATTAACAAAATATTAACTGCCATTGATTCTAGGAATAATTTTATAGTGGTATACATTTATAAAATAATTAAGCTCTATTTTTATATTTTTTTAAAGTGAACAATATTAACTAATCAAGTGTCTTAGTTTTACTATCTAATCATTCGTTAATTAAATTAATTTATCTGAGATACGTATATTTTTTAAAAAATAAAGCATTGCTACTGATATATATCCTCTTATATGAGAAACACAAACAGATTTGGATTCGACAGGTGAAGAGTTGGGCACGTTGAGAGGCCATACGGCGGAAGTTATTGCACTACATTATAATGATGATGGAAATCAAATCATATCAGGTTCTTTTGATGGGACGGTGAACATCTGGGATACAAGAATTTTTGCGTAGGTTCTCTTTTTCTTATTTTATACTATCTTATCTTAATACTATGCCTTAAATGCAATGCTTGACTCGCATATTTATTATACAAAATAATATAATTGTTATTATCAAAGATTAATACAACTGCTTGACACTTTTACCGAATCAATCTTTCATTTATTTTAAATATTGTAATATTACTTGTATTTTTTCTTTTGCCGTATCATCTGCTGCTTATAATATTAATTAGTGTTATTATACAAGTCTTATATATTATCTCTATATTTACACATATAGAACTGTATTTTTTAAAATAATGTTTCTTACACGTCAATGTTATATTTCACACGTCAAATGTAGAATTTGATAAAAAATGAAGTTGTTTTTAACTGATGATCAGACGAACGGGTGCGTTAATTGGACATCATGCAGGATTGTCCAACTGCCTTTATAATTTCGATTGCTCGTTAATTGCATCATCTTCGATGGATAAAAGCGCGAAGATATGGGATGTGAGAATGAATTCTTGCCTGGCTACCTTGCTGGGGCATGACGATGAAGTCTTGGATCTCGCTTTCGAGAATAATGACAAGAAACTAGCAACAGCAAGCAGCGATACTACTGCGCGAATTTGGGATATAAGCAGCAATTTCCAACAATTGACGCTGATGAAAGGCCACCGAGAAGAAGTTTCGAAAGGTAAATTTCTTATTACAAATAAACGTCCTGCGACTATCTCATATTCATTCCAATGTATTTCAAATTCCCATAAATTTACAGTTTGCTTCAGTCCAAACGGTCATCAACTTTTAACTGCCTCCTTGGACAGAACAGCCAGACTATGGTCCACAGATGACGGTTCCTGCTTTCAACAGTTAAAGGGACACACCGATGATGTCTTCGCTTGTGCATTTTCATATACAGGAGATAGTATAATTACTGCTAGCAAAGACAATACTTGCACGATTTGGAGATGATTCGATTGGTTTCAAGTATGCGCTTAGTTTTTACTTATCGCTCTGTTTATCATTTATGTTGTATATTTTTATGTCATCTAAATCTTTGATGCATGCAATTTATCGTTTTTCGATAAACAGGCGAACAGGTATATAGCGACATCAAACGCTTCCGCATTCTAAACTAAAGTAATATCAAACATTTTGAAAATAACAAAAAGAATAATATTGTTGAAGAGAAAAAACGTTGATGCAAAATTATCATCATCTTGCATATTGTATTTATACTTGTATGTTTGATATAAAAGCGAGATTAAGTTTTATCATATTATAATTAATTATTAATATTTAATAATAAATTAATAATAAATTATTAATATTTAACAAACAAAATATTTTATTGGCAAAATACAAAATTCTGTCAAGAAAATATAAAAATTTGATGCTAAAATAAAATAACTTATCTTTAGTAAATTTATTTTTTATCAAATTATTGTTTTAATTTCAAAACAAGAGCGAATCAATTTATTATTATAATAAAATAATTTTTTTATTATATTATAACAATAAAAGCGCGCGCTACGCGCGTGCCATTTCTCACTTTTGTATTAACTTATAATACTTTAGAATTTGCCAAAAATACATTTTTCTAATATTAGTTTTAAATGTTCTGATTTGAGAAACTAATAATGCTTGAAAAATTGCTGCAGATAATAGTCCAACATTAACTATTTGTAAGTAAACTTTATACACATTTGCACGTGTATATGTAGATACGATTTGACGTGATGGATATGTAAAACTGCAAGTCATCTTATAAATTCAGTTATATAGCAAGTCATTTTATGGATGCAGTTACATATCATTAATAGAAAAGATAAAATTGAATTTCTGATCTCTTGTAATAGATTTTAATCTCTTCCAAATAGTAGAGTTTAGATTTTAGAATATGTAGTATATCAAATATAGATAATTACATAATTTAAATTTTAAATAAATATGTAATATAAATATATAATTAACGTTAAAATAAATTTAAATATTTGTTACGTAATAAAATAATTATCAAAATAAAAATTATAAAATAAGATAAAAATTACACAATTAAATTAAGTACAAATTTCGTAAAATGTTGCAATAAATGTTATATAAGAATTGTTTATATATGTATATGTAAATAAATAAGAGAATATATAAGAAATAAATAAGAAATATGTAAAAGAATGGGTGTAATTATCACAGAGTTTATGTATAAAAGTAGAATATATATATATATATATATATATATATATATATATATATTGTCTTATAAATATAAATATAAATACATAAACATGATGTTAATGTATTCAATTGTGGTCACGTATGAGAGATGTGCATATCGAAAGTGTAGCTATCTATGTACACAGCATCCCCACTCTCTGAAGCCATGTCACCGCGACTTGAGACTACGTAATGTTCAGTCAGTGAGAGTCCAAGGCAGTCGTTTCTAACTCGTGATCTCGCTTGTACAACTGTTTGTAAAATATAATGCAATGCGTGAAAATTCTTTGGTTCTTAAAGATAGATATCATAATGGATATCACCTGTTATAACAAAATTTTTAATAAATCATGTGTCGTATCGTATCGATATGGATTATAAAACTTTATTTTTAATCAGAAACAAGATTCATCTCTAGATATCTTTAAATACGTAAGTATGAAGTTATCTAATGGCAAATAATATAACGACATCGTCAGCATTATAAAACATCTTATAATATAATTATAATATTATAAATTAATTATTATATATGTTAGAATTAAAATTTAACATTATTTGCATATATTAAAATTAATGTTACATTATACATATATTAAAAACGCATGCATAAAGTTATGGTAGTATATAATATTATTAATTGTTGACATAATATTTATAACAAATTTACAGCGATGCTAAATATATAATTATAATAATTTTTTTGTAAGTTGTTGCAAAAGTATCATGTCAGACATTGAAAGAAAGAGAAGAGTGATTATGCCATATTGTATTCCACGTTATAATCTTCCTTTTTATTATAAATCTATGGTTACATTAATTAATTATATAACGATGCAAAAAAGACAGACAGATGCAAATTAATTAACGGAAGCGCCAGTATCCATAGAGAGTCGTATAATTAGTATCACTGAATCGGAACCGTTGCGGTACGGCGCGTAACTTACGGTAATTTTTTCAATGCTTTTTCTTGCGTTATTTCAGTATCTTTCATGGTATTATGCTATACGTATTAACAATTACATTAAATCTTCATAGTTTCTTCTTTGCTACGGTTATAAATGTAAACATTAGATCACATTAAAATGCTTTATATTTACTCATGCGAAAATTATTATTAATTAATTGAAATTATTATTTATTAATTATTAATAATTATTCAAATTTATTGTAAGCTTAAAAATTAATGTATAATAATTGTTTCATAGAAATTTGGTTTTATTTAATTAATAGATATATTTGTTCTTAAGGCTGAATATGCTGTATCTTTATAATCTTCCAGAATAGGACACATGCTTAGGTATATAAATTTTATTGCTTAAAATGATATATAAAATCATGCTTGAAGAATGCTGATTATTCCTCCTCAAAGATCTTGGGTATATATACACACACGCATATATACATATCTTAAATATTATACAGGGTGTCCGGTAACTAACGGACCAACGATCACAAATGGATTCTTTGGTCAATTTGGGAACGATTTTTCCTCAGCGAAAATGTCGAAAAAGATCATTTTTTACAACTTTCCAATATTTGTCATTATGTATCTTTATAACTAAGCCTCAAATTAAAATTTTATTATAGTAAACTCTACCTGAAATTAACTGAAGAATGTAATTATGTTAGACTTTTAACTCCAAAACGTTTAGTTTTCAAAAAACCCATTTTTTTTCAATCGCTTATAACTCGAAAATTATTGACTTCTCAACATTTTTGCTAAGGAAAAATCGTCTCCAAATTGGCCAGAGAATCCGCTCTTAATCATTGGTCCGTTAGTTACCGGACACCCTGTATACAGGGTGTAACTGAAAAAAACATATATGGAGTACACTATCAGTGTACTATCAGTATCACACTCTTTAGCAAAGAAGATGCTTTTTCTTCAGCAAAAACTGTTGAGGGTGGTCAAATTATTTTTTGCATGTTCCCAATACTTGTCATTATATATCTTTGTAACTAAATAAGCCTTAAATTAAAATTTTATTAAAATTGACTCTATCTAAAATTAATTAAAAAATGTAGTTTTGTTAATATTTTAACTTCACAAAATTTAATTTACGAGAAGCCTTTCTTTTTCAATCATTTATAACTTAAAAATTATTGGTGTCTTAACATTTTTACTGAAGAAAAATTGTCTCCAAATTAGCCAGAATATCTATAATGGTGTGCTCCATATATCCATATATATTTTTTCAGTTATATCCTATATAATATAAAATAAACTTAAATTTCCGATAAAATATATATTATTTAATTGAACATCCTTTAATGGATGACTATTATATAAATTTGAATTTGATTCATATACCATAAAGTTAAATTTAAATAACATACATTCGCGCAGGGTGCATAATAATTTAATCGTGTATATTATCTTATTACTTTGACTGTTCTGAACGCTATTACGCTTTGTTTGCACCTATCAACGACCGTCTTACTAACAATAAGATCTAAGATGGTGTTCATATAAATATATGATTGATTTATGAACATTTTTTTAACGTTTAAAAAAGGTGTGTGTATATATGTGTGTAAATATCTAATTGTGTGTGTATATGTATATACACAAAGTATCTCATTTTTAATTATATAAACGGTATGTTCAATATTTTATGTATTGGCTAGTCAGGTCGAATTTTAATAAATCACTTTGAAATTTATTCATAATTGGCGACTTTATTCTAATTATTTGAGATTTTAATTATATAATTGAAATTATTATTGAAATTAATTTTTGAAAAGAAGATAAATATATCGATATGAAGATTTATTTTGAAGGACTTTTACCTTAACATAATATATTGTCATAAATGATTCATAATCATAATTCTTAAAAGATTTTAATTGTAGTTTTTATTTATAAAAATTATAAACAAATAAAGCAAAATATACACATAAGTGTTAAATTCGATAACCTGAATATCGAGTACAAATTCTAAATACCTATAAGTTCTAAATATTTCTACGTATATTTATTGTGAAGTGAATGCGTGTGAACAAGGCAAGAAGCTCCGTTCCTCTCACTACATTTCATATCAACTTTCTAACTCAACCTAATTCAATTTTAAAATGAAATTTAAACTTCAAATAACACGCTCAGTGAATCGAAAATAAATTAATAAAGGATTCAATGTCGGAGAAAAGAAAATTAATATACACTTGTGCATACATGTATACACACACACACACACACATGTTGAAGATTTATTTGAACAGAAAAAGTCAAGAATAAATTTTTCAATTTTTTGTAGTAAGCAATGGATAATGTAAGATAAACATTATTTTTTATTTAGGCTCCAATTTAATCTAAATTCAATTATATTGAATTAAAAAGTATATATAAAGTGTAGAGAATACAGGAAGAGGAACAAAACCCGTTTTTCCTCCACGCATTTACTTTTCAATAAATATAAGAGACAATATACAAGAAATAATTTCATTAAGTTAAAATAATTAATATTTTTATAGTAATAAAATTTGTAGATATATATATATATATATATATATATATATTTGTACTTCAAATATACAAAGTATATTATTATAGCACTATAGCATTTATAACATAGTCTGTCGTAAATATACGAAGATAAATAATAATAATAACGCTATTTGATGAGTTATTAATAAGGACTACAAATTGTAATAACTATATTAAAAATATTAAAATTTATATAATTATTATGTTGTACAGATTACAACATGACTGGAATAAACAATCTAGGCTACAATGACATCGAACCAATTGTAAGTTGAAAATATATATTAAATAATAATTATACACAATAAATATAGTATATATATATATATATATATATATATATATATATGTACATATATTCAAGATTTCAACATTGAGATATAAGTGTGATAGAGATAATGAGATACATTTTTATGTTTTAAATTTTAAAAAGATAGACTAGATAAGAGATAAAAATAAAGTTTATATTTAATAATTTAAATTTTATTTTAAACAAAATTATGATTTATAAAACTTATTTATTATTGAAAAATGGATAGTTTTATCAATAATATACTAGATAATATAAAAGACATAGCGTAAGTAAAAATTGACAAAAGTGAATCCAAGTTTAACGACTTTGATTTTGACTTATGTATATCTAGGTCATAATCCTGAATTATTTTCAAAAAGTTATAATTGTTATTTATTAATAAATTATTAACAAATAATGCAAAAAAATAAAAAATAATAAATAATAGTAAATGAATCAAAACAACTTGACTGGCATGTAAATTCTTGAATTAATATCCGATATACAACGTTTCGACCATTCAGATATTCTCATTTACGTTTTTAAAAAAAGAATCTATTTTTTAAAATTTAAAATTGTCACTTCATGAATATCGAGAATTTGATCTACGTTACATAAATTTATTCCAAACGCTAAGAATTGCATCTTGATATATTGCGTAAACTATTTTCTTCAATAAATCAATATTAAATGAAAAAATACACACATCATTACTCTCGCTCTTGTAAAGCTCTATCCTTTATTTTGTCTAACTTAAACTTTTGCTAAACTTGAACTTTATTTTTATCTCATGGACGATAAACCAAGAGTTTACCACCGCTCGCGCGTGTATCGTTTCGCGTGATATTCTTGAAAGAATAAACAACTACTACATAACCCAGCGCATTTTACCTGTCCCAACGATGCTTGCGTCCGTGAAAATTTGCATCCGCGCACTTCGAAAATTTGCATGAGTATATATAATGCGAAGCTGCCGGCAGATTCGAGATATTGTAGCGCTCCTCTTAAGATAAATTCAAAGATATGGCTTAAATTATTGCTGTCGTATTTTTTATTTTTATGCTGTTATAGAAACGCTTAACTTAAAAAACAGCAATTTAGATTACAATTAACCTTACCAACTTTAGCATCAGATTATTAATTCGACGATTGCATTTGTTAAAAAAGTTTGCAATAAATTAATTGTTTTTATCTTTTCTTTAAAACAAAAATTGTTGAGCCTTATGTATTTTTGCAGAAATAAAACAATCTCTGTTAAATCTGTATTCGTATATATCGTAGGATATTATTCGTTTTTCATAGCCATGGGTTGATTGGCTTTGGGATAGTTAATTTCGTTGGTTCTGGTTTTTGCGATTAATGCCTCCGGACTTGTCCGATTGAATGGTTAATTTAAAAAATCAATCTAGGATGAATTTATACAAAAGACGTATTTATTGATAGAATTTTTATAATAAGACATGTGTTAGTTAATACGACAATTGAAAATAACAATTATAAAATATAGCAAAGTTTACTTTATATCTCGTCTCTCTTTTGATTCGGAAGTCCGAAGCTCTTGAATAGGACAAACTGAAGGGAAAACTTGGTTTTGCCTTTCGTTTCTATTGTAAAGCTTTTTTTGATAACATTGCTTGTACGAACGAGACAGTTTTGTGCTAGCTTAAAAAATCCAGAAAAGCGGTCCGAGCTTGATTACGCCGGAATTATGAGAAGTAACGTCGCGCGTCATGATGAAAACGTCGAAGAGAAAAATAATGATGAAAAAAGGAGCTCGCGGAGCGGAAATCGCGGCATATTCTGGCATTGTCTCAATTAATAGGTCGTACTCGAAAGCTCGAAGAATTATGAAAAAGTAGAGAAGCAGAGAGAGAGAGAGAGAGAGAGAGAGAGAGAGAGAGAGAGAGGTATATAAACGGGAGAAATTTAAATGGCAAACAGAGTCATTTTTATGTTGTAAACAGCCTATTGGCTCTCTTATTTGCTGAGAAATCTTCACAAAACGTGTCGACATAAAAGAATATACGTATATCCTACATGATAGGGAAACGCGTACAAAGCTCTTTTGAGACTCTCGTTTTCACTTTGAACAAGAAAAGACTGAAAAGGAACGCTAACAAAAGTGTATTTTATTATACGCGAGCATCGGTATGTTTGTTGCTTTTTTCGATCAGCGAATAACTATTGACTATTGCACGGCTAGAAAATATTTTACAAACTACATAGGAGTATAAAGGGTTTTTATTTAATCGATAAAGAAATCGACTATACATCGTGACTAGTGACTAATGTCAGTTATTATATAAACGATACAAAGAAGTGAGATGTATAGACCAGTCATTTTTGAATTTTTAGTCACTGTATAGGCTTTATGACGTGACTCGCATTGATACTCGAGGGATTAAAGAGCACAATGTGCGCATTAAGAAGTGCAACGGAAGGTTTTTTCGCACGCGTAAAAGCAAGAGGTAACGTTTGTTGCAATGCGACAAGATTTTATATTATGTATATGTATGTAATATCAGAATTGAAGATTAGTTCAAACTTCTATCTTACTCTTTTGATTTATGTTTATTTGTTGTAATAAAAATTACTTTGCGCTTTTTTTAAATAAATAAAAAAAATTATTAAAAGCTTCCTTTTAGTCTCCCTCCATATAATTCGCCTGAGCTCGCCCACGCCCTCGAGCATCGACACGAGCCGTTGTTTGTCTACTGTCATTGGCGCCGCGATATACATTCTGCACGAATGCTCAAAAGCTTCTCGCAAATTTATTTTAATATTTATTTTACTCAACAAAAATTGCATATTTGTCATTGGATGATTTTTCAAGTACATCAATTGAAAAATTAGTTTTTTTAAGCGCGTTAAAAGTTTTTTAAACTCCGTAAAGTTATTTAAAGAATAAAAAATAAACGTAAAACGTTTTTCTGCACAATACATACATTTTGAAAAAAAACCTCGACGCCTATGGGATGAAACGATCGCGTAAGAGACAACGTCCGTTCGCTCGTCTTTTCGTCGAGCGAACTCATACCCTCGTACCCCGTACACGGCAGTCTCTCTCTGCAAGCGGAAGCCATGAATCTTTATTAAATCCACGAAAATGTCGAAGCGGTCGCGTGGCTCTCGTGAAACGTGTGCCGCTCTCTCTCTATGGTCCCCAAAAAAGTATTTATTCCTCCCTGGCTTCTCTTCTTCGTGCAATGTGCGCGATTTTGATTTACTTTTTTTTTTTTGGTTATTTACATTGTGCAACGCGCCACTCACATATACATATGTTACACATATATTATGCGTCATAATGCGATTTTTTTATTAATTATCTTTTATCATTTTTTTACTTTCTGTGACGCGCTGTTCTCACCGAGCGAATAATCACGAAAATTGTTTGTAAGGCAAAAAATGGATTTATATGATATTTAATTCATTATGATAAATAACCGTTTCCACACGACGGAGATATATTTTTCATTCTAATATTTATATAATTTCTGATTGATTAAAAATTGTATACTTACGCATAATTTGGTCAAGTATTGTATATGTGTGTATATATTATCTCTTCAATTATATTATTCTATATAATTATTTTCTATTTTATTAATCACAAAATATAATATAAAATAATAGAATGTAAAAATGTATCAATATATTTATATCTGATTCATATACACATATAAAGTTGCACGATGCGTCGCTCGATGATCTGTATTTTGTGCCAGTCTCTTTAAAAAGTGATATTATCAGTGATTTATTTCTGATCTTTTTGCCTCTACGCGTGCTGGCGTTATTACCATCATAAATTCAGGCATGTCCACGATGTATTTGATACATATCTGACCTGACTTGACCCATTCGCTTGTCTTCCAATTTTCATCTTCCACGCATTTTAGAAATTCTAACATTTTTACAAAAATAATGAAATTTTTCTAATCAATATCGTTCATTTCTTCCTAGTTATTTTTCACACCGATCGCTCTCATAATATTCCAACAGACATTAAATGGTTGCGATAGATAGAAAATTTTTACAGTAAATAAGATAGATATAGTAAAGAAAATATGATTGATATCTGTGGAAGTCAAAGCTCATTCAATGATAACAGCTGAGACACGTTATTATTTTCATCTATATTGTTTTCCGCATATGATATTGAAATACTTTAACTGATTCAATAAAATTATCAATTTTGTAAATTTTATTAATTACTTTTAATCTCTCTTTATACACATGTACATACATATGTGTCACTCTGATTTTTAAAAATTTAAATACACAAGATTTTGACAAAACAGTTTCTCAATTAATTTTATATTTAACAATATAATATTCATTAAAATAACGAGTTAAATCAAATGAGTGAACGGGTAAAGTATATCGTGCGCTAATTTTATGCTTTATCTATTTCTTGCAATATTTATAATAATAACACCATTCTATAAAAAAGTCATTTTTCTTTAAAGCTGATAACGAGTGTCCGATAATTAATGGCTGAAATGTCGCGTCGTAAAGTCGATCTTGTGACTTATACATCAAACGTTTATTAGACGGCTTTGTATAAGAAACTTTACCTTATTATGTGAGGTACATAAATTCTTGCAAAAGTTAATAAACTTGATCGCATTTAAATGACGGGTGGAATCGGGTGGCTCGTTCGTCTTAACAGTGAAGCAACAGCTAGTAAGGATGGTTTATGGCGAGTCGAAGAAGAGGAGGAAGAAGAGTCTAGAATCTAGGTAGGAGATATAATGATAAAATAGAGAAAGAGGGAGCAGAGAAAATATGTTTGTGTGTGTGTGTGTGTGTGAGAGAGAGGAGGGGAAGAAAAGCAGAGGGAGAAAGGGTATGTCTACATCTATAGTATAAGAGCGTCGGTGGTGATATCAGTGGTAGTGGTGTACACACCGCGTTTAAGCTCACGGGGAAAACTGTAGAAGCGCGAACGCGAGCTTGAAGCGCGGGTGCGGACTTCAGTCGCGTGCGACATACGCTCCCGGTTGCCACGGTCCGTAACGTTCGCGTTGACTACGATTCGATTCAATTGAAAATAAATTGACGTAAAGATGAATGTTACCAATGTAACGTGCAGAATTGATTTATCGTATGAGCTATTAATATTTTCAAATTTTTCTTCATTAAACGGATTATTTACGTAATAAATTTGTACAATACGAACACAGTTTGAGTTGTAATCGGGATTCGGTGAATCGAGACGATAAGCTAAAACCAAAACAATATGTTGCAACAATAAAATACAACGTGAGTGATATACATATGTAAGGATCGTAGCGATAATGCAGAATGAGAACGTTACGTGACTTTCGATTTTTGCACTGCATCGAAATTAACAAGATCAATGAGATAGAGCATAATCCTGGTATAATTTGATGGATTATTTACGTTTTATTAGTGCATCCCTGTAGAACGAAAAAATTAAAGTTTTACACAGATACTGTCAAGAGAGAGAAAGAGAGAAACGAATAAAAAGTGCGAGATAAAAATGAAAGTAAGAGAGCTATGTGGACAATAATCGTGCGAATGGAAGAAAAGTAAACAAATCTCTTTAGCTTTGAAAAGTTTCAGACAACGCGATAAAAATTTTGTATTGCTTTTTCCATTTTTTGCAATAAAGCATTTTATACGTTTAATGATAAAGTTAAACTTGTATCAAAAGACGCGTTTCTTATCCGCATTGACTTCTTTTAATAAAATAAATTATAAAAGTTCTAATCTTTGATTGATTAAATAAAAATAATTTGTTTGATATCATAAATTACATTATAGATGTTAATAAAATATTTTTGCTATACACACTTTAAATTAATAAAGATTTATTAAATTTTCGTATACATAAAATCGATTCTTGCTAAAAGTTTAAACAGTGATTAGTGAAAATTAGTGAAATATATAGATTTTTGTTACACGTCTTGAGGAAATTGTCAATAATTATGAGGAATAAATTTACATTCAGCGTGAGTATTATTTACGTATTTTATAATTACAATTCTTGTTTTTCATAGATTTGTTATATGCGAACAAAATTATTTTAAATATAAATTTTAAGATTTAGTTTGTAATCATTAATATATATTGTATATATATATATATATATATATATATATATATATATATAGAATAAATGCAAATGAGATCGTCGGTCATAAAGATTGTATAATATATTTTTTCTTCTTCTACTTATGTTTTAGTCAATCATGTTATTTTGCGCGCACTGTGATTTCATTGAATTTTAGTGTCACCACTTTACTACTTTATCATTATATTTATTCTATATATCATTTTATAAAAGCTTTATAAGGTTTTTTAAGAAAATGTCACATACATGCATCACCAATAAAACGCAAATTTACTTATGTAATAAAAATAAATAAGTCTCATTAATTTACAGTCTGGAGTTTCGGACATGCACGAGACTCTTTCTAGTTTTCCGGAACAGTTTGGAGATGGCCCGAGAAAAGCAGAAATAAAATCAGAAATTCTGAAGGAGCCTGATAAGATCACGGACAATCTAAAATGCGGTTGGTTCTGGTTCAGACCAATTTATTTACAGAAATTTCGCACCGCAAAATGGGCGCTTTTCTGGTTATGTTGGGCCGGGGCTATGCAGGGTACGTATTATAATTTAATGACTTTATCTATACAAATTGCTTACAATTAGTATGGATTTCATTGCACAAATTTATTAACGGATCTATAAAAGCACTAATAGCAATCAGCATTTTTAATTCATTCTTTCGATTTTGTTATTAGTATTAGCATGTAAAACGTTAATTTTTCTTTGAAATATCTGTTATCCAAGATTTAAAAATTTTTCAAGGTCTTTTGTTTCAGACACAGACTAATAAGAAAATAAAAAATTGCATTTTTGTCGACATAATTCCTTAATAGCGTTCGACGCGATATATTGTAATATTATATACTGTTGACCAACGCTAATAGCCATATGTTTGATTGTAATTTTAGAGTTTTCATACATGCTATTGAAGATAGGTGCAAAAATGTAAATAACTGGTGATAATAAAAAATTGAATTTATTCTATTAATATAAAAGTAATACGTTTTAAATACGTATGTAATATAAAAATAATATATGAATATTAATGAAAAAAAAAAAAACATGTTAAAACAAATCCATTAATTACTGAGCAACATATAATTATCCAGACAATTTTGCAATATAAAGAATTATTATTGTTATTATTATTATTATTAAAAATATTCTTATTAACATTTTTCTTGTAAAATTATTATTGTGTAAAAAATATTGTGAAAATATTATTGTCTTAAAAATTTGTAATAGATTAAGTGTTTTTTTGACAAAGCATATGATTCTTTTTGGACTTAGAATGTATCTATTAAAATGCATTCTAAGATTGCTGTTTATTTAGTATTTCTAATATAAGAGCGAAAAAACAATGCAATTATTATAATATTAACAAGTTTGTAATATTATATACTTTTATTATATATTTATGATATTATACGCAATATATATAAATTTAAATGTTTATAGCAACATTTTATAAAATTAAAATTTTTCAGCAATCATCAAAGTATCCTTTAATTAAAAATAAATAATGAGCTTTGAGTAATGAATATTGCAAAGTTTCTGCAGACATTGCAAATAAACCATTTGATTCGTTCATTATACTTTCATTATATTTTAGGAATGGTCGTGAATGGATTTGTAAACGTTGTCATAACGACAATAGAAAGAAGATTCGGATTAAAATCGTCAGAAACTGGATTGATAGCGGGTGGATATGATATTGCTAGCTTCCTTCTTCTTGTACCAGTAAGCTATCTTGGTGGCCGTGCAAAAGCATCGAAACCAAGGTACTTACGCATGTCGCCACAACGTCATTAGTCTTATGCATTAATATGTCTTAATACCGACATCTCGCTTCTGTATGATGATTCTCATAAATATTAATTTTTATGTTAGTTTGTTTGAAATTGTCGACGTTAATCTATATTTAGTTCTTATAACGACGCTTTCGAACTTGTATTCGCACAATCGATAATAATGGATAGTTGTATGAAAATCTTAAACTTTGATGGTAGGCATATTCAACTTTTTATAAAATTATTCTACTAATTAAGAAAAATGATATACAAGAAAATAATAAGGGATGGTATATATAAAACTTTTTTTTAGTCTTATAAACTAATATTAAAATACAATTATATACCTGTAGATAATAAGGTATATAAAATTTAAACTAGATATTTACTAAAATTATTATATTATTAAACTTAAATATTTATGAAAATTTATTTTTTCTTATTTATTTAATAATTTCGAGATTTTTCTTTTTATTTTTTAAATTTAATTCTTTAAATTTTATTAAGGAGCATGCATTGTATGCCTTTTAATATTGCAATTTTTAATACAAGATACTTTGTAAAAAATAATATAGGAAACATCAACAAATTTAGTCATATCTTAAATTAAAATACTTAAAACCAATATTACATAGATTAATATAAAAATATTATATAGGTTTACATACAGGAATCGCAGTATATATCGTACTTTACATAACACACACATCTAATTTAATTTTTTAATCACGAGAAAAGTAATAAAGATAAAGAGAGATAAAAGTAAAGCAAATTTCAAAATTTATGTTAACACGAGATTAGTACTATCTTTAAGGATGAATCATAAATAAAATTAAATATACAGGATGTTTCCTAAGTACAAAAAACTGAAGGAGATATTCCTTGACTTATTTTATGAAGAAAATCATATGTCTATATAAATGACTATATATCGACTATAAACGTGTCCTTGTCCTAAACTGTTTTGTTTTCAAAATACAAAATGTCAGAGTTGTGAAAAAAATATATATAAATATTGAAAATTTCGAAAACATTTAAAGATATTTTATATATATTTGGTAGGTATATATAATATTAAGAACCATTTTCCAGTAAGGATAAAACATTTTTAAATCCATTAAAAAAATCTGTACATAAGGATAATCAAATTAAGTTTTTTTAATGAAAAAATGGTATGCTACCGTTGTTCAAGTTATTCAAATTTAATAATTTTTTAAAAATCCTGAACTAAATCTCTACAAAAGTTACCTCTTATGAAACAATAAACTGTTTTTGAGTTAAAGTAAAAAATTATAATTATGTGTACATTGTGAAAACTCATTTTAAAACTGATAATTATATATGTATATCAATAAACCACCTGCTTTTTTCTGTTTGATATTTCGAAGATTCGAAGTTCAGTGTGTCTAGTCAATTTATTTTCGCTCCACTCTCATATTTTTCATAATTTTTCACAATTTTGACATTTTTTATTTATTATTTATTTATTTTTTAATTAATTTTTTATTAAATTAAGTTAAGAGTACATATTTATAGGACCTTTCTTTATAAAATAAAAGTCAAGGAATATCTTCTTCAATATTTTGTACTTATTTAAAAAACAGCTTGTATGGTATATAGAAGAATATTCATTGATTTAGATGAAATAATTTATTAAAATTAAATCATAAAAACTTTCAAATTTTTCAAGGATTCAATACAAATAAAAATAGACAATAAATTATAGGCTTTTGATGAGTAAACTATTGTAATTAAACAGAGCAAGTTAATTTTGATAAATTATAGTATTTAATTATTAAGAAATAAAAAGATGTCGATTTAAGAGATTTATGTTGGTTTATTTTTTTTACATATATACGTTCTATATATATGTATGTATATATATATAGATTCTTTATGTAGTAATGCGACTTTTTAATTTTATTTATGATTCAACCTTAAAGATAGTACTAATCTCGTGTTAACATAAATTTTTAATTTATTTAATTTGAATCAGATGTTTTGAAATGTCGTAGGTATATCGGCGTAGGGATTCTAGTCTTAGGTATAGGAAGCCTGTTGTTTGCATCTCCGCATTATCTTGCTGGACCATACAGAGGAGGTCAGCAAACAGAAAACGTATGCCAAAGTGTTACTAATATGTCGAGTCATTCGGTAAGTGACTTGAATATTATTTTAATTTAATTATTACAGCACATATCTAAATTTTTTATTTTTATATTCAGTTTATTATCATAGTGATAAGTTATTACATATAATCGAGAAGAGATTAATACTCTTTAATAATAAACGTTTATATATATATATATATATATATATATATATATAAATTTTCATTAAATTTGAAACCAAATTTTCATCATACGATAACAAACAGAATGCATAATTAAAGCGTGCGTGACTGATCGAAACTTGTTTGTAATTTCGTGCTTTTCTCGATTTCCACTTCTATTCATGTAGTTTGCCTAGTGAACCGACGACCAGATTTATCATTATTTCGGCCACTCAGATATCCTGCACGGATCAATCTACCGTTCCAGCGGAGCTAGAACCTTACAGTGGCGTGTACTTAACCATATTTCTGGTAGCTCAGCTGTTACATGGTGCTGGTGCGGCACCTTTTTATACACTCGGGGTGACATATTTAGATGAAAATGTTTCAAAAAAGATGTCTTCAGTGTATTTAGGTAAGATACGATCTAGCGTATATATTTTAATATTATATATACCTATACATATATTTCTTTTATTGATCAATTTCAATATACAAATAAAATATATTATTGTCAGGTATTTATTATACTATGGCCATAATAGGACCTGCATTGGGTTACGTTATCGGTGGCGAACTTTTGAAAATTTACACGGATTTTCTTACGGTAGATTCTACGACGTAAGTATTTTAATATTTAAATAGCTAATAGAGATGTATATGTGCGCGCGCGTGTGTGTGTGTGTGGACCTTTTCTCTTTTTTTTTCAAAAATAGATTTATATTTAGAAAAGAGAAAATTATCAGATGTAAAAAGAAAAAGTAAATGTTCTATATAATTTTAAACGATCATTAAAGAAAAATAGGAAAATACATGTAACACACAGTGCCATTGGAATTCGTTTTTTCTCATTGTCACGCTATAAATGTATTTTCTATTTTTTTTTCTGCTAACACGCGAGAACACACGTTTAGTCGTGCGTCAACGCGGCAACTTTATTAAATTCTCGCGAGGATTTATTGGCTGTTTGCACCAATCTGTCTGACGGCACATACAGCACATATATAACCGTTTATACGGACATGATTACATATATGTGTTGACATACAGTTTTGAACAGAATAACTCACTGATCTGATGATATGCAAATGTGCATATTCATCATTTTATAACTAGTATTCGAAGGACTTATGTGTGATGATCTTTCTCACTTGTAAAAACTTTAATTGCGAAATACTCTTACAATTAGTAATAAAGCATTTCAGTTAAATAATACGAGTAAAATAATAAAATTTAATATAATCAATTGTCTTGATTGCCTTGATTAGCTGATTTCTAAGAGTATAATTATAAAACAATGTAACATTGGCTTCTATAATATTATATATTTGATATTTAAAACAATTTATTATTTTTTTTATTTAATTTGATATTTTATTCAAGAAATATGAAAAACGTGAAAACATATGCTTAACACATTAATGTTAAAAATATTCTGCAAGATCATTATTGCGTATAATGGGCCGATATTAATAGCGCGTGTAATTTCATTGATATACATATAATATATCCCATAGAGAAAATGTCAAACGATGAACCAATATTTGACGATGACGCCGATGTACTCTTCAAAATTGTCGGTTCATCCCCCGGTACTTAGGATACAATCAAGTTCCATTTGTCTACGCGTCTCCCCGTGGATTCTCCCCTACCATCCCCTTCATCAGCTGTTGAGTCACTCTACCGGGCGAGAATCAAATTAATCGTTACCAAAGCAACGATTTTTATACATATGTGTAACACACACAAACACACACATACATATATTATTTATGTATGTATACAGGATGTTCCAAAAAAGTCACGACCCTTAAAATTCTCGAAAAATAGAAGTTTTATAGAAAAATGTTTCAGATAAAAGTTGTAGGGTTTAAAATGATTTATTTAATGATCCTCAGTTTGACCCTGGATGATGTCGCCAAAATCAGGGCAAGGTCACTTTAAGTTTTTTAAATGAAATGCCTTAACTTTTTTTGTGCATATTCTTTTGTAGCTTACCTCGAGAGCTTTTTAAAATACTATAATTTATAGATTTTGCGATATCCGTTTCGAAATTATCGAATCTTTTATGGTAAAATGTCCAACCAACTAAGGCAAGCTCGATCGTGGATCCAGTTAACTAACAATAAGACAAGATCGGTCGTGGATCCAGTCAACTAATTGTAAGACAAGATCGGTTGTGGACCCAGCTAGCTCAAATCTTGCCTTAGTTGGCTGGATCCACGACTAATCTTGTTTTAGTTGGCTGAATATTTTACAATAAAAAATTCGATAACTTCGAAATAAGTATCGCAAAATGTATAAAATTATAGTGTTTTGAAAAACTCGAGGTAAGTTACAAAAATATGCAATAAAAATTAGGGCATTCTATTTAAAAAATGTAAGATGACCTTGCCCTGACCTTGGCGATACCATTCAAGGTCAAATTGATAAGATTATTAAATAGATTATTTTAAACCTTATAACTTTTATTTAAAACATTTTTCTGTAATTAAAAAATTTATATTTCTCGAAATTTAAGAAATTTAAGAGACTTTTTTGGGACACCCTGTGTGTGTGTGTGTGTGTATGTGTGTTTGTATGTATTTTATATATATATATATATATATATATATATTTATATATATATACACATACACACATCTATGAGTTTGCCAATAAATCAAGTTTCGATTTCTTGAAGATAATTTTACAAGAATTCGTCATTTTTTCGAATATAGATTGATGTTCAGAAAAAATATCGGCTATTTATTTTCAAAGCTTAAATTACTGTTTTAGAATTTAATCAAATATTTATTCCATTTATATGTAGAATATAATGAAAGAATGTAATAAAAGTAAATCATGTGCGCAGCTTTACATATTATATGTATACATAAAATGGCATTTTTATAATTGCAATCAACCTTTCTGTTTTACAAACAATGCAAGAAAAAAAACGCAAAAATAAGGCGAAATTATTCGCGTAGGGCATTGTCCTCCTACTGTTGCTCGTGAAAGTCGTTATACATGTGCTGCGTTTAATTTCGCAGGTAAATGAAAAGTTTTGCCGGAGAAACAGCGGCAGATGCAGTTATAGCCTCAAGCTGGCGAGGAGGTGAACGACTCCTCTACGTATATTTTTCCCAGATTTCCGCTTTCTCACTTTCGAGTTCCTTCTATGATAAGTTTCATTGTAACTACATATATTCGCGTACCATTTCAAATATAATAGCTAGTAAATAAATCGAGCGTTATATAAGTTGTTCCAGCTTTTCGGATTGGATATCGATTCTTCCAAATCTATGGAAACATACATTTGTAAATTTTCAATTTTGTATGCTTTTTTGTCCACCATATATTTTGTTAGGAAAACATCATACAATATATATACAATACAATACATTTTACGATTAAAAGATATATTATTTTCATAAAAAATTGATAACGTCCATACAATGTTTAACAGCACACACAATCGCGTTTGTTATCGATCGTTTGTTATTAATATTTATGTAAATAATGTAGGTAATTTGTAAACTTTCTATTTTATAAAATCTTTCACATTGTGAAAAAATGGATGTCTTTTTAACAAATAGAAAATAATTATCTTTTTTCTAAAGAAAAAAATATTTTACATTATTTTTGTTATGATTAATCGATAATTATATACATTAAAAATTTGTTCAAACCTGTTTTCACGCATCAAACTTTAACAAAATTGACAGAATTTTGTTTAAATAATTATGCAAGTGCCACGCAAAAAGAACTTACATGGTTAAAACATTTCGTATTAGCAATTCGTAGACAAAGTGATATAAGCCGCAGTCAAAATTTTTTAAATGCGCATATTTAAAATTAAGTCATTGCCAGACGAAAAATTATGATACATAAATAATAAATTCATAATAAAATATTTTAAATGTTTATTTCTCTCTTTCTCTCTTTTTTAAAAATTATTTCCTTTTTTTTAGTTAAAAAAGTCAGTCAAAAATGTATTTTTGTGTTTGATTCATTAATCAAAAGATACAAAATCGAAGAAACTAATCGATAGTCTAGTTTCGATCTTTTTCTTGAATATTTATATTTATTACTTTTATAAGAACATTAAAAATAAAAAATTCATATAGAATTCACATATATGTAAATAAAAAGAATGAATTTTAAACTTATGTCTAAAAACAAGATTTTCCAATCGATTACAAAATTTTAATATTGCATTTTGAAATTGTTAAATTTTAGAATTGGACTAACTCCTGATAGTAATGTCTGGATTGGTGCATGGTGGATTGGATTTTTGGCTGCAGCTGTTGTTTGCTTCATCATCGCGGTACCTGTATTGGCATTTCCAGCAATTTTACCTGGTATGATTATTTTTATATTTTTTTTAGATATAATGATTTTGATAAAATTAATTTCGATAAAATATCGGTAAAATCTAAAATATTCACGATATAATTTTTTATATGAAAAATATTTAAAAAATGAATGATTTGTGTAGGATCAGAGGAGTTAGCTAAGGATAAGGTGTCAGAGGCACACGACAAATCGACCCGATCTCCCACTACGGAAACGGGAAAAGTATTTTCCAAAATACGAGAATTGCCACGTGCTTTAACCGAATTGCTTGGAAATCCAGCATTTTTTATGCTAAATTTAGCAGGTGCCAGTGAAGGATTACTAATCGCTGGATTTGCTGCTTTTCTGCCAAAATTAATTGAAAATCAATTCAGCGTCAATGCCAGTTCGGCTGCATTACTAATGGGTGAATAATGCACAATTAAATTAGATAAAAATTTGTAAAGCTAGATGCAATTTTCAGTACATGTATTAAGACTTATAAAAACTAATTGTTTTTAAACAATACGTTTGTTTTTAAACATTTTGGTCACAACTTTGAAACTTTTTTCAATAATATAACAAGTATTTTAATTCAGCAAAAAATTAACACAATTAACAAGAAGCATTTTTTTTTATAAAAAAAGTCAAGAAATAAAGTAATTGAAATCCAAATTGTATGTCCGCCACAGTGTTCTTCCAAAAACATACATAATTGCATTCATAATGTGATGGAGAAAACTATAAATGTGAAGGTATAGTGAAAAATTTATAAACTTGATTTATCGGTTGATGATGCAAATTTGAAATACACATATATATTATAAAATACGCAAAATACACTTCTTGATTCAATTGACAGTCACTCTTTACTGTACTTTTTGGAAAAACGCTACAGTGGAAACTTAGACCCTAATTATTTTATTTTTTGACTTTCTCAAAAAAATGCTTCTCTGCTGTATTAATTTCCTGCTGAATTAAACTTGTACTTTATCAAAAAAAGTCCAGACCGGTTGCAACTGAAACGTATTAATTATATTTTTAAATAATACTTTTTGTATGAAATCTTATTAATATATGCATTAACGACTGCTGGTATTTTTCTTTTTATCTGACTTATATCTATACATATAGAGCTTTGTTAGATTAACATTATTTTATACAACTAAATTAATAATTATACTAAGTCAACATAAATATAATTCTATGTATGCGCGTATAGTGTCTTGTGGAATTATTTATATAAAGTTTTGGAGATGCGTAACATAATGAAAAAAATAATAAAATAAAATCAAAGAAAATAACGCGCATAAATTAACTAAATAAATTTTTGATAAATCTTAAGAAATAAAATATTAATTATTGAATAATGAAACAATATTTCTCTCTTTCTCTCGTTTTCTTAGGCTTAGTAACCGTACCGGCAGGAGGCGGCGGTACTTTTCTCGGTGGTTATTTGATAAAACGTTTTAATTTATCCTGTTCTGGCATATTGAAATTTTGTCTATTGGCTACGGCTGCCTGCATCGCTTTTACATTATGCTTTGCTCTAAATTGTCCGAACATAAATTTCGCCGGATTAACCGTTCCTTATCAAAATATCACGAGGTTTGTACAATTGATACATAGATTTATCTAATAACTATGTATTGATAGATCATGAAGGTGGCTCATTCGGTTGCATTTTTTATTACTTAAATTGTGATATCTTTTACAGAAAAATTTCATTATCTTTGGAGAACATCTGCAATAATGGTTGCGGGTGTTCCAGATTACAATTCGATCCTATATGCGGTGTTGATGGTATCACATATTATTCACCTTGCCACGCAGGATGTTATCATGAAACATCGATAAACGATGTTAAAGTTAGTGTCCAATTTTATCTTCCTGTGTTAATTATATATATTTCGCGTAAAAATGGCTATATCTTACATTTTAGAAACAAGTTTTATGACGTTTATTTTTTTTTATAGATATACACGGATTGTAGTTGCATACATTCACCCGCAATGAATTTAACAACTGAGAATAGTGGCGACATTGTTTATTATCAAGCTATCAATACCACATGTGAAAGCACGTGCTCGTACCTATGGTTGTTTATCGCTTTGGCATTTTGCAATATGTTCATGACCTTTCTATGTACAATGCCAGCACTCTCATCTACATTGCGAGTCGTACGGGACGATCAAAGATCGTTTGCTTTAGGCATACAATGGATCAAAGTTCGAATTTTGGGAACAATACCAGCACCTATGGTATTTGGCGCTCTTATAGATGATACTTGCATCTTATGGAATGAAACCTGCGATGGTAGAGGAGCATGTCTCGTATATGACAATTATTATATGAGCAGGTAAGCAAATTACACGATGCTCACGTAGCTCGTATGTAAGATTTATGTGTCAGTTTCCTGGATTCAAATTCGATTTGTGTGCTTATACATACATATTTTTTAGATACATGCTTGCTCTAGCCTTTATTGGAAAAGCAGCTTCGCTTCTTTTCTTTTTCTTAGCATGGTGGACTTATATTCCACCAGGAAGTAAAGGCATCGATCAGAATTCGCGGCAGCAAACTACAACTACTTTAACGCTAAGCGATACATCTCAAGAAGTTCAAATAATACCAACTACGATAGCATAAATTTCGATTGCTTTGTGATTTAGAAAATTATTCTCTTAGAACTACTACTACTTTATAAAAATGATAGAAATAATTACAATTTATTACATGGATAAACAAAATGTTTTAGCATATCTTTTTGTAGTAAGACAACTCTGAAGATAAGATAATTCCAGTATACAACGAGTATTATCACAAATACCTAAGTAAATATTAAGATGGAATAAATGTTTATATAGAACATTTATGTTGATAGAACGCACATTAAAACGTGGAAGTATGGAACGCTTTTTTATGTGTTAATAAGGCTCCTGGCTCATTGCCGACTATGTTGAAATTGTGATGTCAGAGCCAAAAAAAATACACGCTGAAAATTCTTGCGTGTCATTTTTAAATAAAAATATATTTTGATGAAACACAATTTCAGATAGTTTTAGCACACTTTCAAAATTGTCCGAAAATTATTTTTCCCTTGATAGCCAATCAACAACCATAAAATAATTGTGATATCAGATTTTGTCATGCGGAATAACTGCGCATGTGCAAAGACTGGGCCTTATATTACAGTCATATTTTACAGCTATTGATTTATTATAAAGGAAAAAAATAGTTTTCAAACTATCTTAAAAGTGTACTAAAGCTATCTGAAATAATTTTTCATCTTTTAATTTAAAAATGCACGAAAGAATTTTTTGTACTTTCTCGCCTCTGTCATCGCAATCTAACATGGTCGCGGCGAGGATGCTCTAATAGCCTTAAATACATAACAACTTTTGATAATCCTATACTTAAGGTTTAGAAGTCAATCAAAGAATTAAAACGGATTCTGATTACTGTGATAAATATTTTACAAAAACCAAAGTTTTTAACATCCTTCCAAACAAACTATGTGCTGCATAAAAGCATAGACCAATTTGAGCAGACTAATTTTTCTTTTTTAAATGAAAACTTCTAAGCCTTATTTATGATAAATTTGTAAATTTTTGTAAACCTAATGTTTATAAATTGCCAATTAAAAATTAATCCTATATTTCCTATATAATGATAAGTATATATATTGATAGTACTCTATATTTAAAACAAAAACCACCATTTACATAACTTTTGAAGATATACAATATATTACCAATATATCAATACTTATTTGATGGTTATTTTATATCGTCGATTTGATATAAAATTTTTACTGTAATTATTTTTGTTAAATAGAAGAAATATCAATATGTCTAGATTATTTATACATGTCATAAATAAAAAAACTGCTGAGATATATTATCTAGATTAATTTTTTATATGAAATTGAATCTTTTTAAAATCATTGAAAAGGACGAAAGATATTCTAAATGCTTCAGTTAGAGAAAAAATCCGTACATGATGTATTTTAAGGTGGAGTATTTCTAAACTAGAGCATCTAAAACATTCTTTCAATGATATTATACACACACATATTAATATATATATATATATATATATATATATATATATATATATATTAAGCTGTACTGACTTAAGGCAATAATTTGTTTTTTCATCGATTCTAATTTTTAACATGGATCGATCGTATGCGTATTTGCGAATATATTTTTAAATTATGAAGGCAGGATGAGTAGGATATATCAAGTAGATTGTCAGAAAAGAAAGGTAAAAAGGAGGAGTTGAAAAATGGAAGGAGAAGGGAAGGTTAGAAGCCATAGACTCATCCTCGCGATACTTTCACTTGAACTCCTTCTATCGCCGTGTAAAGATCTTCTAGACGCTGGGAGCTGTATTCTTATTGTATACTTTTTGCGGAAAACCGAACTCGTATAATAATCTTTTAATAATTCTAACATTTCACAAAAATGATATTCTACTGGATTTTACAATTTTATCTTTTACTATTCGTCGTCACTGTTCACTCTAGAGAAGTTTCTGTAAGTAATAATGAAAACTTAAAATATTACGCAATATTATATTAAATTTAATTCTGTATATCAATGTTATAAAAAATGAGAAACTACATAGCTTTAGAGAATGATACTATTACATAATTTCGATTTTCAAGAATTATGAACAAACATATTGTTTTCAAGATGCAATTCAATTATTGTTATTGTGTTCGCAGAATGCCACGCCACCAAATGTTTCGACGTATTTTTCTTGTCTTAATCGGCCTATGGGATTTTATGCCGACATCGAAACAAATTGTAAAGTATATCACACATGCGATGATCATGGAAACAAATTTACTTATCGATGTCCTGAAGAAACGGCTTTTCGCCAGGATGCCTTAATATGTGATCACGTTCATCTCGTTGATTGCCGAACCATCACTTACCTGTCATCACAATTTCAAAACGAGGACGCCGAGGAAAATATGCATACAATGCCTTTGATAAAATCACCAATTGTATCCATTGATACGCTCGATAATCATCGACAATCATTTTCACGCTCCTTTAGAGTGATTCAACAACCCGACAAAGTCAAATCTAATAAAGTTCAATCTGGTTTTGTGTTCAGTGCAAGTTTATTCTTAAGAGATAAGGCACGAAATCAAGCTGAACAAATCACCGATACTTGTACGACGTGCAATCCTAATTCGAAGAATCACATGACAATTTCCACTTCTCGATCGCTCACTGAACAGTTCAGTTCATGGAATTCCCGTAACGACAAGTCAACTCCATCAAGACCATCATTGCCTTTATCGACAGCGGAGAGTCGCGTTTTCGCACGAGATAAAACCTCCAAATACATTAATCATTCATTTGAACCGACAATAAATTCTTCACTCGAGAAAATAATAGCATCAGAAGGTAATCAGCATTCGCCTGCTCTGCATGAAAAGCCTCCTTTCTTACGTCACAACAGTGATTATCATCCATATTCAGAGACTCTAAGATCGATCCAGGCTAATACTCATACGCTCAACACAAAGTCCACCACGGAAATACCCGTACATGCTTTGACGCTCTCCTTAAAGCCGTTAGTGCCAAATGAACTGGAATATGACCCTTACTACCCTAAACAGCCTACGTCTACTGAGACATATTATACACCCAGCAATCGCAATAAGATTAATATGAGCATTCATCTTTCTAATCAGACGCCATCGATAATCGCGCAATCCGATTTTTTCGAAATCCCATCTATACTGCCCGATCTGAATACTTTAGCAGATTTGGTCGATCGTCGGAAATTTTTTTATATCCCGCGCACAAACATCAAGTCGATGCGCCATTAACTATTAAACTATTTAATATTTATATTTATAATATTATGCAAAATTATTGCTTTATTTTGCTACAAAATAAATTATACATTGCATTCAATTATTAATTCAACATGTTGTTAATAATATATTGTTTGTGATTTATCTTATCTACAAGTGGTCTAATAAATATTGAGTACCATGAGACTAAGGGATTCCATAAGAGTTTTCATTTCTTAAAGTGGATAGTACACGAGTATCTTCTATGCTGAAAAAATTATTGATGTTAATTTTATACGAAAAATTTAATTTTAGCATGTTATCGATATTGCCACCTGCTCAAATTTCGATGCCAATTCTCCATGAATGGTGTTAAAAGTTTTCCTGCAATTTGCTGAATGTTTATTGTACTTCGAAATATCTGAGTTAATGCGGTTATTATTCTATTTTTATTGTAATATTTTACTTGTAAGCGTTTAATTGTTGACATAAGCCCTGAAAGTAACTATATCTATATATAATACATGTTCCATATACCAAATTAAAAATAAATAATTAAAAATACAAAAGATTAACTAGGATAGCCTAGATTCTAGATCTATTTTCTCACCGAAATATGTGACTGTGAATGGTAGTATAGTAATTCTTGCAAAAATTTTATTTCTAATGAACAGCGACACTTTTCTATAAGGTATCGAATATATTCATTCTCTTGTTTAAAAAATCTTATATTTTTCTGTAACTCTTTAACTTGCGTTTGCAGCTGTAGTTGTATAACTTCTTCCCTCCAACGTTCAATATTTATATCTTTTTTTAACTTTTGTATGTCATTATACATCTTCGTACTTATCGTTTGATTTGAATTCAAATAAAAACTTAATTCTTCCAACTCACTGAAACGTATATATAATGTAAATGCATTTTGCGTAATTGTTTTGCCGTTTGTTTAGAAAAAGATTATGAAAAAGAATTGATCATGAATATTTTAATCTATATGAGATGCCTAATAACTTTACAGACACTATATTAAGTACTGAAGTACATATAAATTCTTATATTTTTTTTAAGTTTTCGATAACAAGTTGACACTAAAAAATTCGACAAAATCAATACTATAAAAGTATTTAAAAAATGTACTTTACAACTTGTTCAAAAAAACTATATAATTACATGATAAGATATAATTAAACATTGTCAATAGTGTTCATTTTATGGTTACCATTTTACAAAGCAATTATAATTAAGAAATATCATATTGATGAGCAATTATGTTACTTCTTGACATATTTTATAACACCTTGGATAATGATAAATACATATAGAGCTTGTTGGATTAAAATTGAAAAACTTTATATTTATTAATACTTGGCATAAATAGAAAATAAATATTCTACGTTTAAACAACGTTTTTAATACGTTTTAATGAAGTTTTGTTTTAGCATAAACGCTGATTTGATGGAGACTTCGCTTTTGGTTTCACCTCTCACAAGCAATCCACACGCGCATGGACAGAACTAAAAAATAATTCCGTACAATTATACAAATTTCCACGTTTTTCTATAACATACATTTTTTCTATATTTCTTATGCTATATCTAAATTGATCGAATATGCGGTAAAAATTGTATAAAGAATTTCCTATATCATATCTGTGCTTCAATTTAATAGCGATTCTTTTCTATTTTCTCAAGTTAGATTTTTCTTTTATATAAAAGTAAATTAAAGCGAATTAAGATTATATTAGATTGTAACGCCAAAGACGAGGAGATGCACGCTAAAAATTCTTGTGTACCATTTGTATTGTTAGATAAAAAGATATTTTGATGAAATACAACTTCAGATATGGCTTTAGCACACTTTTAAAATACTCCGAAAACTATTTTTTCTCTTAACCATCAATCAACAACCGTAAAATAATTGTGATATTAAACTTTGTCATGCGGACAATAAATTAATAAATTAAATTACCATTTCGTGAGTAAGCGTCGATGCATCTTCAGTGGAAGAAATTGTAGGTGAGCCGTATGCAATTCTTGAATTTTGTTGCGTTAACTTTGTTGGTTTTGACATTTTGATAATATTATACTCATATTTACTGTCTGTATAACAGTCAATAAATAAATATAAATCTATTATGCTTATTGATGGATAGTGCTGCTGATACTTTTATATATTTAGATTATATATTTAGAAAGTAAAATTTGTTTCCTTTTAACTTACCAACATGTCTTAGCATTTGAGTTATATTGTCTTGCCTTTGCTGAGATTCAGTTGGACATACCTGGCAAGCAGTTTTATCAGAAGAAATTTGTACAAATAATAATTTTGATTTTAGTCCGCTTTTATTTGTATCTACCGATTGAGTCTTCGAAATAATTTCTTCTTGTCCTTTTATATGGGTATAAATATAATATATGATTATAAATATAATTATTTATTATGAGAGTAAATAAAAATATTTTATATTTACAAGTAAAAAAGAAATGAGTAAATTAAAAATATTTAAAAAATAAAAAATTATTCACAAACATTAAAAAAATTATTGTTGTTTTTTCTTTTTTGGCAGATAACCTAGCTTTGTATAGAGTCATTTTTAAAAAAACGCACTATTAAATGCTTTCAACATAATGTTACAATCGCGATTATGATAGTCTTTTCTTTTTTCATCAAACGCAAGTTGTCCCGATTCTTCCGAAGGGTTCTTTAGGTGAAGTGCAACGCCACAAAGTGCGCAAACCGAGGAGGATGTAGTCGCAAGGATTAATCCTGATTCATAATGTTGCTAATAAAAATTATTTTCAATTAATGCCGTTACATTCTTGATTTCTTTCGATCATTTTTTATCTTTGTCATGCATTCAACACAGATGTACTTATTTTAGAATAAAGCGTTCATTACTTTATCACTCCCCTTGTATCGTTTTGAGTCAGGATAGCGCACTTGGAAATCTGGATCTCTCTTCCATTGCTTATCTATATCATTTACAACCAACTGTATCAATCTTATTGCAGGTTCCTTAATTGCTTGCAGTAAATCATGGATTGCCGTGATCTGTTAGCAGTTCATTATTTTCCTCTAATAGCTCAACTTTAGGCTCTCTCTCTCTCTCTCTCTCTCTCAAGTAGTTATAATTATTAAGTAAATTCAATTAAATAAAATTTAAAAACTAAGAAAAAATCATTATTATATTTTAATTCACAGAACTATTAATTCACAGAAACTGGGCGCTCTAAATCTATAGGAAAATGAAAAAAGCAAGAGATTTTCTACATTACATTTAATAGTATTATGTAATTCTTAATGTAGAAAAAATATTCATTATTTACTTTAACTTACATTACTCTTCAATTCTTTATGATTTGATAGACTATATAACAAAATCTAAATTACATATATATTACAATAGAAAATAAAAGACATAAATTCTTTATATTAAAGTCAATTTACAAATCTTATATTTCAAGTACTTTATATTTACATTTTCTCATTTTTCTACAATAATATTTAACAAATTATTAAACATTAATGTTTTTCTTTTTTGAATTCACAAAGTTAGACATTTTATTTTTAAAGAAAAGGTTAATATTTTATATTAGAAAAATATGTATATTTATATATATATAAATGATACTTACTTGTTGATCATGATTGCCATCAAACCTAGACAAACGGTAAGGTCTTTTTAATTCCTTACAAAAGTGATATGCAGGACAAAATTGCATTTTAGATAACGAATCTATCGATGAATCACGATTTATTAACACTATGCTTTGTTTCGATGGAATCTCAATGGTAAGAGGATTGTATCTTGTGATATCTTTTATATCGCGTGTCGTTTCCATCGTTTCTAATCTGATATAAATTTAACTTGATTTAATGTAGTAATAGCGATATAATATAGATGATAAGTTGCTCTCGAAGAGACGATAACTAGATGAGTCTCGATAATATCGAGCCATTTTTACATGATTTTATATCATTTACGACCAACAAATTTTATATTATGTCATTTTTAATATTACTTCTGTTGCTTCTTCAGTTGAGTCGGCACAAAATTTGAAACTCGACGAGTTTTATTTTAGATGGCAGATTTCATGATGTAGTTATATTCGTTCAGTACTCTAATCTCATTGTCAATTCTCAATTTGTTAAAATTTTTGTAAATAATGGCTGATTTTTCTAAAAGGCTAGTAATTACTACACTAAATACCGATGTAAATAAATCTGTGAATGAAATCCATAAATCTAATCAAATGAGTTATTGGAAGCAAATATTAAAGAGCTACGAAAAACGGACTGCCTTGTTGGAGAAGAGACGCAGTGTACTCATAGAAAGAATACGCTTCATGGAATGTACGTTGCCTTCTTTGCTTGTGAGTGCCACTGCTTATGGCAAACGAAAAATTTTCGAGGAACAGTCGAAAATCCTTGAGAACACGTTTCAATCTACTATTCCAAAAACTTAGTAGCTATATGTTTGAAAAAGACAATATAGACAAGCAACTATTAGGTAAACAAGAAGAAGTAAGTAATCCATTGTCTAAAATGTGTTATAACTTTAGTTACTGTACATATAAATGCTATAATAATATATAGCATAAATTTATACAATTTTTACTTTATCTTATAATTTTTTTCATATATCTATCATTTTTCTGAAATAATAACACGTACGTATAGTTTCGCGCCGCATCCTCTGTACATCCACATAGCCGAAAAAGTCCATATACTTATACATACTCGTATAATAAATATATACAGGTATAAATAATTATGTCCACATATATTGTCTTTTTTTTCATGTATAGTAAGAAAATAATAATAACAATTGGAAAAACAATTTGAAGAATAAGTTTTACATTATTTTTCAAAGAAAATATTTTTATTAAAAAAAATTGAAAAATAAAAATATTGTTATATATATATATATATATATATATATATAATTATATAGACATATATGTATAATTATATAGAAGTGATAAATTTATATGTAATATTACATATGGGTAATTTTTTCACTTTAAATTTAACATTTTTATAAAAATATAAAATTGATTTTTTTATTATCTTTTATATAACAGATAAAAATTATACAAGAAAACACACACACACACACACACACACACACATATATATATATATATATATGTAAATATATTTTATATATGTTTGTTTATATTTGATTATGTATTTAATTATATATTTTTTCGGGACTTTTTCGAGGCTGTTAAATGGTTTTCTATGTGCGTAAATAAAAGAACTTTTACTTTAATTTAAATTATTTGTTTAAAAATCAATCATTTAAAAGAAAAACAATACCATAAAACAGATGATACATTTTATTTAAGATTGTCTCTTATACACATATGAGAAATAAAATCAACTTTATGATACGAAACAATTTTGAGCGAAACGAATCCTAAAAGATTGATCAATCTTGATTAAATAATTTTCATTTAAAAAATTTATGGAGAATAAATACAATAAACATTTAAATATACACACAAATGTTTAAACTTATTTATTGTTACTCAAAATCAAACATGCTAAAGCATGCACATTATGTCCAACAATCGAACAAAAAGTAAAGGACTAGAGGCACATCCTAATATATAACGCATTAATATACATACATTATACACATACATGTATAGGCGTATATAAATAATTCATTAAAATTAAATGCATAAGCAGAGACGCATATTTTTCTACGTATATATATTTTCTCATATAAAGGCACTCGCGCACATTGAATTGTTAGTTTCATAAGATTTTGTTAAAATTCTACAATATTATTCGACAAATTCGATTACATATATACATACATACATATATATATATATATATATATATATATATACATATATACATATATATACACTATTTTATCACGTAAAGTCAACGAAACAGTTTTACAAAATAATTCACAAAAATGTTAAGACAAGCGAACTAATTGAAGAATTATATTCTTTATAATAGATACATATTTATAGAACTAATCAAACAATTCTTCAATAATCGCTGATAAATATATAGTAGAATCTTTGTTTTCAGTGCGAAACGACACTGTACAGATATATTTTTGTTGATCGAATGCATACTAACATTATTAATTGCATATTAATTTGCAATGTATTATATATTTGCAGTATATGTCATTTTATATTTGTTCTTACGTAATCACATTTTTGTCATTTTAGCATATACAATAAATTTCAATGTATGGAAAATTCTATAGATTCTTTATAGATTTTTTGTGTGATTACCGACACAAGAACATGTTTAGCGCAATTTTATATCAATCTGATTTTTTCTAAGCGTATTTTTATCATAAATATTATTAAATGTGTATAAAATTATTTTGCAAGAACTCTTTAACTTATATCCCGCATGGAAAAGAATATTTAATCTACGGCTTATTTGGCACTTGATTTCACAGTTTGTAAATGTTAGTCGTGATACGGTAGATGAAATACGCCGAACCGAGCGTCACCAGAGTTCATCTGTAAGCGCCCTTGTTTTTTTAAACGTACCATTTCTGATCGTCACTTGGGCCACCAAGTAGCGCCAGCCGTATTGTCCTAAAAATAAGAATTAATCATTTACATAGAAATATATAGACAAGCCGTACTTATTGTCAGCACGGAAATTAAATTGTTAGACCAGTAACATCAATTATGTAATATATATGCTTTATTCTGTTTCTGAATATAGATCACGTAAAATTTACGTCGCGTAAATGCATAAATTTAAATTAATATTATTCTCAAAATTCAGAGCCCGTATTTTGAAACGACAACAAAGTTTATTACATTGCTCTACTTATTAATATTAACAAATATTTTGTAAATACAAATTAACGTTAATTTACTTTGTTCTTGCCACGAGTTCGCTAACGGGTTTATTGCCTTTTTCATGGAACTCGTGGATGAATAAATGGAATCGGGAACGATGAGAGACAAAGAAAAGCCTTTTCTCACTTTTATCTCCAACAAAAGTAAATCATTTGCTGTAAAATATATAGTTGATGAAGCAATGTAATATCATTTCTCATACAGCACAAAATCTTTTAACTGCATTGCAGCAATCTTTCAAATTGTATAATACAATTATGATCAGACATTGTAAAAATATAAATATGAGCAAATATAGCAAAATGTTGATAAGATTGCAACAATATTGTAGAAATATTTCAAATATACATTACAGAATATTTCTATAGTAATTTTGGGATTGTTTTGTGTTGTATGAATCTTAATTCTTTCATTATTAAAGATGATACATTGTTAAATATTTATTATATATAAAATTAATTTTATAGTAATTACATAGCGGTTTCTAATATATATATATATATATATATATTAGAAACCGCTATGTAATTACTATAAAATTAATTTTTTAGTCGAAATATGTTGTACTATAATGCATTATGGCTAATTGTAATAAAAGAGTTAAACAATATCATTAAATGTTAAATTTTTATGCATATTTTTTTTCAAAGCAAAACAATGCAATTTTAATTCGAAATAAGACTAATGCCAACTATTATTGATACTATTATATTTTTCCAGAAATATGCTCATGCCATAGGGATCAATTTCGCGTGAGATGAAGAAAATAGAAGAGAAGCATTAATCATTATCATCATCAACTGACGCACACACACACACACATTAATATTATATTATAATATTATATATTATATAAATGGAAACATATTTATAAAGAGTTATTACACAGTTCGAATTGTTAATCGAAATATACTAAATATTGTTATAATTGAAATATATGAAATATTAAAAAATCTTGATAAATATTCCTTAGATACATAAGAGAAATTGTAAAAAGTATATTAAACTTGATAATCTTGAAAAAGTTAATAATAATAATATATTCTCAATAATTATATTGATATGTATATGTATATACATATCAATATCCTTTGATATGTATATGTATATATTATTCTCTCTTTGATACTTTTTTCCTCGAATCGAATCTAATACTCATTGGCTGTCTTATATATGTATATATATATATATATATATATACGTACGTTCAAAGACGTAGATATGTAGTCGGTTAACTTGTCTTCTTCTTCTCCCCTCATCACCTCAACATCCATATTTTTTTTCCACGACCTCGGTCTTCTGTTAGTCGTTATTTTTTGGAAGCCGTCGTTTCTTTATCGCGTGAAAGAAGCACGAGTGCTAGCTTCTCTTTAAAATTACACATTAATTCGAGCAAACACTAATTTTCATTTACGACGCGAGCATAATTTTTTTTGGTATAAAAATGAAATTACAGCAAAAACTTATTAGACGTTATCGAATTTTTTAAGTTACGCTTGTCTTATTAAAGTTCCTTATTAAAGGTTTGACATAGCACAGCCGCGTAAAAATTATACGCAAATTTCCTGATATAAGATCAACGGATAACTTTTTCGCTCTAAAGAAACATCGCGAATAAGCTTGACATCTGGCATTCTCGCTGTTTTCGCGGATCGTATTTCGTGTTCATTATTCTTAATTCGTCTTCGTCTAACCTTCTTTTCTAAATTGCTTTTGGCAAGATCAATAACGACTGGTTCATCGAGTTCAGAAAGTTCTGCTTCGACTTCCTTCTTCTTCTTCTTTAGAGATACAAGTTGCTAGAATACAATGTGTGATTATTTACTATTTGTTAGTTTAAATGTATATAAAAGTAGATATTTTTGTTATATAATATATGATATTATATATTTATATATAAAAATAAATAAAATTAACACTTTGCCAATTGCTCTAATTATGCCTTGCTAAGTGTTTGGCACTCCCTCCCCCCTCCTATTTTCTGCAAGCTATGTATAATAATATGTCAAATTTTTAATTTCTATAACTTCTTTAATATAAGGATTAATAAAACATAAAACTCGAAATTCTCCATCTTTTGTCGTCGAAAAATTATAAATTTATTAAGAATTTATATTATATAGGGGGAGTTCCCTTAACGCCGGACGGCACCTAATACCGGACATATATCATGTCTATGTAAGTAAAAACGCGATTGAATGGTTATATCGGTGATAGGGCAGTGGAGGGGATAGTGATCCCTATCACCGATATAACCATTCAATCGCGTTTTTACTTACATAGACATGATATATGTCCGGTATTAGGTGCCGTCCAGCGTTAAGGGAACTCACCCTATATTTAACTTAAATTTAGTCATTTTATTATATAGTATATATATTATACAGGATGTCTGACATAAGATGTCATACTGAAAATATACAAGTAGATCTTCTTATTTGGAGACAATTTTTTCTTAGCAAAATTATTGAGGCATTAATAATTTTCGAGTTATAAGTGATTGAAAATAAATACATATTGCATAATATATCCGTGAGTAGATCTTTCTGAGCAATTGGCTATGTGTTAAATTAACCAACTTGCATTATCGAAGAATCTTAAAAAGTTTTACAAAAGTTAATTGAATAAAAAAGTTAATTTCAGAAGATTTGAAAAAAAGTTAAATTATAATTGATATAAATTACATACAATGACATTGCATTGCTCCTCTAAAGCAATTTGTTGATCAAAATTTTCGATATTATCTTGATCTTGACATCGAGGTATAATTATATTATTCACCCATGTTTCTATGGTTTGAGTAAATCGTGTGCAATTTGTATCTTTCAACCGATCTTGCATATCTTTCAAATTCTCTGAAATTTCTAGAACTTGATATTTATTATCCTCCTTATTTTTAATTCGCTGCATAATAGAGGTCTCATCTTTATATTTATCGCCAAAATTAGATCCCACTCTATTTCTCAATTTATTCTCCAACCAATATATCTTTTCTGTAAGTCTATAATTTTCATCTAACAACTCCTCTTCTCGTTCTTTCGACAACTGCTTTTCTTTTTCTCGATCTTTTTCGGTTTCTTCGTAAATTTCAAGTCTTTCCTCGAGCTCATGAACGCGCTCTTGGTAGGACGTCAATTGAACTACGGAGTCCATTGTCGATACATCAAAATAGATCTTAGATGAATCGATCGGATGAAAGATTGATGTTGTGGTCTTAGCACGTTCCTGAATTCGAGTTCTTAACTCTTGGAGACGCTGTACTTCCTGAAGGAGTTCGCTGGACGGTACATCCGTCTGAGTACTACGACTGGTAAGCTCAACTTCGAGTTTCTCATCGTCCTCGTGCTCCTCTTCTTCAAAAATACCGCTTTCCTGAAGAGTGAGCGGAGGTTTACGCGATAATACAGGTGACGCGGATTTTACGGGGTTCATCAATGTAGCGTTATTCGTGTAAGGTATTACGGTCGCCACAGCGCGATTTCTCTGTTGGTTTGATAGATGAGCCTAAAATATCGTGCAAAAAAATTAAAAAAGTGTACGTGCAAAAATTATTATTTAATAATAATTCTACAATAAGCAATAAATATTTTTTTATAAGTGTTCGATATTATATGATTTATATTATCTTGAAAAAACTCGTGAATAACTCGATGTAATATTCGAAACAGACATTTTTTAACTCACTCTGTTTGTGTGAATGGGTTCCGGAGAGACCATGCCACTATCTACCACGTGATCGAAACTATCTCTACGCACAGGTACTTCTTCCAGTTCCAGCAGTCGAAATTCCAAAAGCTCATTTTGCTCTCGTATTTCTGAAAGTTCCACTAAAAGTGTTGCTTCTCGCTCTTCGGCAGCTCGAAGTTTATCATTCAATTCATTCATCTCCTTATCATGACCAGCGCATCTCTGCCAAAAATACAGATTTTTTAAAAATTTTAAGTACAGATATACATATATAATTTTATATTTAATTTTATAAAAAAAATTAATATATTTTATATATATATATTGACTTAAATTATCTATATGTATATATATAATAATTACAAATTAAAAATAACACTAAAAGTTAATTCCTATCATCTTGTGTTTTAGTGAAGAGTAAAATATTCAACATTCCTGGATAATAATTGATCATGTACAATATTATGCAATCTTAGAAACAAAAAATTATAAAAGATATTGTATATATATATGTAAATAAAAGTTATACCTCTTGTAAGAGTGCTTTTTCCAAGTCACAAATTTGAACTTTGGCACATGAAAGTTCTCGTTGCTCTCTAAAGAATTTGGACTGTAACTCCTCGATCTCAAAAGAACAGCCTCGTATGCTTCTTTGGTAATACCATTATTCTGCCATTGACCGTAACCTCCAGGCTGTGGTGACATCGAAGATGGAGCACTTGATAAAGCACTGTCATTATCTTCATGATCTTCTTCGTCATCGACTTCGACAACCGGCTCCAATTCAAGCCATTGTTTATAAAATTCCTCCTTCTTTTTCTTATTTGATAATTGCTCCAACTTTCTTTCTCTTTCCTTAACAAAAAAATTTGTTTTTACACTTTCCAAATATTATTTCGAACGAGGTGCCTGGCTTAATGTGTGTCAATAAAAAATTTGTTGAAATATATTGTACAATCTGAAAATATTGTATCGTCTATAGATGCACACCTTCTTAAATATGGTGTCATTAATATTAGTGTACAATACACTATATAATATATTAGTGCAGTATTATTGTGTAATAACATTGATTGTATAAAACCGTATTTAAGAAAAGTACATTACCTTAACTGTTTGTTTAAGTATTTCGATGACTTCCTGCTGTTCAAGTGCAAGTTCACGAAGACGCTCGACTTCAATTTCATTTATAGTTTTGTCGGATTCTACTGCGCGGACATATGACTCCACCTTAAATAATGCACCACCTCAATGGTTTATATGTCATTATAAATCTTTATGATTTAATAAAAGAATTTACTAAATAATTATTAAGAAATAATATATTAAAAATATTAGCTTAGTTTAAATCGATATTTTAATACGCGTACTAACAATAAGTACTACCAAAGTAGTACTGACCAATTATCGGGCTAATCATTTCTGTAAAAAATGAAATATGTTTATGATTGGCTATAGTGTAGTACTTATGTATATTAATTGTTAGTACGCGTATTAAAGAATAGATGTAAACTACGCCACATATTAATAGAAATTATAATTATAATACAGAAATAATTAACGTTGCAAATAATATTAATTTTACACACATACACACACACACACACACACACACACACACAATATATATATATATATATATATATATATATATAAGCATTTATATCAGAGAAATTATTTGTAAAAATGATCGTACATGTTAAGAAGGTGATAATCACATACCGTATGACCATCGTCTGTGAGAATCTTCTTTCTTATATAAGATGCTGATTGTATTGGTTGGTTTTTCTCATTTCCCCGTAATTTCCGCATCTGTAACATTATAAAAGTAATTGAACTTTAACAGAATATTTCTAGGATAATTATTTTTGCAAATGGAAGAATATGTTCTGTATTTCAAGCTGTGCTTTATAAAAAGAAATCTGAACAAATTAATTTTTACAGAACAATTAAATATGTACTAAACTAAATAAAAAGTATATTTTGCAACTTTTGCAAGATATTCTAGACGAAAAATTTATGATTATATTAATATAAAGTAACGATATTCGACATTAATAAAAAATACTATTATATTTTTGAACATTATTTACAATTTCATAATCATTTTTTAGTTATAATCATTTTGCTTTGGTAAAAGTACTATTTTAATTATTTATAAAACATTCTGTTAGATAAATAGCTATTAAATTAAAAAAACAAAACGTTATTATAATGTTCTTCTAAATAAAAAATTAAGTGACAATTCTTAATAGAAAGAAGTAGATCTATTGCAAATGGTTTTAGCGAATCAGTTTTTCGAGTTAATATCATGATCCGACGCGATATATGCAACAAGACGGAAAGGATCGCAAAAAGAGGAAAGAGAAGCAGATGAATCGCACTGCAATGGGTTACGAGAGAGTCTTAAGTGCCTGAGACTGGACCGTTAGCTTGGCCCCCTGACATACAGCCATAGTCTTTTTCTTCTTCTCTCCTGTATATACTCTCTCCCTCTCTTTCAGCTTCCTTCCTCTTCAGGTGATATCAACCTGCGGCATGTGTATGTAAGAGATGCGCCGAGAACCGATTGCACCTTGTACACTTGCCGACCGCGTTGCACGTGATGATGCACTTTGCGCCATATATGTAAATCGTAGGACACGCGCTCGTTGTGTGTACCAGAGTTTCTCCTCTCTTTGGGCCGGACTATATCGGATATAAGACATATTAGGACAGGTGAAACGAGCGCGTCACGCATTACCGTTATCTGTGCTTCACCGCTCATCTCGTCTCATGTCGTTTTATGTATGCTGACGTTTCCTTATATTTATTTGACATCTGTACAATTATTGAAACCCGCGCTAAAAATAATTAGCAAGTTCAATGAGTGCAATAGTAATCAATGCTACTTTATACCTGCATAAATGATAAAGCTGCATGACTGAATTTTGTTGGCAAACGTACTCGTATAAAAAAGAAATTATCCACATTCTCTGTGAGTCTTATATATGTTTTACATACATGTATATATACAAAATATGTTGTTACAGATAATTTAAAATTTCCTATCTGAATAAAGATTAGGTTTATATACTTTTAATTACCATATAAAAATTTAAATTTTTTTAAAACATTTTTTTTGTATTTGATATTAATCCAATAAACAACATTTCCTGTATATTAATCGAATCGTTGAGCAAAAAAAGTGTAAAATAAAACGACACTATATGTCATATATTTTCATAAAATGTAACTTTATTATAATATTCTTTCGTATGGTTGAAAAAAAAACAAGAAATATAAATATATAAATTCTTATTTATGTAAAAATAACTATTATATCTTTGAAAAAATATATAATTCTTATTTTAATTTTATCTTAAAATTTTATGTAATATATTATCTATTATTTTCATTAACTTATATCATTATTTCACATTCAATGGCCTTGACCATAATGTATAAAATTTCAAAAAATGTTTTATAATATTGAAAATTAAGTGCACAGACACTTTCTAGATTGTACATATAGGCATAACATTTCTAAAGAGAATAACGTATCTATAAAAAGATGGCATGAGCATATCCATAATATCTATAATATTGATCTGTTCAGGATCACACTATTTATTATACATTAATATTTCTGTAAACAAATCAAATTTGAAAAATTAAGTTTTTTGATGAAAAGTCTCGCATGCAGCGTTTTGACTCACACCATTCTCACTATGTAGTCTCCCGTCTCACTTTCACCGATCGTTTCTCACCCCTGCTTATTAAAATCTTCGAGAATCGCGACTACGCATTTTTGAAATGGCTTGTATATTTCTAAGCAATTTTTTGATATAATTCATAAAATTAAACTTCTATGTGTTATTAATTTAAGTGACGAAATTAAATAACGCATAAAATATTGATATTATAAATATTATGTATATTAAATATTATGTATATATAAGAAGAAGCTAACTTTATATTGCATAGTTATGCAATACATAAACATTTTTTAATATAAATTTTATTGTAGCGTTTTTAGAAAAATGTTCAAAACAATAAAATTTGACTTTAACATTATACAGTAGAACATCGATAATCTTGGTGCTAATAATTTAAGTGTCCCCCCTCTCTCTACAATATGTATTTTCTGCAACTCTAAAATTGTTTCTAACTTTCCAGTTATTCATTTATTCATTTATTTCATTTATTTAGTTATCTTTTTCTTCCGTCTCCTTTTACGATAAAAGATATAACCGCACATATATTTCCCATATATGCGTGACACAAATAGAGACATACATATGTAGATGAAAGATTGGCAGTAATATGCATTTGCGTTTGCAAATATGCGATTAAATAAACTCGCATTGTTTTGAGAGTACCTCTAACTTTTTTTTTCGAGAATTTTTTTATTTCTCTAGTTTACTTCTTGAGCTAAAATTATTGAATTTTTAGTATATACTAAAAATAATGTGTTGAATTATAATTTCTCTTTAATAATTTTTAATAAGAGCACAAGTCTTTCCGTAGTGTAAAATTCACTGATGCAAATTAATCAAATTAAAGAACATTTTTAAATATAAAACAATTATTTCTCTCAAATAATGATAATTAAAAATTATATAATTATGTTCAAATTTTTTAATACAAGTTAAACAGAAATATGTATGACAAGCACTTTATTTTTAGAACATATTATACAATTAAATATACAATTAAAAATAGAAATTCTTTTGAAGAATTTTCATACAAAAATTTTAATAATATAAAAAAATTAAAAGCTTTCATTTTTAAATTATTTAACTTTTTTAATGTTTTTAAAATTAATTTAAAAAAGTAGATTATAATTAGAAACAATATAAAAAAAATTTAATTTTTAAAAATAATCAAAATTGTTTTAGAGAAAATATAGTTAAAAATGGCTATGTAAAAAATAAAATTTTGATTTATATTTTCAGAATTTGTGAATATTCTTTTGTTTTAGATAAGTACAGTAATTTTTATCGCAATAAAGGAGGAATATACATGTCTGCTCTGGCAAGTATCGCATTCATAATAATATACAAATTAAATTCTCAAAAGCAATTAAATAGGTACTAATTAAATAAGTTTTGATTAAGAGCAAAATTTATTTAAAAGTTTTTAATAATAAAATATGTAATTATTTTTTATTTATGCAATCATAATTTGATATTGTTAATGTTAACATTTAAAAGAGATATATTATAATTTTATTGCATACGGGAGCTTAACAAGTACCCACACAAACATAATATATTAAGAGAAAATATATGATTTATGCAAGCATTTATACAAACTTTTAATAAGAGCGTAGTAAATTTTCAGCTCTCTGGAAAACTGATGAATTATATTCATTTTATACTGTACAGAACAATTATTCGTTTCTTGTTAGTTGGAACTATTTAATCTCGTATACGTTTGTTGTATTCAAAGTATAACTTTAGCTTTCAGTATCAGTTTTTTTATGTTTATTGCATATTTTAGCTTATAAAATCAAATATTACTAAAAGGCACAAATGACGCGTATAAACGTATGTAAGTAACAAATTATTCTCTCTATGCATGCGCTCGTTACGTTAAGAAAGGAACCTATTAATTAGGCGTATACGCCCGTCGTTGCTAAGATATTATTAATAGTACAACCGCAATGATTGGATTGGAATTATATAGCATCACATATACATGAAGCTATGTAAGCATTATTTTCTCTCATGCCGTTGCAGTAACAGCGTTCCGTATCTGTGTAAATGTGATGCCTCAAGCATCATATATCGTGCAACTTGACTATGAACTTGGAGCTCTACGTGATTATCCCTTACATAAATGTTTTTCAGTGATGTTTGCTATATACATATATGCGTGTATGTATATAGTATAACAATAATATTTTGTAACAAAAATTATAAAAATATATCCACATAATTCTAATTTATCTAAAGTATAACAGAACGCAGAGGTAGCTACGTGATAGCTACTTTAAAGAGATTATTTATGACCACTCATAAACTTTTATACATCATACCTTTTAGATCACTAATAGCAATACTAAAAGTGATGCAAAAGCAGTCATATCTAATTGGACAAAATATATAGATTATGCATTCAAGTATACTATAAATCATTGGTGTATTTCTTATTTTTATGTGTGTGTGTGGGTGTTTGTGTTGTGTGTGCACATATAAAAATTTATTATATTATTATACACATTTTATTTTTGATTGTTTTATTTTTATTTTAAGATATACATTCATCTCTTTTCATAATAGATATACATTTATCTCTTATCAAGAAAGACACAAAGGTAACGTATATCGAACTCTATACCCAATTGCATATGACTGCCTTTGCGTTACATTTTTCACCATATAGACTTATTAACGATCTAGTATAATATATAGAAATCGATATTGTTCTATTATAATAATTTAATATATAGAATTGTATGTGTGTGTGCGTATGTGTCGAAATATGTATATGAATAAATATGAAAAGTTTATCGAAATATTGTATAACTAATTTCGTGAATACAATTTTTTGTTTGTATATAGTTTTGCAAAATAAAAAATAGCAAAGATTTGTTGAATGTTTGTCGATTATTTTTCTTATCAATTCATTAGCGCAGATTTCTGTATAAAATCAAGGATAAAAGAAGCGAAAGATATGTAATTCGACAGATAGAAAAATCATCGAAACAACGATTCTCCAATCAGTATGATTCGATAACGTAGTCACGATTTCGATATTGTACGCTAATATCGAAACCGCGCGCGTTCGTGCATTGATATATCATATACATGCTCGTATCTCTGCGG